CCAGGGCATAGAAGACACATCAACTAAGTCAGCAGATAGTCTTATCAATGAAACAAGATATGAAACACCTTCTAAAGATATTACGGAATCTTAGTATATTGTTTTCAATAAAAAAAACTATCACATATAAAAGAAAAACATAGAGTATTCGGCCTTATGTCAGATGATATCGAGCACTGACTACCGCTTTTTTTCTCGAAGGAAAGTCATGACAGTCACATTGTTAATAAAAACAAGAGGCCATCTGCTTCTTTATTTTGTATTTATTATTGTGAAACAAAAACATTTCCTCTTACTGTAAATACAGTAATTGGCAAACTTTCCTTTCGACTCGTGATAAACACGATGCTTCTTTTTATTCCTCTGAGCTCGGTATTGACATTAATCCTAGTTTTACCACTTTACCATGGACATCTGGGTAAATTAGTTCACAACAGTTAAGCGCAGCTCTGATGCATCTATAGTGCATATGCTCTTTCAAATCATTTTCCAGTTTAGAGCGTGGGAGCTGCACAGGCGAGATTGCTTTTTTCCTGTTATTCGTTGAATTGGTGCTAGAAGTGCCTGCGAATACTACCATTAAGAACAAAGAAAATGTTGCCGAAGTACAGAATGTAACACTTCTATTTATGCCACATCGATCCAATTGATTCGTAACTGACAGAGCAAGCCACTGATAGTGTGAGGGTGGTAGAACCAATGGTCGTAACAGCAGTAAAAGAAAAGAATCACGACAATCGATATAGCATTACAAATTACAACAAAAAGCGCACCAATCAGAACGTAGTAGCAACAGCAGCACATGGATGGGTATATATGACTTTTAACAGAAAAGAAAATTTGATATGTACAGAGTATTATTTCGACAATAGAACACAAAAGTAATTGTTTTCTCGTTTTTCTTAAGTACAATTATACAGTTTCTCATCTTAACTTCGTAGAATTTTCTTCTTCCGCGATCCATTAATCTTGATCTGCAGTTATTTCTCTTTCTTTCCGTTGAACGGATTATTATTATTATTGTGTAATCTGAAAACTAATACCAGTGTTGCCATTGGTTCTGCTTTTGCTCCTTTTTAAAAAACTCAAAATGTTTTGCTATGTTACAATCGAATTAATAAATCGATACTGAAACAAGTTTAGAAATCATTTATTTACATATTTCAATAGTTTGTGCAATAAAGAGCCACTAGAAAGTATCAGATCAAATTTAAACGAACTACCAACTCATCTCCTTTAATGATCATCAATATACGCTTCATTCTGTCCTTCGGTTTTCATACAAATTTATCCTAATCATTTTACTTCTTGATGCTTATCCACGTAAGTCAGCCGAATCACTCTGAAACTAATATCGCGTTATGTCTATTTATTTTTTATTTGGCACTGAAGTTTTGTTGATGCGAGAACCAGGGTTATTTCTACGTACTTGTATATCAGAATACGGTCAATGTCATGCTTTCCACTAAGCCAGTTACATCTTATTATTTCGAGTGCTCCAGTGACGTATAAATACGTTTTCTGACATATGTTAATTGTAAATTTCATCGAAAGGTTTCGTTTTTCATATTTGAAGCAAGACAGTGCCTTAACAACTTTCTCATTGCAAATATAGGTGTGGATGCACGTAGTTAGTAGATGACATTTAAACTGTTCAATTTGATCGTGAAATTACCTTTCAGCTTAGGGATTTTCTCACAAAAACATGCTCCAAACTGTCAATTGATCATACAGTAATGGGACGAACGAATGCAAGACAGAATGTACAAGTAACCGTTTTAGAAAGTCGATTATTGAAGGCAAATATGTCTTTGTTTATCTTTCTCTATTTCTATCTGCTGCATATTTCTATTCGACAGAGAAAAAAACTAAAATCGTTAATTTTGTAGTAAATGCTTTTGTTTTACTCAAAAATAATAATTGAACATTTGTTTTGTGATAATCGACATCTGTGAATATATACTTAACTGCTTTGATGCTCTATTCACATTTATATTTTATCACAACATTCGCATTCTTGCATATTCTAGATTATACTTTTAGCAGAGATACAACATGCACAAGATCACAGTCGTCAACCAAGACGTTGTCGAAACTCAGAATGTAATGGTTCTATTTGTGTTATATTAATTTAGTCAAATCGATTTTGTATTTCAGTTTGACTCCGCAGATTTCGAATCCACAGAACATGCAACTGGCAAACAACAAAACATATCGCATGGGTATGATTATTAGCATTGACTTGTAAACTCAGAACTTCTTTGTATTAGATGCTGTCCAAAACGAAAGCGAAAGGTTATATGTGTAACACTACTGATTGCCATTGTCTCCGTGATCGTTATTTGCATTTTAATACCGACAGTAATTCTGAACAGAAACGAAACTAGGTCAATCACGACAGAAACAGCAGCAACAGCAGCGACAACGGAGACCACAACAGGGACAGCGACAACAACGGAGACCACAGCAGGGACAGCGACAACAACGGGGACCACAACAGGGACAGCGACAACAACGGGGACCACAACAGGGACAGCGACAACAACGGGGACCACAACAGGGACAGCGACAACAACTGGGATCGCACCAGGGGCAGCAACAACAGTTACGCCAGGTATACATTTGCTAGACAAAAAAGAAGTTTCAATATTTTTGAGAATACTACTCAAATGTCTATCATCTCCAACTGACAGACATCCTCTTCACAGACTTTTCTTAGCACTTCTATTTGAGTATCTGTTGCAGATCCAATATCAATGGCTGCTGTTGACAGACAAGTCTATGGTGTGTGTAATACACCTGCAGGTGCAGATAGCGTCGCAGCAAGTGCTGGTGAGTGGCAGTGTCACTATATGGTAAGAGAGTCTCCAGACAAAGCATGTGATGGTAATGTATCGACGAAGTATCTCAGCTTTGGAGCGTGCTATAATGGAGGCAAGGGTCCTACTTGTGGGATGGGTACGGGTTTTTATCTTGAATTAAGCCGTGGTCCAACATTAGTAAATGGAATGAAAGTTTGCACAGCTAATGATTTCGATCAGCGCGATCCAATTCATGTATCATTAGAAGGAAGTAATTTGCCAGGAAGAGATCTTTCTCTCGGCAGTAGCTGGACTCTTCTGTACGATGGCTCCAGTGGACTTGAGACAGATCCTGGTCGAAAAGAATGCGGACCACTGCAACTTTTTAATAACACTAAAGAATACAGAAGTTATCGATTTCTAGTGTCTGCCAAACGAAACATATCATACTCTGTTCAGTATTCTGAAGTGCAATTATACAGTCTGCGATCGTAACTTTGTAAAACTATGTTGTGTAGCAATGTAATCGTTTGACTTAACAAAAATGATATCAGGACTGTCAGCGCTTCTACTTTTTCATTGCTTTGAAATACTACGATGCTTCGCTAAATTATAAGCTATTGAAAATACATTCAAGTATAGTCGCAAAGGCAACGTACCTGCTTCCTACAGAGATATCAACACCTTCTGTTGATTCCAATTTTGTGAAAAGCAGCAATGCTCTCATTACTTGATGATATAAACAAGTAATAAGCAAAAGAATACGTCGTAGGACTGTCGTCATTAGTATTGCGTAATAAAAGTATATTATACACTCTCTTTCTGTTAGATGCTGCCGGGATCAAAAGCGAAAGATGCTTTGGGCAGCACTACTGATTGAGCTTCTCTCCGCGATCATAGTTGGTGTTTCGATCCCGGCACCAATTCTGAAAAAGAAAAACAGAACTTATTCAATATACAACAACGGCAAAAGCAACGACAACTAAGAGGACGTACGATGTGCACAATACATTTGTGGGTGATGATTACAGAGAAGAAATGCGTAAATGCCATAAAGGTCAGTAAGCGTGGTAGACGAATAATGGAATAATGCATCTGATGGTTACATTGAAACTAAAACCTTTATAAAAGAGTCAACCTGTATTACTTAACTTTAGCCAATGCCCATTTACTTGATTCTATCACTCACTCGTCATATCGCATGTGTTCATGTGTGAATCATGTGACAGATATTGAAACTAATGAAAAGCGACTTCCACGCCATCATCTTACGCACTTTAAACATATTCTTTTGTTAGGCTAGAAACAAAGATCCTATCCACAAATGAGTGTCCATTTCAATAGTTGCTCCATAAAGGATCAGTTTCAATCAACAGGTTGGTTTGTGTCTATGATTGATTAAGGTAAATACTAAATACTTCGACAATCTTATTATCTGTTATAGAAATCATTGATTCATCGAACTGAAGAGATTAAAATATCTACTGTATCTCTTGACACTCTCATACGAAACGATTTGGACAATTGTTTTGCAAGTATGACGTTAGCTGATAAGAAGAGATTCTCTTACCGTCTGACGTCAGTGTATACACTAACAAAGCATACATAAATCTGCGAAAGAGTAACAATCAATTAGAAGTCATGTAGATTATAACTCATCCAGCAAGTATTTACTAAAACGGAAAAAGCCAATCTGATGATGCTATCATTTCATTTCATCATCTTTTTTATGAGTGATAAAGCAAACAGATTGCACCACGGCTTGACATATATACTAGTAAAGCATCATCAATTCTTTCATTGATTGCATCGTCGGATATAAAACTGAGTGTATCAGAACGAGTTTCGGACAACGATGACTATCACATCAGATTCACGGAAGTACAGTCAGCTTCACCAACGCATCAGGTACACTGAGCGACGAAAAGCAAATTCATATTTCGGTAAAGGTCAAAAAAACTACAGAATGAAAGTAGATTAAATGAAAATTGTTTTATCATTTAGACTCCGAAGACAAAAAACGACAATCACCCAGATCACGAATCAAACGTCATTTAATCGCGTTCGATATAGATGAATTTAAAGACGAAATAGATCACGATTACGATTATGAACATGATCTGAATGAGTATGAAGATTGGCAAGAGACAAGAGATTTCATCGATGCACAGTGGAGAGAGATTTATAATGCTGTCGATTTTGACAAGGCTGACCTTCTCGATTATCTCTTACCACCAGTGAATATTTTCAATAGTGAAGAAATATATTGGACAAACGAGTTGACTTTCGAAGAGTACAGACCCCCGACCAATATCCTTCAACATGCCATCCACATCGGGCGTACAAGATGTGTTCGAGTACTGCTAGACAAGATATATACTGGTAAACTAGAATGGGATTTAATCTATGAATCTAGCGATACCATACAAGTTGTACTATCGGACGCATGTCAATTAGGAGATGTAGATCTCGTACAAGAACTTGTTGAACATCCACTTGTAGATATAAATGCATTTGATCTCTTGACAATCGCTGTTGAACAAAACAATGATTTATTAGTCGAATATTTATTCAGTCAAGGATGTGACATGCACTCTAGCTATTACAGATATCTATTACATCACGCTACTCGTAATGGTTACCATAGTATTGTTAAGAGTCTTTTGAAATACGGTGCTGATCCTCATATACAAGATTCTACTGTTCAAACTCCTCTCGATTATGCCGTCGATAGACGAGACATCGAAATGATTCAAATTCTTCTTGAGCACACACATGGACTCCTAAAACCCAATGCAAAGAAGTTCACGCCAATGATGTTGGCTGCTCATCGTGATTTGAGACCCATGGTTGATCTACTTTTTCAATTGTTACCACTCGATCCATGTATTGATGACTTAGTTCGTTTAGCTTGTCGATATACAATAGATATTGAGATGAAAAATCGGGAAATGGCATTTTATTTCTTCTCGCAAGGTCTTACCAGAAAAGAAATATCAGATAATTCAGTTCTTCATGAGGTATATGAATCTCGTCGAGAATGCCAAACATTAGAAGAACTTGAATTAATACGAGATGATGATCATGCTATGCGACTGCACGCTTTGCTTGCTAATGAACGAATTTTTCTTCGGAATGGCGATGCAATATTGTATGTGGATATAATTGAGAAGCAATGTCGTCATTATGAAAGCATGGACTTATCTCATCGAAGTTTTCAGTTGTGTTTGCACGCTTTGCAACTGATGCCTGAAGTTCAAAATTATAACTATCATATCGCAAGATCGCTTGCCAGTCTGTGTTACGAAATATGTGGACAGATATTTCGTGTATGGGAAGAAGATGCCTTCGTGCCGATTGATTCATTAGTGGTCATTGCTAACTGGACATTTAAATTGTATGCATCTATTGGATATACTGAAATAAAACTTATGGAGATCGTTATTTGTGTAAGTAGTATTCTGTACGGGAAAGATCAACTTTCTTTTTCTTTTTTAGCTGATTCAATCGAAAAAAATAACAAAGAATGAACAATGTGCTCTTATAAATTCTATACGACGTATTGGCACAGAATGCAAACAATACTTTCTTACTCACTTTATTCAATATGCAGCCCTCAATACTTCGATCCAACAATCTGGTCAATTCAGGTATGTGCTCCAATTTGCTTTCGTACAGCTCATCGAAAAAAATCATTCTTTTTCCAGTTTTACGACATTTTCTGCCATTCGTTTATTGATTCAATGTGGAGCAGATGTTAATGCCCTTTCTAATCATTGGAGAAGAACTCGACCGCTACATATCATTGCCAAATGTTCAAATATTCTTGAAGCAAAGCCTGTCATCGAATTACTTCTTGCCTGTGGCGCACATCCTGATGCTATTGATGATCGGGGTGTGCAGCCGAAGGATGAAGCAGAAGTACGCGATGTGAAAGAATTACTTTCAACTAGTCGACATCTTTCTCTCAAATGTCGATGTGCCCAACTAATTGTTTCACAAGAGATCGATTATAAACATTATTTCTATCCAAAACTCGTTGAATTCATTGAATTACATCGAAAATCAGACTCACCTTGGACACAAGATGATTTATAGTAGATAATTTCTATATTTTTTTTCGAATTTTATAATAAAGAAGACAAATGAGACTCAATGTACATCGGACACAAACATGTGGATAACGCTGTTGTTGACTTTTAGTAGAAGAAAATCATGTCGATAGGAAGAACCAAATAAATTGTTCGGAGATAATGCTGAGATGTTGATGTTTGCGTTTTCTTCGAAAGGCTATGAGTGTGGTTAGAAAAAGTCTCATTCAGGCCAGAATATCTAATTATATTATCAAAGAAGTTAAAGGAAAGTTCAACGAATGAGTACACATTGTTTTATAATGCGAAGCTATGTGTCTTAAGAACTGAGTAACACGATATCGACATATGATAGTACTGTGATCAGTATTGAAATAGCTAAGAATAGGACACGTGGTTATCGAATATTTTCAAGATGATTTCAGGAGTTCTATAACAAACTTTGAAGATAATTGATATACGCATATCTATGTACAGTTTTTGATTTGATTCTTCTATTGCAGGTTAACTGATTATGTATTATATCTTGGTTCTATTCTATGTTGCGAATATTTGCACTTCCTTTTGTATTAATGCTTAATAAACGCTCGTTCTAATAGAAATTCACAAAAGAAAAAGAACGTCTTTTTCATCANACTTGAATTAATACGAGATGATGATCATGCTATGCGACTGCACGCTTTGCTTGCTAATGAACGAATTTTTCTTCGGAATGGCGATGCAATATTGTATGTGGATATAATTGAGAAGCAATGTAGTCATTATGAAAGCATGGACTTATCTCATCGAAGTTTTCAGTTGCGTTTGCACGCTTTCCAACTGATACCTCAAGTTCAAAATGATAACTGTGATATCGCAAGATTGCTTGGCAGTCTGTGTTACGGAATATGTGGACAGTTATTTCGTGTATGGGAAGAAGATGCCTTCGTGTCGATTGATTCATTAGTGATCATTGCCAACTGGACATTTAAGTTGAATGCATTTCTCGGATATACTGAAATAAAACTTCTAGAGATCATTATTTGTGTAAGTAGTATTCTACACGGGAAAGATCAGCTTTCTTTTTCTTCTTTAGCTGATTCAATCGAAAAAACTAACAAAGAATGAGCAATGTGCTCTCATAAATTCTATACGACGTATAGGCACAGAAGGCAAACAACACTTTCTCACTTACTTTATTCAACGTGTAGCTCTCAATACTTCGGTCCAACAATCTGGTCAATTCAGGTATGTGCTCTGATTTGCTTTCGTACAGCTCATTGAAAAAAAAATCATTTTTTTCCAGTTTTACGACATTTTCTGCCATTCGTTTATTGATTCAATGCGGAGCAGATGTTAATGCCCTTTCTAATCATTGGAGAAGAATAAATCGACCACTACATATCATTGCCAAATGTTCAAATATTCTTGAAGCAAAGCCTGTCATCGAATTACTTCTTGCCTGTGGCGCACATCCTGATGCTGTTGACCATCGGGGTGTGCAGCCGAAGGATGAAGCAGAAGTACGCGACGTGAAAGAATTACTTTCAACTAGTCGACATCTTTCTCTCAAATGTCGATGTGCTCAACTAATTGTTTCACAAGAGATCAATTATAAACATTATTTCTATCCAAAACTCGTTGAATTCATTGAATTACATCGAAAATCAGACTCACCTTGGACACGAGATGATTTATGGTAGATAATTTCTATATTTTTTTCGAATTTTAATAAAGAAGACAAATGAGACTCAATGTTTACATCGGACATAAACGTGTGGATAACGCTGTTGTTGACTTTTAGTAGAAGAAAATCATGTTGACAGGAAGAACCAAATTGTTCGGAGATGATGCTGAGATGTTGATGTTTGCGTTTTCTTCGAAAGGCTATGAGTGTGGTTAGAAAAAGTCTCATTCAGGCCGGAATACCTAATTATATTATCAAAGAAGTTAAAGGAAAGTTCAGCGAATGAGTACACATTGTTTTATAATGCGAAGCTATGTGTCTTAATAACTGAGTAACATGATATCGACATACGATAGTACTGATCAGTGTTGAACTAGATAAGAACAGGACACGTGATTATCGAATATTTTCAAGATGATTTCAGGAGTTCTATAACAAACTTTGAAGATTATTGATATACGCATATCTATGTACAGTTTTTGATTGAATTCTTCTATTGCAAGTTAACTGATTATGTATTATATCTAGGTTCTATTCTATGTCGCGAATATTTGCACTTCCTTTTGTATTAATGCTTAATAAATGCTCGTTCTAATAGAAATTCACAAAAGAAAAAGAACGTCTTTTTCATCATTCTACTATGATCATTTTCTGTTCTGTTGCTTACGTGGCACATGAGAAAAGAGAAAAAAAGTCGTCAACAGATAACAACTCGTGACACATATTTTGCTCTACATATTTGTGCACATAAAATGACGATGGCAATGTCTACTATCGATACTACTATATATTGTTAGTGTTGTTATTTTTCGTCTTTAGTTTTTTGTATTAGTATGTCGTCCAAGTCTGGTTCAAAGCAACGAATTTTGGGCACTGCTGAAAATGCGCTCATTGAAACCTCACGACAACATCAAGGACATATGAAAGTCGGTGAAGTTTTACACTTACAAGGACCTTATATCTCCTTAGATATGCTCATAGCAGCAATTAATCGCTTGCAGAGACGTCATCCATTTCTTCGAAGCCGCTTGGAGAACAATTCTACAAAACCGGGTACTTATCTACTGGCAGAGGACGATACATTCAATCCGAAAATCCTCACATTTGCACGAAAACATGAAGATCGCTTGAATTTCAGCCTTCAAGAATGGCAAAATCGAGAAAAAGAACCGGCCGTGATTGGTCAAGGTTTAGTTGAATTTTGGCTCTTACAGGTAATCTTCTTTGTCTGAAAACAAACGATGGTATTAAATGAAGTAACCTCAATTCATTCCTAGGATCCAGAAGATCATGACAATGAAAATACTTTTACCGAAATAGTGATTATCGGTGAGCATAGTATCTGTGATGGTATCTCTCTCAGCACTTTAGCACATGAATTGCTTCTGTCATTAAGCCAAGGTGATACGGATATGTTCGCTAACTCGCTAGCTTGTCCAATTACAATGGAAGATGCTGTTCGGCGAAGTTTGTCAGCGTGGAATCGAATTGCTACGTTCAGTAAATTTCTACTTGCTATGATACGTTGGAGTGTAGCTAACAATCGACGTGTCGCTAGACTTCCGTTGGGCACTGTGGATTTTCCATTAGATGACATGGCAAAGAACTCTTTTACAGGCCTTTTTTACGGACGACTGGATAAAGAACAAACGCAAACGTTAATGGAAAAGTGTCGACGAGAAAATGTGACCGTGACGTCAGCGGTTAGCAGCGCTATCCTGTGCAGTACTTCTATGTTACTCCCCAATGAAGATGCTCAGCTAACACAACTAGTCATGGCAATTGCAGCAGACACTCGCCGAAGATGCATACCATCGGTGTCCAATAATGATCTAAGCTACCAAGTATCAGGAACTATGGCTTTTGCATTGCCAACAAACAACACGCCAGTCACATCAGAAGGTATGTGGCAATTGGCACGAGTGTTTGGTAATCATGTGAAAACGTCTGTTGATGCAGGACAGACTCTTGCTCTTGCGATGATTATGGGAAAGCTATATCAGAAAAATCTCGGCTCAGTTACTCTCAGACGGGCGCCAACGTGCGGAATATCAAATTGGGGACTGTTACCCTTTCATGAGCAATACGGCAAATGGCAACTGCATGAAATGATCCCCATCGGTAACATGGTTCGAATGCCAATGCCATTCTTTTTAGTTCAAACTGTCAATGGAAAATTAACCATTTGCTGCAACGGATCGGTTCCCGTCGTTCCTTTGAATACTTTGGAGAGTCTGTGCAATGGTACAATAGATAATCTACGTCAAATGATAGAACATTGACAGAGCTATTTGAAAAGAAATGTGTATGAGTTACTTTATGACGCAATGCAGAGGAGTGCATTAAGCTGTAAAGCGACAAATTCTTGACTGATTCAATAATAAGCGTCTTTTATAATCATTTCTATGAGTAATTATTACGCAGGAGAGTGAACTTAAACCTTTTATGGACTTTATTCACTAATTTCCAACTATGTGACGTGAACGTGAAAAGTACAAAGTTTCATTGCGAAACTCAAAGAACGAAAGAGAAAATAACTGCTGTTTTTCTTTCTATTCATGATCGGAACTAGTAGTCGAATGTCAAACATCGTGTTTACCTTTTTCTCTGTGACGCAAAAGGGCGTGTATTTTTTCTTCTCTCTCTTGACTCATGTGTACGACTACCGTTTCCTCTATATAAGCAATGCAAAATTCAATCGTCAGTTCATGTTTCGCTAGTAACATAGTCATCTACGATGACCAACGACGATACCGACAACAAATTAGTATCTGATTACAAGAAAACATTTGGTCAACAAGTTCATCATGTATCCAATGACGAAAACATTCGAATTCATCCGGATCGATCATTATACGATGAACTCGAGCAACAACATTTATTAAAACAACCGCGACATCCTACTGGGCTCGGTTTTCATCTGATTCGAGACGGCCAACTTGGCCTGGCAATGTTAAACCAAACTCCAGTATTCCTCGCTCCTGGTCGCCATACATTCTGGTCCCCATTTGATCATCTAATTGGTGTAGCCAATATCACCGATAAATTGATCACACTTGGCAACATCCAAATTGTTACTATTGATCAAGGTGAACTCGGATTGAGCCGTCGAAACGGAGAAACTATCTTGCTCGATCCTGGTCGATACATATTGAAAGCACCACACATTTTCGAGAAGAGTACAGCGGCTAACGCGCAGTACATTGAGCTGGGCACATATCGACGAATAACTGTACCTGTTGGATACGTTGCCGTCGCCTTCGACATCGGCAAACAGATTATTATTCGACCGGAGGACACAAAATCGGGTCCTTTCGAAACCAATTCACCTACGTTCCTTTTTGATAAACAGACCGGCTTTCAATCCGTACAATTACAAGTGAGAGAACTCGATGAATTGAAGGTCAATACTCGCGATGGTATCACGATCACAGCACGAGGTCTCATTACTTATCGAATCAGTGATGCACGAGCAGCATTTATGACCGTTCAAGATATTCATGGTGCAGTGAAACGAGCGGCTGAAGCAACACTTACTTCTCTCTTTCTCAATGCAGCTATCGACGAAATCGCGCCACCTGTTCCAGTAAGACCAGCCGAAGAGGATCTCATTAAATTAAAGCCAGAGAATGATAATGAAAACTTCAACAAACACATTCGCGACGCTTTTCTTCACGATTTCTCTCACAAAGTCAGTCAATGGGGTATTGAACTACAAGATTTAAACATCGAAAAGCTCGAATTCGACAGCAGTGTGAAAGATCTACTTCGTAAACGTGCACAAGCCCGAGTGGAAACGGCGACAAGTTTATCTAACATGCGCGCTCAAACCGATATTGCCACACAGCAAGCCGATAGAGAAAAGCAACAGGCTCAGATTAACGCCGAAGCTGCTGCATTCGTCACTCGAACTAAAGCCGACGCCGATTACTATGCCGCTGAGCGCCATGCCCAAGCCGCGAAATTGCTGCAAGAAGTACCTCTTGCAGCTCAACTTGAACTCAAACGATTAGATGTTGAAACTGTGAAAGCAACTGGCGATCGAACAACGTTCATGCCGATGAATATGCACATTGGAGACATAGCAGTGACAGACAAACATACTGGACAAATGTATTGGGTGTCTAATACAACATCCACAACGAAACTATAACTCACACATACTGCAATAACATTCTCAATTTAGTTTTTATATTTTGAAAAAGTCGTTGAATATGAAAAAAAGGCGCGTTTGTAAATAAACAAGAAATGGTGGATGTATTTGCACGAGCATCTCTTTGTTATTTAACAAATCGTTGTGATGAAGGTTTTCGACTGGTCTATGATTCTCTGCGAATATCTAGTGAGAAAATTTCTTTGAATTGGGAAGAACAAGAAGTTTTTTGTTTCCTATCGATGAATCTTCTTGAAAAACGATATCAATCTTGGCTAAAACTCACACATCTTTTGACGAAATCAACTGGCTTCGTAGAACATCAATCAATTGAAAGTTACATCGAAACTATTCGTAATGAAATGATCCTTTATTCTGATCAAATATTCGATTTAGTTCAAAACCATTTCCTCGTTACATCCAAGCAGGAATCCATATTTTATCTCAACCTTCAAGGCGACATTCATTTCTATCTTAGTCAAATATCAAAGTTCAATACTAAACTTCAGCATTTCCATTCTTCGCTTCGATTCTATAATCGATCGTTGCAAATCTCTCCTGAAAATATCTCTGCTGTCTACAACAAAGCATTGGTACATACTCAATTTTCACTTTTATTCATCTCGATTCCGTATAATTTAGTTATTTATTCTTATCACAGAAGAATACGATCGAGCACGAGATCTTTTAACAAACACCATCGATGAATTCGAGAAAAAACAAATCCCCAATGGAGAACTTCGATCCTTACAAAACTATCTACAAAATAAACTACTTGATTTCCATTTCGTCGAACCGAGCACAATCGTCAAACAGAATAATCATCAAACAAACCGATAAAAACATGTAAATCGGTAGATTGGCGAGATTTAAACCGTAGATAATCGTTAATTGAACAATGAGAAACACGAGAGTCGATAGCGGGATTAGAAATACCAAACGTTTCAAACCTAAAGAGGCAAATTTAACAAGAAATCTCTCGAAAGTTTGTANATATTGCGAGCTGAGAAAGGCACAAGCTACTGTAGTATAATGGTAGTATCACGGTTTGTCGGACCGAAGATCAGGGTTCGATTCCCTGCAGTAGCGAGATATCTTTTTTCATTTCATCATTCACTAATTATTTGTAACATAACGATTCACTTCGTACAGTAATTGCATCATATAAAGCGTACATAACACGAACATTGCTTTTCGTTCTATGAATATAATACATGCCATTTTGGAGTTTGTTCATATGTGTCATTGCAGTGTACATTATATGGATACAACTCAAGGTGAAAGATGCTGTATCATCAGTTACATCTTTAGTTGAGTTTTTATTATTTTTATTTTCAAATTATCTTATAAAGTTTTCTGAGTTCACTTGGAGTGTTTAGACCCAGAAGTTTCCACCCATGCCTCGTAAACCATTGCAGACAGACTCAATGGTCCCATTGCATACGTGATATTCATTAAAAAGCTCCACAGAATTTGACAAAAAATTTCGAAGAAGTGTTATCTATTGCATAGAAATGCACGTTGACAAACAAATTGATTATTCTATCCATTCAAAGTTGAGTAACACGATCGCATGTCATGTGTTCCATCTGAGACTACGTAGAAAAAATTTTATATATCAAACGCAACATGTGCGCGTATGATACTCTTGAATCAACAAAATTCTTTCCAACTTCAACCTTTTCTTCTTTCCTACTAAGGTGTATGTTACTGAGAAATGTTACTGTAAAACTTCAAAAACTGTTTCATTATCCGAATCATAGAACAAAGTCATGTCTATATTTGGTATTTGTAATCTTGATCGTCTTGAGCAGTACTTAAATAGTAGTTTAACGAAATTAGAAAATCTTACCAATGACAACGAACAATTACTCGTAGATACCATTAAAACAATCGACACGCTTACTGTCTACAACATATCACTTTTATGCAAACCAAAGATTTTCTCTCACAAAGTATTTATTAAGTTTCGATATTGCTACAACGTACAGCTTAGTGTATGGAGAGCAGAACAACATCGTTTGAACGGTTACGCACAAGAAGTTTTGTCAAAAGTAGGAAATTTGTTTGTTACTTTAAGTGAACACATTGATGATGCTGATTTGCAAATATACGAAGAGTTTCTTTTCGAAAAAACCCTTATCGAAGAACTTTGTTTATGTTTGAAAAATGTCATTTATTATATCGACGATCCAACCATTGGACATATTAGCCAATTCATTTTTGCACTTGGACGCTTTCAATATAATGGAAGAACTTTACAGAACAACTCACTGCAAGAAGATCTACTCAATGCTATTCGTGAGTGTCTTACATCTCTATGGTATGAGATGTGTCTTTCTGCAGAAATGACTGTCGAACAATCAAATGTATATTATAATTGTCTTGATTACGTATTAGGCTGTTCAGATGAACATTACAAGCGTTGTTGTGAATTCATATCAATGAAGTTGATCAAAACGTTTCCACGATGGTTTCATGAACAAGTGATTAATGGGTCGATTTTTCATTGGAATGAGCAAATCACATCTATTAGTTCAAAATTAATCACCATTTTAACAAGTCAAATTCGACAATTTGAGAACGGGGTTGAAGGGGATTATATGGATTCGTATAAAGTATTGACTGAATCATTGCTTATTGTCCTTTCGAAAATTTCAACGGAAGATGAGTTTAATCCGCGAAAAAGTCTTTTTATTGAAAATATGGCTAATTTAGCATTGAATTCCTACTTACTCGACATGATTAAGCAAACGGATTTGTCTCAAATATATCCGTACTTAATTGAGAAAAATCAACAAACTAATATACAAATGAATGCATGTTGTCTATTATTGTCAACTTTATCTGATACAGAAACTTCTCTACTTATTGATCTGAGAAAGGTCATCGGTATAGTGTTAAAAAGTTTAATCCCCTATACAGACACATCGAAATGTCGACGTCATTTGATAGCGACCATGACTCATTTACAACGTAAGAACTACGCCTAATAATATTAATTTTGATGCATTTTCTTAGGAGGATTTCAATATGAAACAAACAGAAGAGAATTTATCGAACAAGATGGGCTGTCTCGATTGATACAATTTGCAACGTGTTGCAAAAAGAATTCTTTCGAGCTACGTGATATGGCCTTGAAAATGATTTGTGTTCTAGCCAACTGTTACACAGATGATATCAACAATGTTGTTGAGTCTCTTCCGGTACGTCAACGAAAGTTTCGTTCATTCCATAACAGTCGCTTGTCTCTTCTTCTACTGTCTTATTTTTCATATAGGAAATCATGCCGGGGAGTGAACAAGAATGGTTACTAAAATCTTGGAAACTTCACAATTGGAACAATGATACGAAAACTGCATGTTCAAGCGTATCAGGAACCATACCTACACACAACTATGATCCGACAATAGCATTAAAAGCTTTATTAAAACAGGACAAGCTAATCGATGAGAAACATATGAAAGCAGTTGCACAACGTCATCGCGAGGATATCCTTTTAGTTTGGATATATAAGGACGAGGATGAGAAGACATTAAGAGATAGTATCGTTCATTTACGTAGTCTTATACACATTGTTCGCATATACTCCTGCTTGAAATGTGCCGAAGCCGTCACATTCATTTTAAACAATCGCCATGAGAATATCTTTGTGCTTCTTCATGCTTCCATACAGAGATATGTCGTAAGAAAAATTCAACATGCCATCCATATCGCTGCTATTACTGTTTATGATGCTCCTCATTCTTCTACAAAAACATCAACCGAACTTGAACAGACCAGCTTGGTACGGTATGAAGCTGACTTTCAATGCTCCGTTGATGCTTTATCAATTATGATTCAATCATATCAAAATCAGACATTTTGGTTCTATGAATCAAAACAAACCCGATGCGCAGATCTGTCGACTGAATCAGCGAGTTTTCTGTGGCAGTTTCTTCTTACTCGTATTCTTAACAAAATGCCCCCAGTCGACATGAATGACTTTATCGATTTAGCTCGGCAATGGTATAAAAACAATCCACTATGTTTGTACCAGATTGACTACTTTCGTAAAAAGTACGACAGCAGTGCAGTTACTGGCTGGATTTTCACCAAAGGTTCATCATTTGTTCAGCGTTTACTTCAAAAAGCATTCAAAGAAGTTGATATGCAAATCATATGGGCAGCTCGTTTTTTTATCATTGATCTTATGAAAATCATTGAGTCACAGAACGGTTTTAAGCGTCATGCAGGTCATATTACGCTGGGCGAATTAATGAGTGTGAAACGAATGCAGTTTCTGTTGGAACATCAAGATACACTTCTAATGGCGAAAGGTTTTCTAGTTGGACGTAGAAACTTAGAAAAGACAATAGGAGATTTACAAAAGCGACCACGTTGTAAAGATTCTGTTCATTCTATTCTATTTGAGGTGGATCCCGAGAATCATTGTTCAGTTTTGGTTTTGAATGATGAATATGTTTTGTTTGGACTTGATGTTTCTTTTCGTATATGTTCAATCAGATATGATCAATCACTTGATATTTATAGAATCCAATTACGAGTGTTAAATATTAATGAACTGTGGCAGAACCACATAGCATTACTCCAAGAAGTTGGTGAATGTACTGATGAAATCATTTTATTTGGTACTTTGCTTGCCGATATAAATCGAGTTCCAGCCGCCATGGATTATTATTTATCACGTATGAATGAATTCACATTCGATCCGTTGTTGAACGCTCATCGTTTGGTTCAGCTTGGTCGAATTGCCCTGCGGTGCAACAGAACAGAAAAGGCTGAAAACTATTACATTATGGGTCTGACTCTATATGAAACACTCTTATCGGAAAATGATCCATGTTTTATTCGTCTGTTGCTTGACCTTATGTTTGTTTATGTCAAAAGGGAAATCAGTTATCAGGCATTTTGTATTTATGAACGAATTCGACCTGTTTTGACAGAAGAATCCATATCTGTATGGCAATCACTACTTTCATGGAGTCAAGGATTAATATGTTCTTGTCGACTAATAGCATCTGGTCTTCAACAAACTAATCAAACACTCAATAAGTACTTCATATCATATAAACAGTTGAATTATCAATGCACTCATCCAGTCCTTATCGGTGGATTAGCAATTGACATAGGCGACTTTGCATACAAACAAGGGTATATTCCTCTTAGCAGTGATTGCTATCTATTTGCATTTGAAATCGCTAATCAGAATCTTCCACTTTGCCATCCGATGGCTATGGCCAGTTTAAGACGTCAATTAATCAATGCTGACACATATTCTCGAAATGACAAGCTTACAATTCGTGAAAACCGACTTTTACCTTTATTACAACACAGCTTAAACGATATAAACGACGATGATAATCAACAAATTGCCGATACTATGCGAAAAATCGGTTTTGAATATGTTACAAATGGTATAAACGAAATAGCAAAGTTTTACATAGAAAAATGTATAACAATTTATCGACGACAAATACCGGTTGACGAAGTCGCTTTAAATGAATGTCAAGCATATATTTTTGAAACAGAAAATCAAGCAGCCTTTAAATTTTTCATTACAGATTGTAACAAAGCTTTACATGATATCTGTTGGAGCGCATGGTATAGGTATACTCATCCCTACGATCCTGCAGAAGTCGAAGAACAACAACAAATATGGGGTATGTTATCTTGTTCTATGGAAAGAGGCAAATGATATAATTGAATCCTTTTTCAAATTTAGACACAGCTTTGTCGAGTTTTTTTTACAATATGACAACAGAATCTGGAGTCGTTTGTCGATCACTCATTGTTTGGATTGATACAAGAAAAGATGCAAATAGAAATAATACTTTATTAGAAAGGTTGATAAGAAGTAATGAGATTGAATTACATGTGTTTGATAATGTCGATTTGGCTGTTACTTTTCTTTTGGGGAAAGATTTTCAACACGTACGGGTAGTAGTAGCTAATAATATAGCTGATGCTTTCTTTAACAAGCAGAAATCACGTCAATTGCAAACAAATATCTGTTTGACGATGTGTGTATTTATCTTTGGGATTGATCATGACGACGAATTGTACAAAAACTATCTAAGTTCACTACAATGTAGCCGAAAATGTTGGACACAAATGTCGAAAGTGATCGAACGATGTCTCATAATGTCAGATGATGACTCATTATTGAATGAATTTTGTACACAACCAGATATTGTGGGAATAGCAATTGCTCCAATGATGCTTTTAGTTGATGTTCAAGCATTTGGGAATATGTTTTTCGATGAAATAGATCCCATGGAACATCAAGTGTATTTCGGTTCGGATGACACGAATTACGAATTCATAGGTTACATGTCGGGCTGCCAAATCTCTGCACCGAAATTATTTCATCATCTTCGTTTTGCGAAATCAATTAACCTTCCAAAACATCAAGCTCAAATGATAGCATTTATTATTTTTGGCAGACGACATGGTCTGTCATCGCGTCAGATTGCATCTATATGTCGATATTTTACACCTGGTCGTTGCATTCAACCGATCACATTGATCAAATATCTTGTTCGACTTTGGTCACTTGAGTCACCACCCTTCTACCAACTTGTTAACAAAGCATTGGCAGAATGTATCATCGAAGACGTACATCTTCTACGTTTCATTATATATGATTATTTTGAATTGTTTAATGCTAAATTGTTACCTTATTATGTCGGAACACTCTATCGTGGAATTCAAACATCAAAAGAATATATTCTTTCACTCGTATCGCTCATTGGTAAACAGATCTATTTTGTTTGTTTTACTTCAACATCGAAAAATAAAGCACGTGCTATGGTTGGTGGAAACACTCTTTTCATAATTCAAACAATGTCTGAACAAGAACAAGCGGAATGTCGTATACAAACCAATGTGGACATAACCTCGGTTTCACAATTCTCTGAAGAAGAAGAAGTCTTATATGCTCCACTTACCACATTTCTCTTGTTAAGTGTTACGTTTGTTCGAGATCCAAATGAGAGTATCAAATACATTGTTAAACTGCGTGAACAAGCTTCAAGTCTTTTTTATCAATTATTTATGGATAAAGAACGATTTCCCAATGGTACTCCGTTTGAAGACGGTACAGATATGTGGCAATACAAAAGATGAAACAATCAATAAAGTATATCACATTCAATGGTTTGAACCTTCACACATTTTATATTCTACTCTCGAATTGTATATTACTAAATAAAAATTGTTGGAACAACATAAAGCATATTTTCATTTTATCTCGATATACGTATCATGTCTTCAAAAGAGAAATTTATTTTCCACTTAGAGATGCAGAATACATTCTACAGCAATGCAAACAAATACGGATAGAAATAGATTTGGATGAGAGCTAGTGATGAGCTTGACATCTTGGAAGCGAAGAGCGCGGTGTTTGAGCAGTAGTGGAGAAGTGATGTAAACTCGTATTTTCGTTTGTTCGTGTGAGTATAATCGGCAATGATTTCGAATGAGAATAGGCGATCGCTCCCGTCAAATGAAATGTTCCAATGCAAACTCAGGATAAAGACTGCTCAATACTGAGCTGAGAAAAGCACAAGCTACTGTAGTATAATGGTAGTATCACGGTTTGTCGGACCGAAGATCAGGGTTCGATTCCCTGCAGTAGCGAGATATCTTTTTTCATTTCATCATTCACTAATTATTTTTAACATAATGATTCACTTCGTACAGTAATTGCATCATATAAAGCGTACAGAACACAAACATTACTTCTCGTTCTATGAATATAATACACGCCATTTTGGAGTTTGTTCACATGTGTCATTGCAGTGTACATTATATGGATACAACTCAAGGTGAAAGATGCTGTATCATCAGTTGCATCTTTTCTCTCTTTATTTGAGTTTTCTTATTTTTGTTTTCAAATTATTTTATAAAATTTTCTGAGTTCACTTGGAGTGTTTAGACCCAGAAGTTTCCACCCATGCCTCGTAAACCATTGCATACGTGATATTCATTAAAAAGCTCCACAGAATTTGACAAAAAATTTCGAAGAAGTGTTATCTATTGCATGGAAATGCACGTTGACAAACAAATTGATTATTCTATCCATTCAAAGTTGAGTAACACGATCGCATGTCATGCATTCCATCTGAGACTACGTAGAAAAAATGTTATATATCAAACGCAACATGTGCGCGTATGATACTCTTGAATCAACAAAATTCTTTCCAACTTCTACCTTGTCTTCTTTCCTACTAAAGTGTATATCGCTGAGAAATGTTACCGTAAAGCTTCAAAAACTGTTTCATTATCCGAATCATAGAGCAAAGTCATGTCTATATTTGGTATTTGTAATGTTGATCGTCTTGAGCAGTGCTTAAATAGTAGTTTAACGAAATTAGAAAATATTACTAATGACAACGAACAATTACTCGTGGATATCATTAAAACAATCGACACGCTTACTGTCTATAACATATCACTTTTATGCAAACCAAAGATTTTCTCTCACAAAGTGTTTATTAAGTTTCGATATTGCTACAACGTACAGCTTAGTGTATGGAGAGCAGAACAACATCGTTTGAACGGTTACGCGCAAGAAGTTTTGTCAAAAATAGGAAACTTGTTTGTTACTTTAAGTGAACACATTGATGATGCTGATTTGCAAATATACGAAGAGTTTCTTTTCGAAAAAACCCTTATCGAAGAACTTTGTTTATGTTTGAAAAATGTCATTTATCATATTGACGATCCAACCATTGGACATATTAGCCAATTAATTTTTGCACTTGGACGCTTTCAATATAATGGAAGAACTTTGCAGTACAATTCACTGCAAGAGGATCTACTCGATGCTATTCGTGAGTGTCTTACATGTCTATGGTATGAGATGTGTCTTTGTGCAGAAATGACTGTCGAACAATCAAATGTATATTATAACTGTCTTGATTACGTATTAGACTGTTCAGATGAACATTACAAGCGTTGTTGTGAATTAATAACAATGAAGTTGATCAAAACGTTTCCACGATGGTTTCATGAACAAGTGATTAATGGGTCGATTTTTCATTGGAATGAGCAAATCACATGTATTAGTTCCAAATTAATCGCGATTTTAACAAGTCAAATTCGACAATTTGAGAACAGGGTTGAAGGGAATTATATGGATTCGTATAAAGTATTGACTGAATCATTGCTTATTGTCCTTTCGAAAATTTCAACGGAAGATGAGTTTAATTCGCGAAAAAGTCTTTTTATTGAAAATATGGCTAATTTAGCATTGAATTCTTACTTACTCGACATGATTAAGCAAACGGATTTGTCTCAAATATATCCGTACTTAATTGAAAAAAATCAACAAGCTAATATACAAATGAATGCATGTTGTCTATTATTGTCAACTTTATCTGATACAGAAAATTCTCTACTTATTGATCTGAGAAAGGTCATCGGTATAGTGTTAAAAAGTTTAATCCCCTATACAGGCACATCGAAATGTCGACGTCATTTGATAGCGACCATGACTCATTTACAACGTAAGAACTACGTCTAATAATATTAATTTTGATGCATTTTCTTAGGAGGATTTCAATATGAAACAAACAGAAGAGAATTTATCGAACAAGATGGGCTGTTTCGATTGATACAATTTGCAACGTGTTGCAAAAAGAATTCTTTCAAGCTACGTGATATGGCTTTGAAAATGATTTGTGTTCTAGCCAACTGTTGCACAGATGATATCAACAATGTTGTTGAGTCTCTTCCGGTACGTCAACGAAAGTTTCGTTCATTCCATAACAGTCGCTCGTCTCTTCTTCTACTGTCTTATTTTCCATATAGGAAATCATGCCGGGGAGTGAACAAGAATGGTTACTAGAATCTTGGAAACTTTACAATTGGAACAACGATACGAAAACTGCAAGTTCAAGCGTATCAGTAACCATACCTACACACAACTATGATCCGACAATAGCATTAAAAGCTGTATTAAAACAGGACAAGCTAATCGATGAGAAACATATGAAAGCAGTTGTACAACGTCATCGCGAGGATATCCTTTTAGTTTGGATATATAAGGACGAGGATGAGAAGACATTAAGAGATAGTATCGTTCATTTACGAAGTCTTATACACATTGTTCGCATATACTCCTGCTTGAAATGTGCCGAAGCCGTCACATTCATTTTAAACAATCGCCATGAGAATATCTTTGTGCTTCTACATGCTTCCATACAGAGATATGTCGTAAGAAAAATTCAACATGCCATCCATATCGCTGCTATTACTGTTTATGATGCTCCTCATTCTTCTACAAAATCATCAATCGAACTTGAACAGACCAGCTTGGTACGGTATGAAGCTGACTTTCAATGCTCCGTTGATGCTTTATCAATTATGATTCAATCATATCAAAATCAGACATTTTGGTTCTATGAATCAAAACAAACCCGATGCGCAGATCTGTCGACTGAATCAGCGAGTTTTCTGTGGCAGTTTCTTCTTACTCGTATTCTTAACAAAATGCCCCCAGTCGACATGAATGACTTTATCGATTTAGCTCGGCAATGGTATAAAAACAATCCACTATGTTTGTACCAGATTGACTACTTTCGTAAAAAGTACGACAGCAGTGCAGTTACTGGCTGGATTTTCACCAAAGGTTCATCATTTGTTCAGCGTTTACTTCAAAAAGCATTCAAAGAAGTTGATATGCAAATCATATGGGCAGCTCGTTTTTTTATCATTGATCTTATGAAAATCATTGAGTCACAGAACGGTTTTAAGCGTCATGCAGGTCATATTACGCTGGGCGAATTAATGAGTGTGAAACGAATGCAGTTTCTGTTGGAACATCAAGATACACTTCTAATGGCGAAAGGTTTTCTAGTTGGACGTAGAAACTTAGAAAAGACAATAGGAGATTTACAAAAGCGACCACGTTGTAAAGATTCTGTTCATTCTATTCTATTTGAGGTGGATCCCGAGAATCATTGTTCAGTTTTGGTTTTGAATGATGAATATGTTTTGTTTGGACTTGATGTTTCTTTTCGTATATGTTCAATCAGATATGATCAATCACTTGATATTTATAGAATCCAATTACGAGTGTTAAATATTAATGAACTGTGGCAGAACCACATAGCATTACTCCAAGAAGTTGGTGAATGTACTGATGAAATCATTTTATTTGGTACTTTGCTTGCCGATATAAATCGAGTTCCAGCCGCCATGGATTATTATTTATCACGTATGAATGAATTCACATTCGATCCGTTGTTGAACGCTCATCGTTTGGTTCAGCTTGGTCGAATTGCCCTGCGGTGCAACAGAACAGAAAAGGCTGAAAACTATTACATTATGGGTCTGACTCTATATGAAACACTCTTATCGGAAAATGATCCATGTTTTATTCGTCTGTTGCTTGACCTTATGTTTGTTTATGTCAAAAGGGAAATCAGTTATCAGGCATTTTGTATTTATGAACGAATTCGACCTGTTTTGACAGAAGAATCCATATCTGTATGGCAATCACTACTTTCATGGAGTCAAGGATTAATATGTTCTTGTCGACTAATAGCATCTGGTCTTCAACAAACTAATCAAACACTCAATAAGTACTTCATATCATATAAACAGTTGAATTATCAATGCACTCATCCAGTCCTTATCGGTGGATTAGCAATTGACATAGGCGACTTTGCATACAAACAAGGGTATATTCCTCTTAGCAGTGATTGCTATCTATTTGCATTTGAAATCGCTAATCAGAATCTTCCACTTTGCCATCCGATGGCTATGGCCAGTTTAAGACGTCAATTAATCAATGCTGACACATATTCTCGAAATGACAAGCTTACAATTCGTGAAAACCGACTTTTACCTTTATTACAACACAGCTTAAACGATATAAACGACGATGATAATCAACAAATTGCCGATACTATGCGAAAAATCGGTTTTGAATATGTTACAAATGGTATAAACGAAATAGCAAAGTTTTACATAGAAAAATGTATAACAATTTATCGACGACAAATACCGGTTGACGAAGTCGCTTTAAATGAATGTCAAGCATATATTTTTGAAACAGAAAATCAAGCAGCCTTTAAATTTTTCATTACAGATTGTAACAAAGCTTTACATGATATCTGTTGGAGCGCATGGTATAGGTATACTCATCCCTACGATCCTGCAGAAGTCGAAGAACAACAACAAATATGGGGTATGTTATCTTGTTCTATGGAAAGAGGCAAATGATATAATTGAATCCTTTTTCAAATTTAGACACAGCTTTGTCGAGTTTTTTTTACAATATGACAACAGAATCTGGAGTCGTTTGTCGATCACTCATTGTTTGGATTGATACAAGAAAAGATGCAAATAGAAATAATACTTTATTAGAAAGGTTGATAAGAAGTAATGAGATTGAATTACATGTGTTTGATAATGTCGATTTGGCTGTTACTTTTCTTTTGGGGAAAGATTTTCAACACGTACGGGTAGTAGTAGCTAATAATATAGCTGATGCTTTCTTTAACAAGCAGAAATCACGTCAATTGCAAACAAATATCTGTTTGACGATGTGTGTATTTATCTTTGGGATTGATCATGACGACGAATTGTACAAAAACTATCTAAGTTCACTACAATGTAGCCGAAAATGTTGGACACAAATGTCGAAAGTGATCGAACGATGTCTCATAATGTCAGATGATGACTCATTATTGAATGAATTTTGTACACAACCAGATATTGTGGGAATAGCAATTGCTCCAATGATGCTTTTAGTTGATGTTCAAGCATTTGGGAATATGTTTTTCGATGAAATAGATCCCATGGAACATCAAGTGTATTTCGGTTCGGATGACACGAATTACGAATTCATAGGTTACATGTCGGGCTGCCAAATCTCTGCACCGAAATTATTTCATCATCTTCGTTTTGCGAAATCAATTAACCTTCCAAAACATCAAGCTCAAATGATAGCATTTATTATTTTTGGCAGACGACATGGTCTGTCATCGCGTCAGATTGCATCTATATGTCGATATTTTACACCTGGTCGTTGCATTCAACCGATCACATTGATCAAATATCTTGTTCGACTTTGGTCACTTGAGTCACCACCCTTCTACCAACTTGTTAACAAAGCATTGGCAGAATGTATCATCGAAGACGTACATCTTCTACGTTTCATTATATATGATTATTTTGAATTGTTTAATGCTAAATTGTTACCTTATTATGTCGGAACACTCTATCGTGGAATTCAAACATCAAAAGAATATATTCTTTCACTCGTATCGCTCATTGGTAAACAGATCTATTTTGTTTGTTTTACTTCAACATCGAAAAATAAAGCACGTGCTATGGTTGGTGGAAACACTCTTTTCATAATTCAAACAATGTCTGAACAAGAACAAGCGGAATGTCGTATACAAACCAATGTGGACATAACCTCGGTTTCACAATTCTCTGAAGAAGAAGAAGTCTTATATGCTCCACTTACCACATTTCTCTTGTTAAGTGTTACGTTTGTTCGAGATCCAAATGAGAGTATCAAATACATTGTTAAACTGCGTGAACAAGCTTCAAGTCTTTTTTATCAATTATTTATGGATAAAGAACGATTTCCCAATGGTACTCCGTTTGAAGACGGTACAGATATGTGGCAATACAAAAGATGAAACAATCAATAAAGTATATCACATTCAATGGTTTGAACCTTCACACATTTTATATTCTACTCTCGAATTGTATATTACTAAATAAAAATTGTTGGAACAACATAAAGCATATTTTCATTTTATCTCGATATACGTATCATGTCTTCAAAAGAGAAATTTATTTTCCACTTAGAGATGCAGAATACATTCTACAGCAATGCAAACAAATACGGATAGAAATAGATTTGGATGAGAGCTAGTGATGAGCTTGACATCTTGGAAGCGAAGAGCGCGGTGTTTGAGCAGTAGTGGAGAAGTGATGTAAACTCGTATTTTCGTTTGTTCGTGTGAGTATAATCGGCAATGATTTCGAATGAGAATAGGCGATCGCTCCCGTCAAATGAAATGTTCCAATGCAAACTCAGGATAAAGACTGCTCAATACTGAGCTGAGAAAAGCACAAGCTACTGTAGTATAATGGTAGTATCACGGTTTGTCGGACCGAAGATCAGGGTTCGATTCCCTGCAGTAGCGAGATATCTTTTTTCATTTCATCATTCACTAATTATTTGTAACATAATGATTCACTTCGTACAGTAATTGCATCATATAAAGCGTACAGAACACAAACATTACTTCTCGTTCTATGAATATGACTCATGTCTTAATTTTTTCATATCTATCATTATAGTCTACATCATGCATACGCTTTCATGTCAAAGGTTAGTTGATTTTCCTTTTTTTGCGTAATATTTTCTATTTATTTGAAACGGAGCATCAAATGAGAGTGTCATCATTGATTAGAAATGATACGTATAATATATGTTCCTTTGTTCTCAGTCATTGAAATGCTTTTGGAGAGATTCAGAGTGTCATTGGTAAATTGACAGACAAATAAGCCTCACCCTTAGTCATCTGATACGATTGTTCTTTCAACCCTATAGTTATGGTATATGAGAAAACATACAAGTAAAATTTTATCAACGAAAGATGTAATTAATAAGGCAAGTTTTAGTTTTTGCTGTTTTTCTGCAACTCAAGTTGTTCAGACGGAGGTAAACGTACAAGACAGTGTAGGTCATTGGCTGTCATGGTTCGAACCCATAGAAAAGTCTTAATAAAACCAAATGCTTTACAAATTTGACCGATAACATAACTTTTTCTTTCGGCTGCTTGATCATCAACAAACCATAGTTTTACATCGTTTGACCATGTTTTATTAGTTAGATCCCACATAGATGATAATTGGCTAATTGTTGGAGTGTCGGTTATATTGATAATATTCGCCGCGAAGCCAATAAACAATAGCCACTGGTCACTTGTCCATTCTGACGGATCACTTACATGGCCAACAAATGATATTTGATAGACTTTAACCAGAGTGAGCAAAATAAGTGTGCTAATAAGTGTGATCAATTCAATAAAAATAATTAAGGTAAGAATTGTAAACGAAATAATTCGCTTCGGTCGAGAATAATTCGAGAAAACTGACACACTTATTGAAATTTCTTTTGATATGATATTAAATCCATTTAATGAGACAATTGGAATCAGTTTTATCATATTGAATGCCATTAAAGTGAATTCTGTGTCAAGTAAATTCACCCATTCACCTTTACTTGCGCATAGTGATTTCTTAGCTTTGTAATTGTTGTATAGAAGACGTACCAAAGTACCAAACAATAATAAATGTACCAAACTAAATTCACCATAGTATATGATCGAATGAAACGTTGAGTAAGTATCTGCAAAGTCCTCTTGTTGATGAATTACACTGTGATATATCATAAACATGTTCAACGTTGGTAGTACGAGCGTCAATAGTCCCAAAAGAAGTTTTGTATTGTAGACTATTTGGTTAGTTTTTAAGTCATCGGAAATATATTTCGTTAGTTCATTTCGATCACGAAAGATAAATGGATAAGGAAACAGTATACACGAGGAATCATCGAAAGTGACCTTACTTCCATCCAGTTTATCAGTGGCATCCATATCGACAGTAGATTTCGTTCAAAATTTATCTTTTCTTTTTCACAACGAGCATGAACGGTAAAAAACAGAAGCATATATATAGTGATACGAAGGTTCAGTCAGTCGAACAAAGAGGTTAAGGACATTTATATATTCATATATTATTGGATGATGATATGTGTCCAATGAGAAGATCCACAGATGAACAAAAAAAAGATATACCGACGTGAAAGATGAATCGGAAGAACAAAATAGTTTAAAACGTCAAATATTCTAATTTCGACCTTAAGAATCATGTGGTCAACAGCACTGCGCACAAGGAAATACCAAGGAGAAGATCAATCGCTTATGTCTCAACGAAGGAGGAAAATTTTTGGAGCAGCTGTACAGCTTGGATTGCAACATAGAAATGAACTGTGTGACGACAACAATAGTTTGACCTTCAAATATTAGTGCAGTTTAGTGCAACACGAGGGCGATACCAGTAATCATATGATCTGATTTGGAATATACTACACACACAAGTTCTTGGTACTAATGAATAATCTTGTTCTGGGTGTATTCTCTAAGTTTTTTCAATCCAAATGACGATCTTCTCTGTACTAAATGATATCTTCAAGACGTCGTTTAACAACATAGTAGAATAAAAAAGTTACCGTTTCCTTGTGTCATGTAAACGAGAGTTGACAAGTCATATTGCATATTCCGAAGTGCAATTTTATCGATTATAGTTCTAATTTATCATATGTAGCTATTTGTTTGATAATGCGACTTAATCATTTCTTCTAAATGTATGGCTTAGCTTCAAGTTTTGTTCGATGAACTAATCATTGCGTTTAACGTCAATTAATGATAAACAAAAGTTTGTTAAACTAATAAGACACTTATTATTATTAGGAGAAGATCAATTTTAAACAATAAGGCAGTTTCTTTACTTATAGAACTCATCTGAAAATGTGTACATGAGTGGGAAAGATAGAACCAGATATATTACACGTAGTATCTAAATTGTTCCTATAAGAAAATTTTGTCCATTTCACAAGCTAAACAGTAAAGATTTCATCATATAGTTAATTACTTAAGTAAAATATTGTTTTTCAAGGATTGCTCAGTGTCAAAATAGTGACTTTTCCTAATGCAGCGTAATCCAGTGCACTTGTTGTACCATTCGTTGGTGAATAAGTGCTAGTATGATGTGCGTTCAAACATTCGCCGATAAAACACACCCAATAGCCTAGTAATCCACGCTATTCAAACCAATGATAATAATTTCATCTGAAAAAAGAAAGACCGAGAAGATTAACACATCAGCCTGTTCCGTTTGTTAGGATGAAAAGATGAACAAGAGTTGCACCATCTATGGTTATTGTCGTTGTTCGTTTCGCTCAGAGTGTAATCGAATAAATAAATGCATTGATCAACAGATTAATTCATCTATATTTAGTTATCTATAGTTCGACAATCATTTGTAGGAATTTTATGTCGATGTGGTTCAATGTTCACAACCTTTCAACGAATTCGGACGAAATTATGGACTAGATCATTCATTTGCATTCTTATCCATTCGAGCACGGACATATGATGTTGATGAAGAAGGAAATTGATTATTACAAGAGAGAAACATATTAGTTACGTTGACCGAAACAGAATTTCTGAAAACGCTATAAAATAATTGTCGATGTGCTAAGAGCTACAAATCGAACAAGTAAGAAACGATCAATTCTACTTCCATAAGGTCCGTATTATAATTGACTAAAGAAACGTTTGCCAACGTATGAGTCATTTCTTGCCTGTCTATTTAAGCAAATATATACGAATTAACAGGAGAAACTAAAAATAAAATTATCATAACTATCCGAACATGTCTAAAAAAAGGACACCAATCTTCAATTGTGATATAATTTGTGAAGAAATATTGCTTTGGGCCGATGTTGGCTTCATGCAGATCCTATTTTATGCTCTATTTGACGTGTTCATAACTGTACAATGTAAATCGCGTGTATGTGATGAATAAATAAAATGATACGTCTGATAGTCTTTGGGGACATAGCTTCAATGGTAGAACATTCGACTCCAAATCGAAAGACCCTGGTTCGATTCCGGGTGTCCCCCTACTTTTTCACTTTCTCAATTTGTGTAAAAACTGTGTATATTGTTCTTTCTCTGTCGTATGAATCATTTGCGACACTATGTAGGAAGAAGGGAAGGAGAAATGTATTGCTACTGCAATATGTTTCATTGTCTGACATTCCAAATTAGTTTTCCTTCGGATATTACTGACACCTCTTACTCATCGTTGCAACCATAATACAGTAAGAAAAGCACGCAAACTGTAGCGAATCAATCAATTGGCTTAAAAAGGAAACAAGATTGAAGGAGTTTTGCCGAAGGATTAAACTGCATATGTGACTCGAAAAAAGAAATATAGTTGATTTGAGACTGACCAATACAATTCAGTTATGTTTCAGGTACGACCATTGCAATATCCACCAGCATTTAGCTAATACTTTTCCATTGCGCAGCACGAATGCTACATGGTAAGATGCTGAAATGATCGTGTTCCTAAGTTAGATGAACAGATCAACAAAGAATCTTTAACCAAATACAAGCGAAATTCCTTGCAGCTCTACGGTGGTTAATACAATTTGAACTAGATATCGAAGATTGGAGCACAATTTTACAAGGAGATCTGTCGTCAATGAAAGTCTTATGAAATGTCGCTTGTACATATGTTTCGATGTCGAAATGTCACATTCATTTTCTATGGAAATGAAAAATACTCTCTAGTATAAGAAGTAACACTGGTTCAGATTGTGTGGCTACTTATTATTCATTCAATAAGAATCTAAACGTAGATTTCTCACCTGGCGTGCAAAGCCTCGTTGCTAACACAGGTAAATAGACGGCTGATGGCAAGCAACATGAATTAGCACCGCATACCGATTCATTTGACGCGCACGTGTACGTCACATTATCACATGTTTGTAAAATGGAACAATGAATATCAAAGGAGCACAATAACTGATATTGTGCATTGTGCAATAGTCGAAGCAAGGTGTTGGTGAAAGAGAACAGCGCGATGTTGATAATGTGAATTCAACATCGGTATTGTGGGACGAGCATGAATAACTGGATGGTGTGGTAGTTGGACCTACAGTAAAAGATCATAATGATGAAGAAAATACGATGAATGCGATAAGTTCTGATGAAATGACGGACGAAGGAAAAGATTCAAATTTATTTGCATAGATATGAAAGATACAAAATTGTTTTTATTTCTACAGGTTCTCGGGCAAGTAAACCAAAACTAATCGTCTGCCGAAGTGCGCTATTGTGAGTTATTTTTTATCAGCAACAGTAAAAGAAAACACTTTTTGTAACATGATCTATTCTATAATAGTATGTCTGGAATAGTTTTTCGATAGGATAAATAAATTTATTTTGAAATTAGTGATTGGGAGTAGATCCAAGCCCATTTTCGCCAGCCACTGTGATTCCAATTGAACTATTCATGCGAAATTGTAATATAAGGCTGGTTATAAGGATCATTAGTAAACAGTAACGATGTATTTCTACCGAAGAAGATCCCTCGTAGATAGTGTAAATGTCTTGTTGAATTGTCACTCACATTGTGTACACCATAGCAACAATGGTTTCATTGTCGCGTAGAATTATGTGAAGATTGGAGATATTCAACTGGTTGACAAACTATACGCTAAAAGTAATGGAAAACATATTAAACAAAGCTATTTCCAAGCACTACTGTTTACAAATGTCTTTAGACAAATGGCTGTGCAACTTACGGCCACATTGAAACCGAGGTATCCCAATAAGAATGTGGTACACAGTCGTACGTTGAATCATTAGCACAGGTGAGATAACAATTCTGATGATATGTGCAGGCGAACAAGGTTTACCTTACTGAGCAAAATGATTTGCCGAAAGTCTAATAGTTCCGGCAGTTGACTGGGTGAAGAACAGTTAGCAATGGTGTCCAATGTGTCTGTATTACCTTCAGACAATCGACACTGCTGGGATGTGAAGACATCGCAGTCAAATATATGACACACAGTTTTAATGTACTGGTTAAACTTATTGAAAGAAGTTGCGCAGAGATATTCATAGGAATGGATTGTTTGTTTTTGTTAAGAACCGGCTAGATCTCAAATACTTTTCGTGGAGAACTTTGTTTAATCGTACCGATAAAAACAGACAATTGTCAAACAAATATACAACAATGATGAAAGATAATCATGCTGAAGTACTGCATATCACTAGAATAGGTTCTTGTTGAGTGACAAACAGAATTATCGTTTTGATTGTCATTAAATACCTTTTGGCTTTGCAACAATTACAGTTGGAGTAAAAATGTAATTATTAGAATGATTTTATCTTTTAGTACACAACTAATAAAAGAAACTGTCCGGTAAAGTTGTTTTTTTACGAACAATGTGAAATGGGCTGTCCTATAGGCATGAGGAAGCTCAGTTCAAATTCATGTATAAATAGGCGCAAAATTTTCGAACAGTGAATATAAGCATACCTAGCTCCAACTCGCGAACTGTACGTCTTCTCAAAGATTTACTTTAGTTTTACTTCATAACATACTTGGAACTATACCGCAAGCATCTTCTAAAAATCAATCTCAATCATTTATATTTCAACTTTCTCGGTTTTTAACCTTTCAAATCCAAGATTTAATTTGGTCTGACACAGTCGCATTGCTGTTTGAAACTAACTTGTTGCAAAAGAAATGCCTTCAATATCACGAAACGGAGAAGACGTAGCTCGTTTTGATTTTACATTGTGCTTACGCGCCATAAAGAGTCTATATTTTTGTACGTTCTGCACGCGCAGAAAGTACGTTCGCTATTCTGCTTCAACATGACATCGCATTTTTTTTGTCTGTTCTCCTTGTTTATATTCAATGCTTCAGAAGCGATGACGCCTATTTTTCTCTCTATTCTTTGGAGTATAAATACCGTAGACCATTGCACACGAAGCACGACGTCTTACAATAAAAAACACTTTCACTTTTAGATATATCACAAACATATTTATTCATCCGATCGTCAAACAAAAAAATGATTCGTCGAGTTTATGCAGCCGTCGTTAAAACTATTGGACAAGGGCCAGTCTATGAACTAGTGGACGTACCACAACCGACGAAAAATCAAGTTCAAATTCAAGTCATTGCTGCTGGCATACACAAAGTCGTTCGATCGATTGCTGACGGTCGACACTATGTCAAAGTCAAAACTTTACCATTTATTCCCGGTATAGATGGCGTAGGAACACTTCCTGATGGAAAAAAAGTTTACTTTGTAAACATGGCACCTCCGAATGGTACGATGAGTCAATTAGTTAACGCTGACGAAAATATGACAATCCCACTCCCAGAGAATGCAGATCCAGTACATTTTGCTGCTATTATGAACGCTGGTTTAGCTTCGTGGACAGCTTTGACTGAACGTGCACAAATAAAATCAGGTGAAACGGTTTTAGTACTCGGTGTTACAGGCAGTTCAGGTCAAATGGCGGCGGCATCAGCTCGTCTACTCGGAGCAAAACGGGTTGTTGGTGTTGGACGAAACAAAAGTCTTCTTAATCAATTGGTCGCCGATGGAACCATCGACGTTTCTGTTCCTTTAGATGATGATGATACAAAATATCAAGAATTAATTGCAAAAGAAGCTGCCGATGTTGACATTGTAATGGATTTTCTTTGGGGCCGACCAACCGAAATTGCCATGGCAGGTATTCATTCTGGACGCAATGATTCGTCTCAACACCTACGTTGGGTACAAGTTGGTCAAATGGCAGGCGCAACGATTCAATTGAATGGTGGATTTTTGCGAAGTAAAAATGTAGAACTGATTGGAAGTGGCATTGGTCCCATTTCGATGAAACAGATGCTACAAAGTCTTCAACGTATGGTACCAATGGTCGTCGAAGGAAAACTGAAAACATCGGTTTTAACAATACCATTGAAGGATATCGAAAGTAAATGGCAAGAAACAGCCGATGCGAAAGAACGTGTAGTCGTTGTCATGTAGATTTATTTAGAAGCGAAAGAAAGTTTTTTGTTGTTGTAAAAGTATTCCTTAATAGAGTCTTGATCATAGTACTATCTGAGGATTGAACAAAAATTCTCACACCCACACTCTACATTTGACGACTGTCTCTTTCTACTTGATGGTCGTTTGAAAAGTTTATCTTCACTGACAGTGGATGTGTCATTCATTGAAATATCACCTACATTTACTATTAGTCGTGTTAAGTAAACGATTGTGTGCGTACAGCTCGAAATAGTTCGCCTCAAAATGTCGACGCTTTACAACAGTTTATGATTGTAGAATTAAACGACTACTTAATCGAACGATTAAGTTAAAACAACTCACGTTGTATTTGTATATAATGCGATATAATCCGATTGATCTGAATGAACGCACCCTCAGTCGTTTATTAGATTTGGACGTGTTGTCATTTGATATTTATACAGTCATGCTAACATGTCAACCAATGATATTAAAAAACATTTACCAATTGGAAATATTCTCACGTCGAATGTAGCATGGATCATTTCTCCGATAGAATGACACACGTGCATTCGACTATGACTTCTTCCAATGGATGTCGAAAGCCGTTTCATTGCTTAAATATTTAACATTGGATAATTTCGTACTACAAATACAACGATTTGCACATGATGTGATTTCATATAACCATCTCTTTCGATTACGACTGACTCATGTACATAGTGATTGCGTTTATCAATTTCTTTGTCATACAAAAATATATTCTCCATGACTTTCCATATTGAAAATACAATATGACAAATTACCCATCGCTACGAATAATTTCACCAATGTTACAACCACGTCAATTGTAGACAATTGAAAGAACTTGTATTTGGGCAATATATTATCTATCAGAAAGATTTTCACGGCTACTTTCCTCTTTTGACTGGATAACTCTTTCTCTCTCGTTTAGAAGTCGAGCAAAATGTCAAAATATAGAAAACAGGCCAATTCTCTTAAAAGTTTATGTCAGAGTAAGAGAAACTAATGTTGATTTTGGAACTGCATATGATGAGTTCGAGGAAATTCAATTTGAGATCAAATACGTTGTCCCATGAGGGTGAGAGTTACTCTGTCGGCGGATGTTTCCGAAGTATAAATATGAAAATGCTATTGTTTCTATTTCAAACAAGCAAGTAATACAAGCTGTTGTTAGAGAAAAACTGTGAACATTTATTTTAGCAATACTACTGAAGGATATTGAACACAAATGGCAAGTAGCCGATGCGGCGGAACGTGTAGTTGCTGTTATTTAACTGGGCGATCACTTAAATCACGATCACAACCCTAAGATAAATATACGCATCTCTAGAGTTCACTAAAAGAATTCTTGAAAATCATAAAAGTTACATCAGATAGAACTTCTACAGAATTATGTTCAACATCGACTCTTCACTTGTCAATTACTCTTTTCGCGAATTAGTATTCTCTTTTGGCTTTCTAACAACCTAATTCACGTAAAGTAACAGTAGGTATGTAATTATTTATACCGTCGTTTTCGTTCATAACCAGTGCTCGTTATTCTTTCTACTCTTAGATGATTTCAGGAGTTCTATAACAAACTTTGAAGATAATTGATATACGCATATCTATGTACAGTTTTTGATTTGATTCTTCTATTGCAGGTTAACTGATTATGTATTATATCTTGGTTCTATTCTATGTTGCGAATATTTGCACTTCCTTTTGTATTAATGCTTAATAAACGCTCGTTCTAATAGAAATTCACAAAAGAAAAAGAACGTCTTTTTCATCATTCTACTGTGATTATTTTCTGTTCTGTTGCTTACGTGGCACATGAGAAAAGAGAAAAAAGTCGTCAACAGATAACAACTCGTGACACATATTTTGCTCTACATATTTGTGCATGTAAAATGACGATTTCAATGTCTATAATCGATACTACTATATATTGCTAGTGTTGTTATTTTTCGTCTTTAGTTTTTGTATTAGTATGTCGTCCAAGTCTGGTTCAAAGCAACGAATTTTGGGCACTGCTGAAAATGCGCTCATTGAAACCTCACGACAACATCAAGGACATATGAAAGTCGGTGAAGTTTTACACTTACAAGGACCTTATATCTCCTTAGATATGCTCATAGCAGCAATTAATCGCTTGCAGAGACGTCATCCATTTCTTCGAAGCCGCTTGGAGAACAATTCTACAAAACCGGGTACTTATCTACTGGCAGAGGACGATACATTCAGTCCGAAAATCCTCACATTTGCACGAAAACATGAAGATCGCTTGAATTTCTGCCTTCAAGAATGGCGAAATCGAGAAAAAGAACCGGCCGTGATCGGTCAAGGTTTAGTTGAATTTTGGCTCTTACAGGTAATCTTCTTTGTCTGAAAACAAACGATGATATTAAATGAAGTAACCTCAATTCATTCCTAGGATCCAGAAGATCATGACAATGAAAATACTTTTACCGAAATAGTGATTATCGGTGAGCATAGTATCTGTGATGGTATCTCTCTAAGCACTTTAGCACATGAATTGCTTCTGTCATTAAGCCAAGGTGATGCGAATATGTTCGCTAACTCGCTAGCTTGTCCAATTACAATGGAAGATGCTGTTCGGCAAAGTTTGTCAGCGTGGAATCGAATTGCTACGTTCAGTAAATTTCTACTCGCTATGATACGTTGGAGTGTAGCTAACAATCGACGTGTCGCTAGACTTCCGTTGGGTACTGTGGATTTCCCATTAGATGACATGGCAAAGAACTCTTTTACAGGTCTTTTTTATGGACGACTGGATAAAGAACAAACGCAAACGTTGATGGAAAAATGTCGACGAGAAAATGTGACCGTGACGTCAGCGGTTAGCAGCGCTATCCTGTGCAGTACTTCTATGTTACTTCCCAATGAAGATGCTCAGCTAACACAACTAGTCATGGCAATTGCAGCAGACACTCGACGAAGATGCATACCATCGATGTCCAATAATGATCTAAGCTACCAAGTATCAGGAACTATGGCTTTTGCATTGCCAACAAACAACACGCCAACCACATCAGAAGGTATGTGGCAATTGGCAAGAGTGTTTGGTAATCATGTGAAAACGTCTGTTGATGCAGGACAGACTCTTGCTCTTGCGATGATTATGGGAAAGCTATATCAGAAAAATCTCGGCGCAGTTACTCTCAGACGGGCGCCAACGTGCGGAATATCAAATTGGGGACTGTTGCCCTTTCATGAGCAATACGGCAAATGGCAACTGCATGAAATGATCCCGATCGGTAACATGGTTCGAATGCCAATGCCATTCTTTTTAGTTCAAACTGTCAATGGAAAATTAACCATTTGCTGCAACGGATCGGTTCCCGTCGTTCCTTTGAATACTTTGGAGAGTCTGTGCAATGGTACAATAGATAATCTACGTCAAATGATAGAACATTGACAGAGCTATTTGAAAAGAAATGTGTATGAGTTACTTTATGACGCAATGCGGAGGAGTGCATTAAGCTGTAAAGCGACAAATTCTTGACGGATTCAATAATAAGCGTCTTTTATAATCATTTCTATGAGTAATTATTACGCAGGAGAGTGAACTTAAACCTTTTAAGGACTTTATTTACTAATTTCCAACTATGTGACGTGAACATGAAAAGTACAAAGTTTTATTGCGAAACTCAAAGAACGCAAGAGAAAATAACTGCTGTTTTTCTTTCTATTCATGATCGGAGCTAGTAGTCGAATGTCAAACATCGTGTTTACCTTTTTCTCTGTGACGCAAAAGGGCGTGTATTTTTTCTTCTCTCTCTTGACTCAGGTGTACGACTACCGTTTCCTCTATATAAGCAATGCAAAATTCAATCGTCGGTTCATGTTTCGCTAGTAACATAGTTATCTACGATGACCAACGACGATACCGACAACAAACTAGTATCTGATTACAAGAAAACATTTGGCCAACAAGTTCATCATGTATCCAATGATGACAACATTCGAATTCATCCGGATCGATCATTATACGATGAACTCGAGCAGCAACATTTATTAAAACAACCGCGACATCCTGTTGGGCTCGGTTTTCATCTGATTCGAGACGGCCAACTTGGCCTGGCAATGTTAAACCAAACTCCAGTATTCCTCGCTCCTGGTCGCCATACATTCTGGTCCCCATTTGATCATCTAATTGGTGTAGCCAATATCGCCGATAAATTGATCACACTTGGCAACATTCAAATTGTTACTATTGACCAAGGCGAACTCGGATTGAGCCGTCGAAATGGAGAAACCATCTTGCTCGATCCCGGTCGATACATATTGAAAGCACCACACATTTTCGAGAAGAGTACAGCGGCTAACGCGCAGTACATTGAGCTGGGCACATATCGACGAATCACTGTACCTGTTGGATATGTTGCCGTCGCTTTCGACATCGGCAAACAGATTATTATTCGACCGGAAGACACAAAATCGGGTCCTTTCGAAACCAATTCACCTACGTTCCTTTTTGATAAACAGACCGGCTTTCAATCCGTACAATTACAAGTGAGAGAACTCGATGAATTGAAGGTCAATACTCGTGATGGTATCACGATCACAGCACGAGGTCTCATCACTTATCGAATCAGTGATGCACGAGCAGCATTTATGACCGTTCAAGATATTCATGGCGCAGTGAAACGAGCGGCTGAAGCAACACTTACTTCTCTCTTTCTCAATGCGGCTATCGACGAAATCGCGCCACCTGTTCCAGTAAGACCAGCCGGAGAGGATCTCATTAAATTAAAGCCAGAAAATGATAATGAAAACTTCAACAAACACATCCGCGACGCTTTTCTTCACGATTTCTCTCACAAAGTCAGTCAATGGGGTATTGAACTACAAGATTTAAACATCGAAAAGCTCGAATTCGACAGCAGTGTGAAAGATCTACTTCGTAAACGTGCACAAGCCCGAGTGGAAACGGCGACAAGTTTATCTAACATGCGCGCTCAAACCGATATTGCCACACAGCAAGCCGATAGAGAAAAGCAACAGGCTCAGATTAACGCCGAAGCTGCTGCATTCGTCACTCGAACTAAAGCCGACGCCGATTACTATGCCGCTGAGCGCCATGCCCAAGCCGCGAAATTGCTGCAAGAAGTACCCCTTGCAGCTCAACTTGAACTCAAACGATTAGATGTTGCAACTGTGAAAGCAACTGGCGATCGAACAACGTTCATACCGATGAATATGCACATAGGAGACATGGCAGTGACAGACAAACATACTGGACAAATGTATTGGATGTCTAACACAACATCCACAACGAAACTATAACTCACATATACTGCAATAACATTCTCAATTTAGTTTTTATATTTTGAAAAAGTCGTTGAATATGAAAAAAAGGCGCGTTTATAAATAAACGAGAAATGGTTGATGTATTTGCACGAGCATCTCTTTGTTATTTAACAAATCGTTGTGATGAAGGTTTTCGACTGGTCTATGATTCTTTGCGAATATCCAGTGAGAAAATTTCTTTGAATTGGGAAGAACAAGAAGTCTTTTGTTTCGTATCGATGAATCTTCTTGAAAAGAGATATCAATCTTGGTTAAAACTCACTCATCTTCTGACGAAATCAACTGGTTTCGTAGAACATCAATCAATTGAAAGTTACATCGAAACTATTCGTAATGAAATGATCCTTTATTCTGATCAAATTTTCGATTTAGTTCAAAACTATTTCCTCGTTACATCCAAGCAGGAATCCATATTTTATCTCAATCTTCAAGGCGACATTCATTTCTATCTTAGTCAAATATCACAATTCAATACTAAACTTCAGCATTTCCATTCTTCACTTCGATTCTATAATCGATCTTTACAAATCTCTTCTGAAAATATCTCTGCTGTCTACAACAAAGCATTGGTACATACTCAATTTTCACTTTTGTTCATCCCGATTTCGTATAATTTAGTTATTTATTCTTATCACAGAAGAATACGATCGAGCACGAGATCTTTTAACAAACACCATCGATGAATTCGAGAAAAAACAAATATCCAGTGGAGAACTTCGATCCTTACAAAACTATCTGCAAAATAAGCTACTTGATTTCCATTTCGTCGAACCGAGCACAATCGTCAAACAGAATAATCATCAAACAAACCGATAAAAACATGTAAATCGGTAGATTGGCGAGATTTAAACCGTAGATAATCGTTAATTGAACAATGAGAAACACGAGAGTCGATAGCGGAATCAGAAATACCAAACGTTTCAAACCTAAAGAGGCAAATTTAACAAGAAATCTCTCGAAAGTTTGTACAAACCATCATATGTGAGTATTACACAGCCACAGATGAGAAGATAAATCGAAAATATTCGTTTCAAGCTATCGAATGAACACTCGCGTAAATATTCAAACGGAAGAATATCATGAATTTGTTGTAAATGATCATCCTAAATCACCGAAAAGAGCAAATTTTTCATGATAAACTTTCACAAACGATACCATAAAATAATGTAGAAGCGAATTGAATTTCGGAGTTAAATTAATTAACGACAGACTGATAAATATCATTCCTAGCAAAGGAGCAACTGCCGATGCAAACATTTCACGTTTAAAATATGACGCTTCATTGATTATTCATAACTAGTGACACCATCGTGTTGTTTCTTTTTCTTTTTTTTTCTAATGAAAGAGAACGCGATCGATCGACAAATACAGTGACAAGGAGAGAGGCAATCGATGGTGACCATGTTATACAAACACTTGCAAATGGCGACGCTCTTTCCTTCTTTCTCGTTCATTTAACATTTTCAAACGAAAATATGCGACGAGATCCTCGTTATCATTGGTTAGAACATCGTATCGTTACGACAATTGAACCGAAACGCGATGCGCTCAATCAATTAATTCAAAACGATGAAAATCGGTTCGTTTGTTTTAGTCTCAAATTCATGTCATCGGAATATTTCATTGAATATTTAGTCTATGCATTGAACAATTCTTTGAAAATGAAGATGTAACGCATTTGTATATTTTATCTCAATCGTCCTCGCATCTTCTGGCACTGAATACGATTCCGTTTGATTTCAATGCTTATGAACGAATCGTTCTCTTTCTCAAAACAAATTCGACGAGTAAACTAACAAGAGAAGATCTCGGTACGTGCTTGTTTTTACCCCCAAACAAAAGCAAATTTTCGTTTAATAGACAAAGATGTATCTGTTACCGAGTTGTATCCTCAAGAAACCGTTCATTATATGGATATTATCAGTCGAGATGTTTATCTTCCATTGTTGTCGTGTAACAATCTCGTATCGGAACTGGAAAAGGATCGTTTTCTGGATTTATTCCATCGACTATTGAATCAAACAGCAGCAACGCATACATTTCAGTCGGAATCGGTGGTTCTTCCATTACCGGCATTTAACATCCTCGCACATATCTCCCAACAAGAACCGGAACGACAACAATCGATTTTGTCTATTCTAGAAAACACATTGACCAATTGGAGCAAACAAATCAAGGTAATACATAATCAAAGAACAAAGAAATATTTGAAATTCGTTCGTTCTAGCAATTACTTCAAGAAGAATTGAAACCATCTTTCTACGGTCGAGAACAAAACTCCATCAAAGATCAAGTTCAGCTTTGGACGTCACGAATCAATAAACTAAACAATCTTCTTGTTCAACTAGACTCTCCGTTCGTTCAAGATGTTCTGAAAAACTTAGCGAGAAATCGTTCACCTTATCTCGCATCATTTATGGATATCAAACAAGAAATCGCTCGAGTAAGTTTCTATAAAACTTCCTGAGAAAACCATCCGTCTCTTCATTCCAAGGCTGTGACACATGCTGAGAGAAACTTGTCGTTTGTAAGCACCTTACAACCATGGGTATATCAAATCAATAATTCAAATGATGTCAATGAAATTTTTGCGTTGCTTCCATCATTAATGCATACGCTCTTTCTCGTTTGGCAACATTCACAGTAAGATTTGGGAGAAGCGGATAATTGATGACATGGATTCGTTGTAGTTATTATCATCAAAAAGATAAATTCAATCAATTGCTGGAAGTTCTTTCGACGGAAATTGCGACACGAGCAAAACAGATCATCACCACGGATATTTCATCTCAGGAGAATAATGTAAATATCATTCTCGTCTTGTTTTCATTTAATTTTATATACACATTTAGAATTCCATGACCTTGAAAGATGCATTATCGATCTGTGCGATGTTTCGTGGAACTTATTTAGATTATAAGGAGAAAGCTGATGCATTGAATTCAAAATACATGATACCGGAGAAAAAGTTTGTTTGAAATCGAAAGACTACTTATCGAAAATATGCTCTTGTACTCGCAGAATCGATCCATCGAAAATGCTCATTTGGCATGTAAATCCATACGGAGAAACAGATCCACATAAGGACATAACATCCAACAGCGATCCATACATCGTCTTAAGAAAGTCAAGTCCGTGGCCACCAAGAAATGCCAAATGCTTTCAATCCCTAAACGCAATTATCGAAAGGTTAGCTACAATCGTGAGAGAATATGTATTTCTATCTGTTGATTGTTTAGATGCAATGATGTTCAAGAGTTGACATCGACCATTGCTCAATTTAATGAACTATCGACAACAGCTCGTATGGGTGGAACACTAACGAGTACAATGGATGCGATGTTAGCTGAAATTCAAACGAAATCAGCGAAATCTCTGGAGCTATTCCATAGAGAATGCCCGAACCTTTCGCATTTAATGGACAACGATCGTTTCGATCTAGCATTTTTCCGTCTACGAACGGAATTGAAACAATACGAACATGAACTAGCTTGGATATTGCGACAATGCTTCTCTCGTACGACAACCTTAGCTAGTAAATTGACGCTATTAGATGTTTTTCACGGCATCTATCAACGTGATGTCATCCAACGTGCACTCGCTAATGAAGAACAATGGATCATCGATAATCTTAAACATGAATTTCAATTAGTTACGCAATTAGTTCATTCATCGCATATGAATTATCCGCATTGGCCACCCATCGCAAGACAATTATTGTATCTATATGGATTAAAACAAAGAATTGATCTCTATATGAGCCAGTTCAGTGAACTTTGTCCGAAAATAATGAACAGTGATGTTGGTTGGGAGTTAAAAGAAGGATATCGAATCGCGAAAGAGAAAATACAAAAGTTTGTCTTTAGCAAGATCTTTGATGTAAAACAATGATTCATTTCTGTTTAGAAGCGAAGATGAACTTTACACTCAATTGGAACAATCAGCGACGAGTCAAATTTCAGATCTTTTGCTACAACCGGTTTTCGTAAGCATAAACTTATTTATAATGAAACAAAAAAGTTATACGATTATCTTGTTTTATCAGAAAACTTCATTATTGGCTGATGAAGTTACGAATCTTCCGATCATCGAAGTCAATTTAGATAATGCACTGGATTGTTTATTACGAGAAATTCGTTACATTACAGGCGAACCGTTGAATTATAAAATTCCGGGCAAATATCGTGAACTAATACCCTTATTAGACAATGAACGAGCACTTCGGTATGGAATTCTATTTGGGATCTTTTCCGTTCGTCATTTGCTTGATTTTAGATTACATGTTGAACGTCTTCGAGTGGTTGTTACGAAATATAACTATTTAATTGGACATATGGAAGTAGAAGAACGCGATTTATTCGAAACGAAACTCAGTCGTATTGACGAAGTAGGAAAATTTAATCACTCAAATGAAATATTGAATGAACTTTTCGTTTTTTCTTAGATTATTCATCGAGGTTTAACAGAAGTCACATGGAAAAGCTTGAATTTAGCGGACTATATCGAACAAGCGTACGGATTGATCAATATGGATGCCAGCATCGCCCTTGAAACCGTTCAGCACGATGTCTCCTTAATCAAAGAACTAGCTTTCAACTGGTCTCATATTCATGGCGATATTTTCGATGAAACCGAACATAATTTGCAACTGACATTTCAAGAAACACTTCAGAAACATCAGTAAACCTGCATTTGTCGCATTCTGAAAACATTTTTACGAATGATCATTTCGTTTTAGACATGTTCAAGCAGCTTTCAATGAAAAGCTGACAATCGATGGACATAAAATCCATTCACTTGCAGATAATATCGCTAAGGTAGTCCATCTCACGCAATAGTAAACATCTCTATTCTCTTCTTCCACAGGTCGTTGGCGTAAGTTTATCGTCTCCATCGTGGTTAAACTACATCGATTACTTAAATTCATTGGTGTTGAACGGCATCAAAGCCACAAGTTTGATCAGTATGAAAAATATGTTAGTAGCGATGAGTGATGAAACCAATCAAGTCATCAATATTGTCGTACAATTGAACGATTCAGAGTTGTCATTTTCACCTCCATTGGTTCCAGTGACAAGTGAATTAAGTTTAGGAGAGATTCTATTAGAATGGATTGAAACATTTATCAACCGAGGAGAGTATATTGAATTGCTTGGAAATGATCGAACAACGAGATTCTCCCAGATTATCAATCAAGATCCGTTGATAGTTGAACTACGTGAGAAAATCACTCAATTAATTGAAGATACTTGCTCGGAATCGTTGAAATTTTTTGATGATTTCTCTCAATATGCATTCTTGTACCAAATATCCGTCAATCAATCGTTTCAGTTATTTCTACACGGAAATAAACGAAGCCGTTTAACGACACCGAAGAATTTTCTCAATGAACAGGATGCCGGCAGACGGTTAGTTTGAAAGATGATCTTCCAAATTTTCAGTATTTAGCTAACTTTGATGGTGTATCCCTCCGATTATCTAAGGAACAATAAATAGATAATTTTATTTTGCAGAAGTGTATATTCGATGGCGTCAATTCCAACGGCGGAATTAATCGATCAAGTGGAACGTTCTTTTCTCTGTGCGACAAGTGAAAAGGAAGATCTGCAACGTATTCCACTTCTACAAGAATTCGAGAACGAAATGAAAATTTATCAAGTAAATCATTTCATCTAAAGTCGACTATCCTTCATCGATTTCTATAGGTTTGCTTATCTGACCTGCTCACATTACCCGACTGTTGGAATGTTCATTGGATTCGGATTGATTTAAAACCAATCAAACAAACATTCACCAGTCTCGCACATAAATGGCTATGGAAATTCTGTGATTATCTTCATAATCAGGTTGGAATCATTCGTTTTCTTCGCTTTCATCTTCTTTTCTTTCCATTAGACAAACAAATCTCTAGACGTTGTCGATAACTTTCTCATTGCTATGGAGCCCGAAATCGAATCGATTAGCGGTCTTGAACACGACACCGAAACTTTCATGAAAATCATGCGTTTGTTCAATTCTGTCTCGGGTAAACAGCATGAAGTCGAAATACGCTTCGAACTAATGCGTCGAACATTATCCTTACTGAAAATCTACTCCGCATCGAACGAGAACGAGATGGCTTTGAATGAAAAATACCAAACAATTATGACTCGTTGGCAAAACTTGAAGACGAAAGTCATGCAAGCCAAACAACGTCTAGGACCGACATTGAAAGAAGAATCCACGTTCATTATCCGAGATTTGAAAGCATTTCAAAATCAAATCAATCAATTGATTCATGATATCAACCAATCAACGTTATTCTCCCATCAATTAACATTTACTCAAGCACAACAACTACTGCATGAATTTTCCGGTCGACAAAAGGATTTGGATAAACAAGCACCGGATTATAAACAATTGCAGACGCTCTTGGATACGAACATTATTGATTTCGAGAAGTTATCACATTATAAAGAAATGCTGAAGAATCTGACGCTCACATGGAAAACTGTCAGGTGAGTTTTGTGAGATGAACAGTTTGTTCTTCGAAAATCTTATATCTAGGGACGTTCGTCGTTATTTCGATGAAATCAAACAAGAACAATGGCAGAAATTGGATAGTAAACAAGTTCTAACAGCTTGTGAGAAGTATCATGAAACGATGCAATCTTTGCCGAAGGTGGTTCGACTTTGGGATGTTTACACATTCACTGATGAAGAAATCAAACGAATCAAAGTCAGTTGAAGTGCCATTTTCTTCTGCATACTCAACTTGTGTATAGATCTGCGCACAATTACTTGATGACTTATCGAATCCGGCACTGCGCACTCGCCATTGGAAACAGATCATTCGCATAACCGGAGGACACACATTAATGGACAGCGATACGTTTCGTCAGTTGACTTTTGGCAAATTGTTCACTCTGTCTTTTCAAGGTAATGCTTTTTCTCTTTGTTTTGGTTTTAATACCAATGAATTGTGTAGATTATGCGGAGGAGATTCGAGCGACGGTGAAACGTGCAGAAAAAGATTTTCAACTGGAATCGACTTTGAAAAGTTACGAAGAAATCTGGTTGAGTAAAACATTTCAAATGGTACCTTATCAAACGATAAAACATGTAAGTCTATAGAAGAGAGAAAGTGTCGAACATACTTGTTCACTCATTCGACGAAAATAGAAAACCGAAGAACGAAAAGAATCGGAGAGAAATCCATCATCTCGAAGTCGTCGACCACGTGTGAGTGTCGCGTCAACGTCGCAATCAATGTCAAACGTCGATCCAAATGTAAGATTGAATGAGTAGGAGTGTTTGGTTTAAATGCAGAAGAGCTCTTTTTAGGCAGAGAAAATGTATCTGTTGTCGAATTTGGATCAGATGTTTGCAGAAATGGAAGATCATCAGATAAACTTAGAAATTCTTCAAACCAACCAATCAGCTGGCTCATTTCTCGATGAAATTGCTAAATGGCAATCGATTCTACAACACATCGAAGAAGTTTTACAACAATGGAATACCGTTCAACAACTTTGGCAGAAACTCGACTCAATCCTTCCGATTCTTCAATCGGATACACAATTGAGTATCATGTTTTTCAAAATAGATCGAGAGTTTCGAGGTTTAATGGTCGCAGTTGCGAATGATAACAATGTTTTGAAATGTTGTCAGAAGAAAAGTAAGTCTCGTTCGCAGTAAAACATCGTCGAGTCATTGTCGTTTGCAAAGATCTCCTTCCGCAATTGAAAATTCTGTCGACCCAATTGCAGAAGTGTCAGGATATTCTGCGAAAACAAATGTTTAACGAAAATAAAGGCGGACGATACAGTTTTCTTACCGATATCCAACTATTTGATCTGATCACAACAGGTACGAATTTATTGAGAAAAAACAGCAGTTAAAATTTCTGCTTTTAGGCTCGAATATTCGGCTGTTGAGCGAACGATTTTCTTATATTATCCCTGGATTGAAGAGTTTGATCTTTTCGGAAGAAGTGAAAGACGAAGTAGTTGGATTGATTACCCAATATCACGAAGAAAAGATTCTTTTCACCAATGTCTGTTGAGAAAAAACTGTTGAAGTGTTGCTTACTTTCTTTATATAGAAAATCTCGTTCGAAGGGAATATCGAATCATTTGTCGACAAATTGATCGCTGCAGTGAAAGAAACGGTGAAAAATTCAATTGAATCAGCAATTAAAGGCAAGAATTATCACTTGAAACTTGGAATTTGAGACAAATCTTTTGAATGTAGAATTGACGGAAAATAATCAGTTGAATTTCATTGACTGGTTAATGAGATATCCTCGACAAACGGTCATTCTTGTTCTTAAAATAATCTTCACACAATTGATCGAACAAAGCTCGAAAGGAAAAGATTTCGAACAGGTTTGTCACCTCATTTTCCGTTCTTTCAAATAAAACTCTATTTTCGATTAGAAACTAATGGAATTATCGAAGAATTTGATTGAAGAAATCAATCACATACGAGAGAACACAACCGATGAATGCATTCTGATCAACACCAACCAATCGATCGGCAAGTTAGAAGATGTTCTAACTTTAATCTCGTCCTATCTAACACGTTTACCAATCAATACGAATTCCTTCGAATGGCAATTTACTCTGAAATATCATTCCAATTCACAAACAAAACAAGTTTCAATTCAAGTATTTATTCTCGGAAAAATTGAAATCGAACCATTTGTGTTTCGTTTTTCTTTTTAGTGTCTGGAAAAGTCCATTGATTATGCATACGATCTGATTTCGAACAAAGAAATATTCACTCCGAAAGAGCACCACTTTCTTGGCAAGATCTTCCTCTCATTAGGAGCAGCTGGCGGAACACTTATTCTCAATCAGAATGTACGTTTTCTTATCAAACATAACGGATCGGAGAAAATTCACCAACTTCTGTTTTAGAGTGATTATCTAATCGAACATCTTTCATCGGATATTGGTCGAAATCTATTTCGAATTGAATGTAATTCCACAACCGATGACTGTCAGATTCTGAATTCATTCGCCGGACTTTGTCAAGGAAATCTATTTCTATTCAATCATCTTAATAAACTCAATCAAAGAGTGATGCAACTATTCATCGAATTATCCACAAGTTTATATGACGCGATCTTGAAAAAGACGAAATCATTTGAATGTATGTCCCGGACGTTTTCGTTAGTTGAATACAAAGATATAAACTATTTATCGACTGTTTATCCGTCGACAATTGAACATTTCTCTATGTTAAAAAGTGATGTGATTGTCGATTATCGAGTTGTCACACTTTCCCAGCCAGACTACACGCATGTGTTCATTGCTCAACTGATCCAATCCGGTTTTCATTATGCATTCGACATTGCTACTCGCTTTCTCAATCTGCTATCCTATACAGTCAATCAATCATTAACAGAAAATCTTTGTCGACTCGGTAAGTCTATCTAACCTAAACTCGGCTGTTTTCTAGTGTGACGAATTTTTAGGTATCATCGTTCCGAAAATGGATTTAAATCCAACCTTGATCAAAATGTTGATCAAGTTCGCGAAAAACCATCTGAAAACTCATTCTCAAGAAGATGAAGAGCAGGCTTTATCCAACGGTTTAGCCATAATCTCGAAATGTTTCAACAGCGAAGATAAACAAGCATTTCAATCGTTGATCAAAGCGAAGAATCAGTCATTCAAGGGTACAATTCCAAAATCCATTCCATTCGATAGTTTAGCTACAACAAATCGCCATTTCGGAGAGAAAATTTGGAATATATCCGATGCGTTTGAATTAGCGTTGAAACAGTTTCAATTGAATGTCAATGAAAATATTCTCAATAAGCTATTTCAATTGCATCATCTCACTGAAAATCATTCCAAGATTCTCATTATCGGACAAAGTCAATCTGGCAAAAGTTTGTTGATGAAAGTCTTTCTCAAAGCACGATCGTTTCTCTATCCGAAACAAGTTTATCATCATTTAATGCTACAATTATGGCCTGCGGAGATCCTATTCTCAAGATACAATCACGAAAAGGGTCTTTTTCAACAAGGGCTTCTACCGAATATCGTCAAAAACACTGATGATAATCTTTATCTTCATCTCGATGGTTTCAATCCAGATGATTTGAGCACACTCGAAGATTTCGTTCTTAACCTAGATCACGGGCACGTCTTTTGGGAGGTAAGAATTCTTTCGTCCAAAAACAAGAACTTCCTGAAATACTCCGATTGATTTTAGTTAGAAAACTTGAATGATCTAAGTCCAACATTCCTATCCTCATGCATTATGTTGAACATTGAAGAACCCATTTGGACATGGCGAGATTTAGTGTATTCAACATTCTCGAATGAACATAATGATAATGAAATCTACGAAGAATTGCAAAAGATACTCATCGATTATATTTCAAGAATCCAATCGTATGATATCAAAGATAAATCAACCGTCAAGATCTCATTTATGTCGAAAATATCCATGGCAGTGACATTACTGAAGACCTATTTGAAAAATGATAAATGTTCACCGATTGATCTGCGTGCGTTGGTGGAGTATACTCTCCTCTGGTCATTCATAACACACGTGGATCGAGATGCGAAGAGACACTTTGAGAATTGGTGGAGACAAACATTCCATAACATTCCAAAAGAAAAATCTGTAAGTGAGAATTCTTCATTTTCGACTTCATACTCCTTTGTCTAGTTAACGGATTGGATGTATGACACGGATGCTCATCAATTCGTTCTTTGGGCGGATACAATTCCTGCATTTAATCCTGCAGCACATCAAGGAATTCCGAATAACATCTTCGTTCATACACCTTACACGATGGTAACTCTGAATTCATACGCTACAATCAAGGAAAAACTCTTCTTTTAGGCATTATCGCATTTGGTTAGCTCAATGACAGAAGATGATCATCCGGTTTTGTTGATTGGTGATCGTGGAGTTGGAAAAAGTGCATTGGTCAACGATCGTTTAAAAGCTACATGCGGTGGTGATATCAGTGATGATTTTTACATCACTGTCAACTGCAATGCGTTCGTATAGTTTCTTTTTTCATTGTCTTTAACACATTAGCATTTTAGTGAGACTGATGCTCTCTTCGCTTACGAAAAAATCGAAGAACAATTGCAGTGGAAACATTCGTGTTACTACACAACTAAAGGAAATCGAAAAATGTTCTGTTTCATCGATAATCTCAATCTCGCCAAGATCGATCGCTGTGAATCTCAATCCTTAGTCGAATTATTACGTCAACACATTAGTTCTCATGGTATCTACTCACCTGTCACCTCCAATTGGCAGTATATTGACAATGTAACGTACGTTGTTACATTGAATTCGAATCAAAAGCTGGCTGCATACAATCGTTTGATGAAATACTTCCACATCATTCAAATGGATATGCCAAGCGAGTCGGATTTGGTGTCGATCTTTTCGAAATTGGTCAATCGACATTTTATTGGCGATAGTGGAGAAAGTCAACTGAAAGAAACGAGTGAAAGCTCAAGTCGCGCCTCAACAGCAAAACAATCTACACATGATTCATCGAATAGTTCCAAAGAGAAAATAAGTTTGTCAACTTATAAACGTATTGAAGAGCTTCGTTCGATTATCGATCGAATTGTCAAAGGCACCGTAGATTTAAACGAACGAATGCGAACGATGTACCAAATCAATCATCAACGTATTCATTATGTCTTTTCCATGAAGCAGTTAACACAACTATTTCGCAATCTGTGTGTTAGTTTAACACCAGAGTGTTCAATTGAAGATTTACTGGAATTGTGGCATCATGAATGTGAATGGTTGTACGGAAAACGACTGTTTGATCAAATTGACCAACAACGATACCAGCAATTGTATAAAACGATTGTGAAGAAATATTTTATGAACATGATTAACGAACAGCAAGTCCTACTGGCTGAAAATCAACAGTTCTCCAATCTACAAGTGACAGAAAGCGGTATGTTGTTTTCCTTCAGCGATAAAAATTCGATTTCAACTCTTTCGTTCCAGGTATGATCGTTGCGAATTTAACTCGAGATGCTCAAAATTATCCAACTGATAACTATATTCTTGTGAACGATCGTCATCGAATCGAAATCTTAGTTCACAACGCGATCAATGAATACAACAAAGAAAAGCCGAAGATCAATTTTCCACTCTACTCAGTTCGATCGTCCCTTCTTTTGAGACTTTGTCATTTGAATTCAACCTTTATTTCAGTGTTACATCGATCTTCTCTGTCGATTATGCCATACAGTTCAAACCGTGGATGGTCATTGCTGCATTATGGCTGAAGGTGTTCTCGATCCATGTTTAATTCACTTATTTGCCTCGGTTGTTGGCTATCAATTAGTTTCCTTTGAAACTAGCCATTTGATAACATCAAACGAACAGATGAAAACATTTATCAAACAGAAATTAACCCAGACGTATATCGATGCCGGAATCCGAGTGAGTTTTCTCCATCAGTGTCCGTTAAGAATCAAGAATCTCTCCTAGAATGAGAAAATCGTGATTTTAATCTCCGAAGACGATTTTCAACATCTGGATTTGATTATCAACATCACGAATTTGATCAACACAGAAGATATTTCCAGTTTATTTTCGTTGCAAGAAGAAACAACAGTAATCAATTCAGTTCGAACACAAATCCAACAAGCGGGTTTGACTTATTCGAAAGCTGTAGCATGGGATTTCTTTCTTCGGTATGTTTGTTTGAGTCTTTCCACTTGATTCATATTGTTTACCCTTCACTCGTCAACCATTTCAGTATTTTAAGGTATGTTTTTCTCATCGATTTGCGTTTGTTCTTCTTAACACTTCTACTTCGTTTGGTCTAATTGAAAGTCTAACAATGATATGAAAATAACATTTTCGTTCTCTATAGAAACGTCAAAGACAATATTCGAGTGGTGATTTTAATTAACAAAATCGATAATAAACTATGTTTGGAACATCCGTCGATATTCAATAATATTACATTGATCTATTGGCAACACTGGGATACTCAAACTTTGGTACAAAATGCACTCTATCATCTGAAAAGTTTGTTTCAGATCGAATCTATTCCTCTAAACATTAACTTTGTACAGATGTTTCATGGTTGGATAAGAACGCAAGCGAAAATACTGCTCATCTACTTGCGTCGATGCACCTTTCCATTCGACGAGCGAATGCCAATCAAACACATCGACTACCGCACACGAACAATCACACATTTACTAAATTCGTCGAAAAGTTTGTGAAGATTATCAACGAAAAATCAGCGAACGTTTCGGACAACCATCACGATGTTCAACGTCTCCTCGAGCAAATCCAATATCAGCATGAAACATCGAAGAAATTGGAAAGAGAATTACAACATGAAAAGATCGTTCTTGAAGAACGACTCAAAGTAAATTTACAGCTCCTAGAAGAAGAAGAAGAACCAACATTTGCTTCTTCGTTTCAGAGTACTATCCGTATGTTGACTCAAATCGGTCAAGATATGGTAACCGCTGAACAACAAATTCGCGCGCATAAATCTCAAACACGACGAACAGTTCAGTTGAAACGCTTGTTACCGGAATACGAACTATCTCAAGAGAAAAATCTCTACAAATGCTTAGCAATTGCAACAGACGCGAGAAAACTAATTGAAGGATTAGATATGAAATCGCTGCAAGAATTACGATCGGTAACGAAAGCTGAGTCACCGATCGAAAATACATTGGCTGCTATAATTATGATTCGTAAGTTCAAACCTTATTATGTTTTTCTAACATGATAGCAAACAACATGACGTAGTGAAATCACCAACTGCGGATTTGACGTGGCAAAAAGGTGCGAAACGGCAATTGGCGAATCTTGATCGATTTCTCGAAGAAACGCAAACATTCGAGAAGATTAATTTAACTGAAGATCAAATCAATTTGATTAATTCAGTAATCGATCGCGTCGACCTCGGAGACAAAAGTGTCACTCAAGCATCGTATTCGAACGCGGTGGTGATTCTTTATAAATGGGTGAAACGTGTTTTACAGTCAGTATATGTTCAAATACGATTGACAAGACTTATTTTTCATTCGATTTAGATATCATACGGTTCTTTTGAAAAAAGTCAAACCGATTCATCAGAAATTAAAGGAAATTCAAGATGATGTGTTGGAACAGGAACAGCGATTGATTCTATTGGACAATAAAAGTCAGGTATGATGGTCGGACGATCTTTTTCTTTATATGAAAAAAACCTATGTTGTTGAATTCAACAGGCATTAGAAGCTCGATTGAAAGATTTATCACAAAACTTTGAAGAAGCCACCGTCGATAAGAAAGACCAAGAAGAAACAGTCGCCATGAAAGACAATCAACTGAAAATCGCCTCACAACTGAATGAAGTTTGTTCGACAGATGAGCATCGATTTGTATTTGTTTTGTGTCTTTCAGATTTTATCACGAGAATTAGATCGAACAAGTAAAATATTCGAATCCAGCACGGAACGTCAATCGACATTAACTGGAACATGTGCGATAGCTGCGGCGTTTCTCATCTACCTCGGTCCGTACGCCTATGGATTTCGTCGTTTGATGTTAACTGCTCAATGGATCAAATGCATTCGCGATCGAGGTATGACCATTGTCTTCGACCAAATCTCCAGCGTGAAAGGTCGAACGATTAAATGGCAATTGGATCCGAACGATGACCAAAAGTTCGCCAACGGAAATGAATATCGACAAATGGTTGTATCGTTAATCGAATTTCTCCTTGGTGATCAAACAAATCTCGAATGGTTAAGCCAAGGAACATTACCATCCGACATGGAAAATCATACGATTATTGTACAATCAGTTCAATATTCTCCATTTCTCATCGATCCATTTGGGCAAGCTGATCAATGGATGGAGAAGTATTACAACGTTCAAACAGTACATTTCGACGATGAGTGTGTTGAAGTTCGCGTATTGAATTGAATTTGATTCATTTTCTGTTTGTAAAGGTCGACACAAGATGTTGTTGTTGCAATCGAACAAGGATTTCTATCCGGTGCGAAGATCTATGTGAAAAACTGTCAATCACTCGACAGTCTTCTCTATCCAATTGCGCAATGGAAAGCCACATCTGAAGAATCGCGTGTAAAAGATGGTATGATAAATTTCTTTCTTTCAATCAATTATGATCAGTAAATGCATTTTCATTTCGTAGATTCGAATCTACTTTTCTATTGTGGCCGTCGTTTGTACTGTAATCCATCGTGTCGTTTTTATTTTCATACCAACTGTGATTCGTTGGAAAAAGTCTCTTCATCTCTCTCGTTATTAACTACACCGGTCAATTGTCAATACAGTGTCGAAACTCTATTAGACGATCTTCGTCAGCAAGTGTTCCAACGCATCCAACCAAGTTTATACAAGAAGAAATTATCGATCTATCGACTGATACTACTATGCCAACAGAGAATTCAGGCCATAGATACTTTTCTGAAGTCAAATACCATTAGTGATGAATTCAAAGATGAAGAAGTCGTCGTAACATCAGTCGCTATAGAACGAAAATATGCTTTGGGTGGCATCGTTGATCAATGTAATGAAATTTTAGATTCAATTGAAATTTACCACGATTATTATTTCCCCTATGCTCAACATGGCGCATTGCTTTATTCAGTTTTACAACGAATCAATCTTCTCTCGCCGAAAAACTATCAATTTTCCATTGCAATCATCTATTCGCTGTTGGATCAATTCATTCCACTGCATCCTCCGAAAGCAGTGGAGGAAACCGAAACTTGGAAAGACGTGGAAGACAAACGTATGTTTCTGAAGTTGAACTGACTATGATCGAGCCTTTTCATTTCTCTCTTTCTAGAACATCCTCAACTTCCATCGTTGATCGAAACAACGAATTTGAAAAAAGAAGATTTGTTAGCACCCGATCATAAACAGATTGACGATAATCTCAAGAAAATGATCCAATCGTTCATCAAAATCATTCTCCCACAACTAACCAGTGATCATCGTTTAGAATTTCTCGTTCTTCTTCATTTATTACTAAAAACTGCTGTCGATACCACAACGGATGGTAAAAGTGACGTCCTTCAGTTAGAATTTCTCGCCACGGGTTTACCCAGAATTGACAGTCAATCTCTAACATATCCGTCGACGTTGAATGGGAAGCCTAAATGGATCAGTTCTGATCTTGTCTGGTTCGACATTGTTTCCTTAACGAACCTCTTCAACAACGAAGATCTTCTCTATCATCTATCGGATATTATTCAAAAGAACGACCAACAATGGAAGACTTTCTACGACAATCCTTCGCTGAATTCAGTTCCAACGAGCAATGGCAAGTCATTCTCTCAGTTGGATAAGCTAGTTATTATAAGAATTCTTCGTCCGGATTATTTCATCGTTGCACTACGCGATTATGTCATTGAGCAATTCGATCTGAATAATCTTCAAAATGATGAAAATGACTTTCAAGGTGTTCACATTGTCAATCTACCGTTAATTCCAGTGAAGTCTATTACTCCAGGCGAATTTCTTGTAAATCAAATCGATATCGATCATTATCTTGGAAATCATTTGAAATCCAAAGGAAAGAAAGTTCGCGAGATCGATTGTTTGTTTGTTAATACTATATTCGACTCAGGTGATGAATGTGATCTTATCTACTTAAAAAATATTCATCAAGCATCAATCGCACCGACACTTATCAAACGTATTTGTCGTCAGAGTCGAAATAATGTGATCGTAACAAGAGAACCATCGGTTGATTTCGTCTACATCGGCGCGCGTCTTCACCATTACGATTGTTTAATTCAAGGAAAAGTTCCTCTTGCGAATTTCTTATATCGAAATTCGAATAGTTATCTACGGGAAACGCTTGGTCAATTGATATCGAATAGTTCGTCGATTCTTCGTCAATGTCAAGGCGATGAATTGACAATCATCTACGGCACGATTGTAATTCAAGCCATTCTTGTTTATTATCAAGAAATCTTTCAACAGAGTCATTTTACACTTCAATGGACAAGAAACTTGCCGCAATTTGTTTTGAATCTGATTCGAAGTAATAAAGACAAAAGCTTCGTTCGAGATTTGATTGAAATGGCCTATCCAATGCATTCTCCATTGTTAACGAAACTTCTGAATGAATTATTTTCACAAGTGTCATCGAAAACATCCATTCGACTGAACGATTGTCAATTCGAAATCCCCCAAACCGAAAGTCAATTCAACCTCCAATGGTTTCTATCGAAACATTCGAAAGTCAATTTAACTTTCAACGATTATCCATCGAAACAGAAATCCCTTCAACATCAATTCGACATCTTCGCTGAACAATTAAATAAACTATGGCATGAAAAATCCGAAACTATTTTTCAAAATCTACACGTTTCATTAATTCACGATAATCTTCATTTGCTGAAAGAGCGTTTACCGCCATTGTTAAATCTACCATCGGGAATCGATTTCAAACAGGATTTGATTAGCATTGCACTTTATCAGGTATAGATGTTTTTCTTTTCGCGTTTCAAAGTTTATGAAGTTTATTCTCATAGGAAATGGTTTATTTTAATAAACAAGTAGAAGCAATATTCAAAGATATTCAGGAAATGGAAGATATGTTAGCGTATGGAAGTTTACTATTAGAGAAGAATTTGAAGTTCAAAGCAATCGGATTTGACCTTCAACGAAATCAAGTTCCATCGCGATGGTTTTCTGAACGTTCATCGGCACCAAAATCACTTTCGATCGTGCAGTTTATCCATCGTTTGTTCTTTAGGAAAAAGAAATATCAGAATGATTTCTTTACTTATTATTTATAGAATGTCGACATCGGTTTAATGAATATTATTCTTGGATGAAATCTTTCGACAATGTCGAAAAACTTGATTCGCAGTGTATTCAACGTTCGCGGCATCTGATTGAATTGATGTGTCTATCGCAAGCATTGAAATTAAATATTACTCTTGATAAAGTGAGTTGGAACAATTCTCTTCAGGTTATTTTCACGATTCATGAGTATAGGTTCAATGTATTGGCCAATGGGCATCGATGAAAGAGAAAAGATATTCTTCCGATAGTCGACATTTGATTCTCAACGGTGCGATTGTAATGAATGGAATTGTTGAAAATAACAATCGAATTAAACCAACTAGTGGAACGAGTCATCCATGTCCTGCGATTGAAATTTTTGCAACGGAATCGAAAATCGATGGTCATCTATGTCCAGTCTATGCAACAGCATCATCTCGTCTTGATTCGCCATTGTTTCATTTGATCATCAACGAAACAAGTGACCCAATAGTCTTTATCGTTTTGCAAAATGGTAAATTTCCTTGTTGTTGTTGTTTTTTTCTTGAGCGTGGAATGTAACGGAAACAATTGGATTCTTTTAGATAATGAAGACATGGGAAGAATTCCATATCCAACAGTGATTCGTCAAGAACAAGAAAAGCCAATAGTTAATAGAAATGAATTGAGTTCATTTCGCGAAATGTCACCGATTTCTCAATTATCTCAATCAAGAGACGGCGGATCAGAGACACCTTCTGTCAAAGATATTCAAAGAGATGAGCCTATGTTAGGTTTTGAATGATCTTACATTTGTTTTATTAATAAATAAATATATAACGATGTGCGCGCTGCTTTCGAATCTAATTACAATGCATCTTTTGCATCAATTCGAATTTTAAAATGATCAATCATCTTAAAAACAATTCGATGTACCTGTGATACTCAATACGAGTGACGACGTGACACAGACGTTTCATTCGGTCTTTCACCGAACGAGTTGTACAAATTAAACTTTTTCAATTTAGCTAGAAAATGGATCTATTCATTCACGAAAGATCCGGTAGGAAGTCCATTGATCACAAATAAACACATGCATATCCTTGATTCGATACAAAGGTTAACGATTTTCATTTTCTTCTAATCGAGAATTTGGTATGAACGAGAAAGGTAAAATCTATGCGACTAATTGATGAAATAATTGTGTTTGCAATTTTTTTTACAATAAACTCAAATCCTTGAATGAAACATCCTTTTGTGTATACAAAGTAACAGTGTAACAAGTTCTGCCTTAGCATCTTAGATCCATTTTTTTGTATGCCAACTTAGATCGTTGATTTGGCAAAATCCTTTAACAAAAGCTCAGACTACCGAAAGAATCCATCGTTATTTAGTACAGAAAACAAAAGTCATCAATGAACAGTAAATAACACGGCTATAATCGACTTTATCGTGACGAATTTTCCATAAATATCCACATGCACTCCAAGACAAAGTGTATAAACACAGACAAGGCTATCTGTCTAGTATACAATTCATTTTATGTTGACAAATCATTTAACTTGAATAGTATACGACACAAAAACACAAACAAATAAGATCCCAACTGTCCGATAGACATGATGTCAATGACTCTTGTATACGTATATACTACTCTTATGTTGACAGATGAAATTGTCGCTTAACAGATTGTCTGCTTCACGAGAATGAGTGTATAGAAGAATTTCTTCTATGATAACACTGTACTGCATTGAAATAACACCGAGAACATAAGGTCAGTTGTTGGTGATTTTTACCAATAGATAATGAATTTGTCGTTCTAGCAAAATCGATGTTCAATTATTTGATAAAGTAAACATATTAATATTGTAATGAAGAAAGAGAATTCTTCTTCTTTTTTTCCGCTTTCTCCGTATCCGGCAAGAGCAGAGGACTGTTGACCTTGTTTGAAAACAAATCTAACTGTCATTTCTTATCAATTATAAGATTGTCTTGATGTATGCGAATAAGAAAATCTCTTTTTTTTCCGAGTTAATGAACTGATTGCAGATTTGTGGATAGGATTGAATGATGTTGAAGAGAAAAGGAAAAATGTATTTGAATAAGACGTTGTCGAAATGATTAGATAATAGGATGGAAATGAACGAGACGTTCTATTTGTTCTTCTTTTCTTTTCTTTTCTTTCGCTTCTATCCTTAGACATAATTAACAATCATTGCTTAATAGTTACATCATCAATCGAAGAAAAAGAAACAGTTGTCAAAACGACTGCTTCAACGAAGATGTCAACCAAATAGAGAACAATAGGAGAGAGCGAGAGAGGGAGAGAGAGGAGGAAGAGCGTTTTGCTTTTTAGATACAAGAAAAGAACATCATTGCTGGAAATGCGTCATTCCAACTATCAAAGTAATAAGGTCTATTTCCGTTATAAAGATGTCGAAACAATTAATATCGTCTATTTGATTGTTGTTCCATATTATTCTTTCTTCTCGTGGCATATTCGTTCGTTGTCAATGTTTGTCTCTCTGCGGAATAACACATCTTGGATGGCACCTGTCGTCTCTGCCAACTCACCTATTATTATGTCCTAAGAAAATCTACTTTTTCCTTTCTTCCTTGTTGTTTGATGAAGGAAATGTATGAACGCACTCTTATCTTTTTTCATTAGGAAAAAAGTAACTCGTTATCCAGACAATTGAAATAGTCCTAGGGAAAAGAAGAAAAAAAAGATAATCAGCGTAAACATTTTCTTCTATTTCTATTACTTTAGATTTCAACTAGTTCCTATTCACTTCTTCTTCTTCTAGGCAATGAACAGCACTTTATCTATTCTTCCTAGTGTTCCTCCTCCTCCCCTTGTTCTAAGTCTTCCACCAATACCCCAATTAGTTATATTGGGAATCATATTTGTCGCATCAGTTGCTCTCAATTGTGTATCGATTATAAGTATTGTCGGTGCACGAGCGATCACACCAATCAATCTGTTAATTATCAATTTGGCCGTCAGTGATATTGTTTATTCATTGACCATTCCGATATTTGCCGTACACATTGTTATTCCATGGTGGCCATTCGGTCGTGTTGGTTGTCAATTAGCAATTGCAATTGATATTATAGCCATGATCGTAAGTCGATTCTGATCTTCCTGATAGCATCGCATATGTTCGCTGAGTAAACATTATTCTATTCGATGTTGCATTCATAATGTGCGCAGATCTATGTCAAAGATAAACATGATTTCTTAAGCAAGAAAAAGTTCATAATTTGATAATCAATGTATTTCTTTTTTTTCCTTATCTAATCAAATTACTTCGACAATTAGTTTGATGTTTGAGAGTAATTCAATTATCGCAAAAGAAAATTCTGTAAATCGAATTAGTCCTAATTAAACTAATGTCAGCCGTAACGTACAGGAAGTCTTGAACGAAATCTTAATAGGAATTGTCTTTAGGTTGGTGTATATACAATAACCGCATTAAGTGTCGAACGATATATGGATGTTCGTGAAACAACTCGCCGATACAATGATCAAGTTAAGTGTGCATTAGTCTTAGGTTATATCGTTATTCTATGGATCTTCGCGATCCTGTTTCCATTACCAATGTCGTCATCTTTATTTGTTCACAATCGTTCCCGAGCCGCTCTCGTATCTGGTGTTGTCAGTGAATGTAAATCAAGTTGGTCAGCGGGAGAGCTATCACGTTATGTACAATTGAAATTCGCATGTGCATTTCTCCTTCCATCATTAATAACATGTACATTTTCATTTCGTTTAATTTTATTTCTTCATCGTTGGTCATTACGCTCACGACGTTTATCCGTATCCCATCGGTCATTGAATATCTACAAGCGGCGTGCAACAACATTGGTTCTTTTAATTATCATCGCATTCTTCGTCCTCTGGTCACCATTATGGATTCTTCAACTCTATGATACATTCAACGAACGCGGACCAACACGTTACATTCAAATATTAAATTTCGTCACATTAGTATTTGTCTATGCCAATGGATTGTTAAATCCCTTACTTTATTTGATTTTAACGCAGAATTTTCGTGAATACATTCGAACAAACAAGTGGTCAACGTGGAACACTCGACGCCGATCGAAAATGAATGATGCGACATTTTTTTACACAACCAAACCAGTCAATCACGAACATCAAATCGCCGATCAACAAACAAGTTGTATATTACCAAATGACGACGATCAACATGCGTTCGTTGCCAACGAAGCAAGTTCAACAGCAAATTAACGAATCGCTTTTTCCTTTTGTGTATCGCAAGTAAAGATTTTTTTGTCTCGGTGGAAAGATTTTATTTCAATTACAAAATAAAAACGAACAGATCCGAACAAGGTTGTCGCGACAAATTATTTCCAAATGACAGAAGAACGAGAACAGAGAGACTAATTATAAAATAACAAGAACTCAGCTAAGATAGATGTTATTCCTAAGTGATTTGAAAGCACATCAGCAACGATCTCAGTGTAACATGCAGACATGTCGAGTCAGACCTTCGTCAACATGATAATTTGATTGAAGTCTTCTTTCAGGCACTGTAAAACTTGATCGGGGTGCTCAGAATGGAAATTATGATGTCCAGGAAAGATGCGAACACGAAAGAGATCTTTGACAGTAGTCAATTCGATCCAACGGTTGAGAAATTCTTCGGTTAAGTTTTCTTCTTTCTCGCCACTGTAAACGACAATTGGAATGTTGATTGGATTCGATGGGATCAAAACATCACCGAGCTAGAAAGAAGAATTTGTCTAGAAAGAAAATATCGGGAGAAGAGATCATGCAAACTTTCGCATCGGCTCTTAAAATGGGAATCAACATGTCAACAAATGGTTTATAATCGAAAGCATCTCTGCTTTTCGGATCTAATAGGAAATATAAGTTGGTTTTTATCGGAAAATGAAAAATAGAAGGCAAACCTGACATAAGTTTTAAATTTTCAACAAGTTCAGCATCTGTCATAATAGTGAATGATTTATCCGCATCTAAACCTAGGCGTAGACTTCACTAAATTACTTTCCTTTTCGAAGTGCTCACCTTGTATATGTGGTGGTCCTCGCGACATTTCAACTAATAATTTGATTAAGTCTCCTTTATTTCTTGCTTCGATCATATGTCTTGCTAATGCAAAGCTAATCACTGTTCCCACACTAATATATATCATTGATGTAAAAAGGTTGTAGATGAAAAGAGAAGAATACTACCTATGTCCGATAAAGATGCATGGTTTCGTTATGTATGGAAGAAGTTCGCGATGCAATTGAACTAAGTATTCCTTGATCGTTGTAAGTAATCGTTCCCCAAGTCGTTTTGCTCGGCCAGGATAGATTATAATAGAGAATTCATATTCAGGAAAGTTTCGATCCCAATCCTTGTAAAATGAACCTGAAAATAATATTCTCACCAGTAGAGATATAAGAAATATTCATATCACATACCTGCTGTTCCAGCTGCAGGAAAAATAAAAACTTGCCATTCAGCAGATGGACGTGGATGGCAAATTTCAAACCAAGGATGCTCTTTATTCGAACTATAAGCCATCGCTTGTGTAGAATAAACTATCGAAATATGATATACGTAAGAGGAATGCACATGCTTTGCGCTCATGCGTAACAAAACCATCAATAATATTTGCTATTATGTCCGTAAAGAACAGCATCGATTCTAATGACATTTATTCGTAAAAAAAGTCTTGTTTTAATTAGAATTGTTACAACAGTACGAAACAGCTGGAAAACAATACCAAGAATTCCAAGTATAGAAGAAGGACCCATTCTCAGTTATGAGAACATGAACCTCAATAATTCCCATCACAATACAGACGAATCTAGCTGCTTTTATCGATAACAGAAAATTCTATCTGGTATTTCATTTGTTCGAGCAATTAGCCTACAGACAAATAGGCGAAGCAGCTACTACGAGACAGGCCATGATGAGAAACACTCTAGTCGTGAAACTTTTTGCACAAAGGTGAGTATCATCTGTTGACGGCGGACACGCTGCAGATGCTCATCGATTTTTACCTTCGACTTTTCATCAGTTTATCAGGAGAACTCAAGTTTTCTTTGGAAGAATATATAAATAAATCTTACACAATCTCAACTTGCAGTCTCACTCAGTTCATCATTGCCATGGAGACCGTGCAATATAGTGTGACGTTGACGGAGAAAAACTCATTAAAATTTAACATATACTTCGATCAAATCGTTGTCTCTTCTTTGCTTTTTCCGACGTATAGAATAGAACTCGACAAGAGCTTTTCCATTCTGTTCTTTACCGGCATACTCTGAATAGCTTGTTCATCACGCCATCTTTATCGTCTGAAGATTCTTTCGGCTTTCTCTCTGTTTATCTCGAACATCCATTTCGAGCACGTTTTTCTGCTTCCGTCTGCCGTTGTTATTTACTTGTGTCGATGACTGTTTTCCTTTCTCTTTCTTTTGCCCTTCTGTTACTGCCTATGTCTATGTGCGTGATTCGACGTATCAGCGACTATTGCGCATTTATGTTTAGCACATGTTGTGATCATTTCCTGGTCCAATAAAGATATTGAGCCTACATCTCTCATTGCATCACCAACACCAACAGCCTGTAAAACAAGAAAAAAAAACCCGTTCAAATGGGCTCTGGATTCAGTAACGGAGTCGCGATTAATCTGGAGCGATCCAATCCGCTTTATTATGCTGATGAATGTGTTTCAGGCACGGTTCAATTGAGTGTTATCGAAGAAAAACTCAAAACACACGAAATCTACATTCGACTGGTTGGTGAAATTGGTTATACAACAACTCGTTCTGTTTCGGATGGTCGAGGTCAAACAACGACGCATACAGAGTATCATCATATACCATTCTATACTTTGAAAATTGATTTTGCACAATTATCAGCGGGACAAGAACAACTTGTTTATAATCAGGGGCAATATTCATGGCCATTTCAATTTTCCTTATCTGGCTCCCTCCCACCCAGCATTAATCTTCCGCAATCGTATCCTCATGTTCGATTTTACCTCCAGGTTGTGATCGGAAGAGCATGGTACAGACCAAATACAAGAGAAACAAGATATATAACGATATTTCCACGTGTTAATCTTGTACAAAATCCCCGGTGTTTGACAACAACTTTATTCGGAACTCAAAATCGAAAAGAAATCAGTCTGAAAGGCACTTTGAATAAAATTGGAATCGTTCCTGGAGAAGTACTAATGTTAACATTAGAATTATACAATCCTCGAAGAGTACGTATTCAATGCATCGACCTATTACTTTTCGAATCGTTTCAAATTGCCTGCAATTCACGTGAATTAATTGTATTCGAAGTGACATTGCCCAACATTATTGAACGTAGTGATGAATACATTCAAGAAGTACTTCCTGTCAATATTCCTTCGGTCCTCTTACCGCCTTCATGTGATTTTCAAAACGGCCTTCGTTCGGTTCCTAGGGTCCACCTTCGTTATTTTATGAAATTCGCTGTTAAAGTCCAAGGAATGTTTACTAATTTTCATGTCGATGTCCCAGTTATAGTAGGAACTGAATGTATTGCAAGTCCCTTGGTTTCTTCACAATTTAATCAACAAATGATTGCAGATTATGATCCACCTCCTCCTTATAGTTCTGTTGTACAGCAGAATGTAAAATAACCTTCCAAAATTTCAATTTCTTTTTAGAGCCCTCTGCATTCCCCTACAAAAATCTTCGCATTAAATGCTTTTCTCGTTAAAAATCACAATGTAATGATGGTTACTTTTCTTTTGAGTTCCATAATAATAGTACGTGGACTGCTGTCAGAATCGTGCAATGATGTTCAATACATCACTAACAATTTACAGGTTAAATATCAAATGAACTATGACGATGCAAAAAATAGTGTTTTAGAATTACAACATTTCTTTACCGAACTCAAAAATCAAGTCATCGATACAAAAGCACCACGTTGAAAAGCTTTTGAGATGCAATAGGCGGTATTTATCGAATTCTATTCATCTCAGAGTTAGGAGGTGATCGAGTTAATTCACAGATAGACGATGACATACTGGCACTCACACCTGTACATCACCATATTTAGATTTCTGTTCGACTCTATCGAGTAGTAAACGACTCGGCGCATACTACAGTCACTACTGATGGGTTTTTCACATTTATTTTCTGATTTTTGAAATATTCTCAGTGAAATCAATCTCAGACTTGAACGCAGTTCATTTGCTTCCAATCCAGTTGCCATCACGATCAAATCGAAGACCGTCAATAGGAAGTGTTTCAGCAAAAGCATCAGCGCCATCAGCAGCAAAGGCAGCATCATCGTCATATGCGTCATTAACCTTGCTTCGATGAGTACTAGATTGATAATGTGCACTGTCTTCCGCTGAAAATAAATTAAGATATATAAATTGAGAGATCGAATTTCCATAGTTTAGATCCTTAAAGAACATGTACAGGAATGCTTAGATATATGAGATTTTATTTTGACGAAGCAACAAATGAAAAATATACTTTAGCAAGCATTATGGAAGTAATGAGCTGTCGTTTCTATTGACAAAAGATAGATCCATGAAAAATAAATTTTATCCTAGAGTGGCTTTGTATGTAATATGTAAAACCTACTGTTCGCTATAGATCCTTTAGTTCCTTTAACTCATCTATCTCCTCACCTTCAAGAAGACACTCTTAAGCAATTTTACGAAGTGTGAATACACATTCCTCACTCACCAGACCAACGTTGTTTTAGTTCTAAGTAAATCAAATTTTTGTTTATCTTGCGATCGAATTCAATCTTTACGACTCGAAAACAGACGCCTGGCATGATCAACTCTTCTTCTTCATTTGGATATTCAGACCAATTACTAAGGTCAGCGACGAAGGCGAATTTCACTCTCATGATAAATAATGTATTGCCAAATTGTTCTGCTTTTTCACGATTACGACTGCATGATGAAAATCCTTGAAATGATCCATATCCGTCCTTTTTCTTTACCATTTTTTCGTACATTGTAATATGCTCAGCTTGTAGGTCAGCTCCCCGATATAATTCAACATTCACTTTCATTTTTGTACTGAATGGATCATCCCATAATAATAAACAGAATGGACCCAATGTCGAAACCTTACTTCGCCAAACTTGATCATTCTCTCGACTTCCAACCAATCGCATAGTTGCATTCAAAGTTTTATACAAGAAACTTTCCAGCGAATAAAGATAAACACAGCGTTGCCATACTTCTTTTATTCCTTTGTTCCTCTTTTCTCGAAGCAAGCTGGCTATTTCTTCAGCTTCTCGTTGCTTTCGAATATTTTTACCTTCCGTAATAATACCTTTCGCAGCTTTTTCGACGAGGTCAGGTATGATTTCGGGTTTTGTTGAAGGAAGATCGAAAGGATCAAGTTTTAAGTGTCTCCTTACCTCTATAACGAAGGGTGACACGAAGCCATATTGACCACCGAATGATCGCTCAGACGCAATTGGAAGATCCATGAATCGCGCTTCTCGTAAGTGTTTATCGTCTCTCTTACGAATGACTCGTTTGACCGGTCTCTTTTTGTTACTGTCACTGTTAGATACTTGTAGATTGTCCGTGAAATCGATATAATATTCATCTAATTCAGCACGCTGTTGCTTGTTCGAGAATGCTTTTTCAATGATCAAATTTTCTACATCTGAATAGTGGCTCCATTCGACAGCTTCCTCTTTTGACCATGGATTTGAATTCGATTGCCACATCCATTCAACCGCTTTTAATGAATTTGTTGTTGTCAACTTTGCAGACGCCATTAGTTTTCACTTATTGGTGTTCTCTTTGAGTATAATATCTAAACTTTGGACTATTGCTGTAAACTATTATTTTATCAAGCTATTTTTTACAGCTAGTTTTAACTATTCTAAATAAAGTTGGCATCATATCTGAGTAATCCTTGTCTGAATCCACCCCAGAACTTGTGCTGCGTCTGAATGTAGCTGCGTTAGAATCAAAACTTGATTCTCTATCTATTTACGCCAGTTTTAGGGTGAGGGTCGCCGTACATACAAAAAGGTAAATTTTTTTCACGAACAACCATCTTTTTTCGCCTATTTTTGGTAACTAAAAATTTTGTAATTCTTATCTGGGTTCGCTTGGAAATTTATGCTGAGTTCAAGCGTGGCTGTTTTGGATTCAAATTTTAATTCTCTATTAAATGTTGTGGATGTCGAAGAAATCATCTAGATGGAAAAAATTGTCGGAACCACTCTGGCATCTAGATTTTCGCCTCCCGTAGTACTCCTTCCAAACCTAAATCATCTAATAAACATTTACATTTCGAATATGGCACAATCATATTTAGACGCAGCACAAGTTCTCATAGGGATTAAGGCGATAAATACTCGAATATAGTGTCAGTTTTCTGGCGTTTTTAGCCAAACAAAAAGAAACCTCTTACTTAGAAGGATTCCATATGACAGCTTTGATAAAAACTCGTATAAAGCAATGTGACTGGTTACCACTTTATCTTGCACGTATGTGATATGCGTACGAATATTTTCTTTCCACCATAGATAGACATCTGGCACAGTTGACATGAGAATCTAGTTGAGTTTGGAATGCGCGAAAAAGTTGAAGAGAAAATAGAATAGAAAGAAATTATCTATTTTTTTCTGCTCTACAGTTTCTATATCCCCATGTTCCGCATCGAAATTCTATCGACTGAAAAATAAAATCGTCTTTTTTTTCTAATTTTTCAATGTCCCGCATGTCCCGCTGCTCGAAAAAAAATCTATTTGTTTAACTCAAGTAAAATTACTTGTTTTTTTCTGCTCTACAGTTTCTATATCCCCATGTTCCGCATCAAAATTCTATCGATTAAGAAATAAAATCGTCTTTTTTTTCTAATTTTTCAATGTCCCGCATGTTTCGCTGCTCGAAAAAAATCTATTTGTTTAACAAAAGTAAAATTACTTGTTTTTTTCTGCTCTACAGTTTCTATATCCCCATGTTCCGCATCAAAATTCTATCGATTGAAAAATAAAATCATCTTTTTGGTGTACTCAAAAAGTGAGTACACTACTAGAATCGTTTTGTATGTCTGTCCGTGTGTTTATCGGATAACTTTCGAACGGAGAGGCAAATCGAGCTGAAATCTTGTGCACGATTCAGTCTCGTCAATATCTCGGTCGAGTTCGAAGATGAGAATGATCTCTCAGCAAATGACTGAGTAATAGAAAAAACACTTATTTTTCTTTGGAACGTCCCTGAGGGGAGTACAATGATCTTTTTGAAGTACACCTAACTTTCGGATAAAGTCCGAAGTTTCCACATTTATTTTTTCTAGTTCTTCAATGTCCTGCATGTCCCGCTGCTCGAATAAATTTATTGAATTAAAGAAAATTTATCAATTTTTTTCCTCTCTGTATAAATTTTCAATGTTCCGTATATCGCCGCCCTGGAAAGAAAGCAGAGTCAGCGTAAGCTATCTAAATAAATCAAAATTTCCCTTATCATTTTCAATCTTTCATCGAAACAACAACATATGATCAATCGTTAAAACTTTTCTTTACCATTTTATAGAATTCTCAACAATCTTTAGAAATTTCAAAATATTTTCGTACACTATTATAGATTCTATTTATTTCTCTTTCAAACGTAAAAAAATATAGATTTAGATATTATTTTGATATTTATGTACATTCCAATCCCAACTAAATTCTCTAACCGACTGCGACAAATCCACCTATGTCGTTTTGTTTGAAACTGTTCGCAATGCATGAAGCCATAGAAACAGAACGATATTAAGATAAAATGAAGAAACGCTTGTGCGTCTGGTTACTTGGGAGAGTAAAGATAAAAAATAAAAAAGAGAGTAATGCTCTCGCCTGGAAGTTTAATTCGTATAAATGCATTTAAAACATACTAAAAGTAGTTGAAAATAAAGCATTCAACTCCATTAGCATGTTTCAGATTTCATGGGATAATGTACACTGTTTTCATGGCACGTATTGAATAAAACATTTATCTATGAGTGTAAATCACTCATCTTGAGGGTGAGGGTGTAATTTATTTCTCTGCTCATTGATCGGCATCATCTTCGTTTCAGTACGAACCAAGCCAACTGACCTTGCTGGTCATCTTTATAATTCCATATAACTATTGATTAGGATGAGACTGCAATGAATAAAAGAACAGAAACGGACATCAATCAAGGCAACACAATATAAAGGATGCAAAATAGATAAAGAAGCGTTCATCAAGATACATTTCTTTGTGACTAAGTTTCAATTATAGAACATGACTTCCTCAGAAATTTCTCCCTCGACGACGACAAAATAACTGTTCTCGAAAGAATTTACTGCTCAAAGTAAATATGAAAAATGTTGTAGCGTGACCAAATCCTGAAATAGTTCCAGTCCAAAAATAAAATAAGTTATCTATGGCTACTTGAAGACTACTCTTGCTTTGCTCTGCTGTTAATGTTGTGTACCATTGACCAACAGCATATATCGTTGTCGCTATTGCGATAAATCCGCATTGTGCAAGCGCCATCCGAAGCAAATGATTATCACCGCTCGAACGCTGATTTTCCTCAATCGAATGACTTGCTGTCGGTATTACTCGTCTTTGTCGAACGTGTCGAATTGTCAACAAGGAGAAGATGAGCATCAGCAAAGCTGGACCTGTGCCATATGTGATCACATGCCAGATTCCAAGAAATATATTGTAGGCTTTGTTTCCAATTGAGCAGGTTCGCTGCGGTGATGTAAGAATTTCATAGAAAACCAACACATGTGCATATGCAAGTTGAACAACGAGAAATGTCAATGGAATAACCAGACGGGCAACCTTGTAACTGCTCCATCGTCGAACATTAGCGTTGGATGAACTATGGAGAAATCTGCTAAGAAATAGAATAGTACTTCTGCGAACAAAAATCTACTCACCGATCAACCGAAGCATGAACAAGAAACCAAACCGATAATGATGGGATTAGAAAAGGCAATGTGATGAAGTACATTCTCACCTCCATGAATATGTAAAAAAATATTTGAATTTGCAAGGTATCAGTGAATCGAGCATTGGATCGATATTAAAGCCCATTTGTAGAAGTCGAAGTGGCACATTAATGACAATATAAACGAGTGTCGTGATAGATGATGATAGAAAATACATGCAACATGAATTTCGTCTTAACTGTGGTCGTGTAAACACATATATATATTCAAGAGATTGCAAACAACACCAAGTGAAATGATAATCAGGGAGCAATACCGCGTCGATATGACAATGATTGAATTGATAATGTTAATTTCATTTTGAACACTCGCTAAAGTTGTTGTGCTTGATGAAGACATTTTCTGACAAAATAGTGATGCACTTTATCAAGTATTTCCGTCTTTTTATACCGGCACGCAAAGAAAAAACAGAATGATTTTCATACTGGAGAAAATTAATGACAATAAATTTAACAGCACTTTTTTCTCCTACAATTTAATATGAATCTCATTATTGAAATAGAGCAAAAAATCAAATCCATTAGAAATATTCAAAAGGTGTATTCAATAGGAAAACCAACGGCCAACTAATTTAGTGGTATGGTATGACGAATGTGACGTCAACTATTTGTAAAAATGGAACCAAACTTGCACTTATTCTGAACGATTATCATAGCAATATAACACTAAACAAAACTAGGTTCGTCGTTCATGATAATTCCTTCACCGCATTTGTCAAAGTAAACACAAAAATGCTCTATGTTACGCAAAGAATAAATATCAGAAGTTATTCTATTCCATCGTTGGTCATTTTACTCATTGAAGATAACTTCGACGACACATCGAATAGTGTATATTGAATCCTAGTCGTTTAAAAATTCGGAGAAAATAGAGTTAATTCATAGATAGACGATGACATATGGACACCTTTATCCCTAAAATGTTTCTAGAAGGATAAAGAATGTTAAACGGATAAGACCGTGGGGTGCATATGCATCTGACGAGAAAATTCCGAAATAAAACAGAGCAGAACTTAATCAAGTGCTAATTTGAAGCGATTCTTCGAACCTATAACAAATGTTTAGCAAATTGTTCAATTCATCTTCCATCATGTAGCGAGCGCAAGGTAATATTGAATAGAAGGCTACTGTTTAGGCGTGGTTTGTACTTCCGGTGTTATTTGATTATGAACCATTGTTGGTTGTTTGCATTGATTGAAACAGTATAAGCTCGATAAGACATAAAGAAATTGTCGACGAAAACGTTCAGATGCACACATGTAAATATAAAATGGACTCTAAGAATCGATAGAAAACAAACTTTTCGATTTTGTATCAGAAATGACAACTTACTGCAAAATAAATATAGTAAATAATGATAATTATATTCAAAATCAGCTGAAATTGCCGCTGAATATTGGGATCATTCGTGAAACTTGCATCTGTCGAAAGTGCATTTGCAGTTGTATAAGGTAAAATGGTAAAAACATTGAAAATCACTTGAATCAAAACCATACTTGTCAATTGTTTGTCCAATTCGCGGCGAACAATTGGAACGGTTCGATAAGCGATTTGTTGAATTTTTCGATAAGATAAATAACCAAATGAAGCAGCTACTAGAACTGGAAGATAACCAATCAACCCAAGAACAAAAAAATATGCACGATAGTTGTTAAACATCAGATTGTCACTTCCACAGCTAGTTGTGTTTGTAGATGATTCAATATGATGATAAAAAACAATATATGGAATTCCGTGACATATCCAAAGTAAGATAGTGATGATGACGAGACGATGTGCTACTTTGATGTTACTGAATCGTTGCCAACGAGGTTGAGAACAAGTGGCGAAGAATTGATCGACTGTTGCCAAGCAAAAACATGTCAGCGATGCGGCGACACAAAACTGACTTAGTGAGATTCGAAATTTACAATAAAACAACGACGAGGTTGTCCCATCCGTTCCAATTAAAGCAATGATTACGCGTGAAAAGAAAAAGCCAAAACACAGTTGACCAATATTAAACATCGACATCATTATTAGATAGAATGCACAGGCATTCTTACGGAAAGTTTCTAAGGACAAGAAGACAATGAGATTCAAGGCATTTCCAATGATACCAGTGATACAAACAGGTATTCCACCATAGATAATAATTTGTTTGCTTGCCAATGCTAGTGATGCGCCCATTATGAAATGTGAAATAACGAATGAAGTTCTTACTGAATTTATATATGTTAACAAGCGACGTGTATTTCTTGGATAAGATTGAATAGCTAATCAAGTATTTATCACATGTAGAGCTTTAGAAAATCAGATAGCATTCCATACTTTGAGAACGTTTCATAAGCAGTGTTCTCGAAACTATTAATGTTGAAACCGAAGTGCAATGTAATTAAGTAACTATCATATGACTCACTAGACTCTCGGGTACTCAAAGTATGAATTTCACGTCTCAGATTTTTCATGCGATTGCGAAAATGCGTTCTCTAAAGGAGAAATCCAACCCCGACGACTTTTGTCAATATTTCCTCTTACACAAGCTTTTGAAAAATTTCTTCCAACCATTCATATATATATATATATATACGTACGTATGCGAGTCGCACGCTTACGTTTCTGGATGCATTGCGCGCTTATTGATACTAAACTGAAATATACACGACTGGTAACATGTCTTTAGAATTAATTCCTGATGAGATACTTTTACTCATATTCTCTTATCTTCATCAATTTGATATAATCTACGCATTCAGTAAGCTGAATCAGCGATTCCGACGAGTCATCGATCCTCATCTACAAGACATTGATTTATCACAGGATCGCGTAGTCACCTATCCACTATTTCGTTTATGGTGTAAACATATCCTTCCGTCCCATTGCCGAAAGGTTCGAACGCTTAGACTCGCTGGATACCATCAATTGCAACTCTTTTCGCGACACATTCGTCACTTAACCAACTTGCAAGTCTTAGAGATCACTGATATCGAAGAGGATAAATTTCGAAACAAACACGATGACGATCTACATCATGTGCTAGATATCAGTTTCTTCCTGGACGAAGCTCTAACGCTGCCATGTTTACATACTCTATCGATAGATCTCACAGCAAATAATGTATTGAAAACGATTTCTTCGTCATCTGCTAGACATAACTTGACTCACCTTAGTCTGATCTCTCCTCGTCCCAACGGTTTATCATGTTCTGTTGGATATATATCACAAATGGACAACATTCAATATTTTTCGGCAAACTTTGATTCAGTCAACGATCTGAGAATAGTGTTGACTCGATTGCCCAACTTGCGAGAGCTAAAAGCAGCGATAGTGAATTTTGACGATCCAGAAGTTGCAACTCGAATAAAAGTGCCCGGTACATTAGAAACCCTCTGGCTCGAATTCGGCTGCTTTCACTGCTGTACAAATTTCAAGTCGCTCAAATTGCTTCTGGATGTCTTCAAAACTCAAATTCATTCGTTGACTTTGATTTCTGTCAACGTGGACGAAGATCTTTCCCAATATAGGAAATTTCATAAGCTCGTAGCCGATTTCACTTGTCTCAAAACATTTCGATATCATATTCGCACTCTACACCACTCTGACTCACTGAAACGTTGTACACACATACAAGAAGAACCCGATGGTAGCTACTTATTTTATACATTTCCACCTCCTAGAAGATTCGACATTGGATCAGAGGCAACACGAGGAGGGCGATATATAGACGACAGTCTCACCTCGTCAGAGCTATTCTCCTGCAATAGACTATGGACTTTAGGCGAGAAAGTACCTTCAACATTCAAGCTCACAAACAATGTAACACTGGCTCACGTACAAAAGATAGAGATAGGTGCAATTTTTGGAAATGATAGAAACACTTTGTGTGAGTATTTGTCGCAGGTGATATCTCTTTCGCCCAACTTAAAATGGTTGGATATGGATGCAGGAAAGAATACAAAAGTCTTTATTGATGGTATTCGCAAACTCTTTCGAAATGGAGTGAATAAGGGCATTACTCGCTTGGATCTAAGCTTAGACTGGAATAAAAATACTCAAGATCATCATCCGAATTTTTGGAATGAGCTAGCAGAAACTGTACCTCGTTTAAAAACACTCAAATTAAATATTAAGTATACACGTCGATGTGAGGACTATTCGCTCATGACCGAAATAATCAATGACTCGAAAAGAAGCTTTTGCAAATTGACTCGTCTGCTCCTCGGATTTTACTCGAGATTGAGCACGTTAGGTATGTTAGAATATTGCCAGAAGTACATCGATGAAATGCAGAAACCCCATTACAATTCGTTCAGTTTCACATTGGATTACGATACTGAACAAGGCCATTGTGTTCACGTTTGGTTATGAATGCCGTACTATGGTCGTATTTGGGGTTATAGACTAAGAAACTCATCGTCAAACATTCTATCAAATGATTTATAGTCTCGAAAAAACACGAAGTTTTGCTTTTCAAATGAGCTTTAACAGCGACTAAAAAAATGTTTAATATTTCTGTAATTCATTCTATAATTTTATGTTTATTGGCCAGTAACACGGAGTATTTGAAGATCATCCGTCTAGATAGATGGATGAAGAAGAAGAAACGAAATTGAATTCTAGTTCTGGTCCGCGAAGAAAATCTTTTTTTAATTTTTGTTAAACGAACATCCTCAAAAGCTGTTACTGAGATAGCTTCGGGTAAATTGAGATGCAAATGATTCTTTGCTACTTGAAGACTACTTTTTTACTTCTTCTGCTATTAACGTTGTATACCGTCCGTCAGCAATGACCTTTGTTGTTCCAAAGTTTGTACGATTTATCGCACGGACGATTGAAAATTGTCAAAGGATAAGAGTTGCCCCTTAAATAGGAAACAAACTCGCGCGATGTGTCATCCATGATTTGTACTTATCAGCTAAGAAACTGACATGGTAACGCGATCATCACTAAATAGATTAGAGATGGTTGAAAAGACGAGATTTCGCCATATAAACATTTTCTTTTCATTCAATACATTCTTTATGAAAACAATCTTCAAAACATCGAATAATATCTAATTGATTCTGAGCTTTGGAGAGAACGTTATAGTTTTGCTTGTTTCATTGACGATAACTGAGCAATTGAAACGTAATAAGATGGTCGAAAACTGAACTAAATTCAGGCTTTGCTATGCAGGATTTCCGTTCAATCAGCCGATCGCGTTGGCATCAGTAATACTTTGCATGTAACCGAAACAAATCGTAATCGTGTTCAAGTTTGGTAAGAAGGAGATATACTTCCCAGGTGTAATACAAGTGGTGAACTGACTTTACCCAAATCTGTCTTTACTATCAGTACCGATGAAATTTTCATTAATCATGTTGATACTACTAATCGAGTCATTAGGTGAGCTTTAAATTCTAATAATAGTGCTACAGTAATCAGTATTAGCGGCATCTTTTGTGATCTTGTTACTGTTCGATCGAAGTGAACCATACCATAAGTGTACAATCATTCAACGACAGTGTAAGTCTTCTGTTTGCTTGCGCAGTTACTGACTTTTCTGGTTCTGTATCATATATTTCATAGATTGTGAGGGATTTTTGTTCATGTGGTATCCAATATTTGTGTAGTGGACTGATACAATGATGGAACACAATGCGAACATTGTATTTGTCCTTGCCATGATCAAAGGTATTTGTAATGAAATATCGACGACTACATTAGTTTGTTTCCCATATGAAGCAAGATGGACAGGTACTCATTGTGAAAACAACACATATTTGAATAACGGCTTCTACCAACTATTATTACTTAACTCTTCATACTAAAGTCTTGGTGAAATTTATTGTGGATCCCATTGTTCTCCAGAGAGTTTCGAAATTGTTGTCTTTGATTTCCATTATAGTGATGTTAAGTATTGAACTGTTTATTGTTTTTGCATTTATCCAGTCAGTTCAAAAGATAGGAAAGTTCGACACAAGGGAAAAATATATAAGCCTGTCACACCATCATTCGCCTTATTTATGTCAATACGCTATCCGCCAAATCGTTAAGCAATAATTAAACTCGAAAATATTCACACCAATATCTAACGTGACATTCGAAGTAACATGAAACAATTCTAGTGAAATAATGATCGATGCAATTATTTGGCCATTTTTCTCTATATTAATCGAATATACGCAAATGTGATTTCTTCGTTTTCTTCCATGCATGGCAAAATATCAAGAAACGATTATCGAAAGATAATAAGGCGAAATCGACTTCATAATATTATTTGTTTTCTGATGCACTTGTTGATACTCATCTGTGAACTAATACTCTCGAGATGGATAATCAAGCACAAACACTAAATGCTGTATTCCAAAACAATTCAGCAGCGCGTACTAACATTCGTAAGCTGAGTTCTTTTTTATACGGAATCGTATCGACAATGCTGGAATAGATCTTGCTCCTATCATTGAGTATGCTAAGGAACGATTATTGCCTTTGGGATAAGAGCATGCATTCTATTGTTTCATACTATTGAAAACTTGTCGCTCTATGTTTAAACGGCGCCGAGTGAAACTCCGTCCAAGTCACCTTATGAACTTACAGGTGATGAAAGCCCAGCAATTCGTCTCTACACTATACTTAACCATACACTTATGGCAGATGATCGCATCAAACTACAACTTTTTTTCAGGTACCTGAAACTATTCTTAACTGCACTGGCTAAATTACCATGCTCTCCACCCTCGACCATATGGAGAGGCATTACGGAAGACGTCGTGCAGACTTTCTACCAGGTACTTATATGGAAATTCAATCTCAATTGAACCCGGCACGTGATCTTTATATTATTCATCTAAAGCAGGCCGGGCTAAAGAAAAGTCTTCTTGAACGATCCTTCGAAGGTACTTGACATTCTGCTTTTATAATTAACTATTTCTATGGCATTTAGGCTCTGATCATTGTCCGCAAGTTATGGGTAAGTCTTATTTGAACAGTACATTGATAGAACTTGGGTTATATCAATTTAGATATGCTTGCTATGGAAAGAAAAGAGATACATTCTATTGATGTTCTTGATAATCACTATGCTGTTCACACCAAGCATTTTAGGTGTTTTATTTGGTCTTAAATCCACCAAGAAGACGTCAGGTATGTTCAATCTTTCAATCCGACTTGGAATATTTTTGCTGTACAGTTCATGTGCAAGGATTTCTTTCAAGATACTTTAAGTTTTAAAATTGGATTATCGCCAGTTTCCATACCACCAATTACTATGGCAATAGTGTAAGTATATTGCTTAATAATAAAGGTGGAACTTTCCAGAAAGAATCATACAGTGCACCAAACAAAGTGCACTCCAAAATCTATCATCTCAGTCGACTTCGATCGAGATAACATAACGGATCTTCTGGTGCTTCTTGGTGACAATAACAACAGTAGGTTGTCATAAAAAATCATATACAATGTTAGTATGCGACGATTTAAATGCTGATGGAAAGCTGGACAAAGCAGCGCTTAGTCAGGCTTCTAATACCGTGCACATACTATTGGGTACTGACCATAAAACTTTCCCGCTTGAGAAAGTCTATCCAATACGTAAATGGCCAAGTGCGATGGAAGTGGCTGACCTCAGCAACGACAGAAAAGTTGATCTCGCTGTAATCAACCTCTTAATTTGTATAAAATTTTCGTACATTTCATTTCACTCATGATTCTGCATGAAGTTGAATAAGAATGCATTGCTTCAGGTCTCTTTATTGATTGCAACATGTTAAACAAATACATAATGTACAATACGCATCGAAAAGGGGGCCACAAGTTACACCACAACATTGTGTGCACTCCGAACAAATTTTACCACAGCAATCACAACAATCCATGTTCTCAGGCGTGTCCGACTTGGTATTTGAGTTGTTTTCTGACGATGACAGTGACGTCGTAGGTTTCATTTCGATCTCAAATGGATCAATGGCCGAAGCAGATGGCTGATTTGTTAAATAATACTTCGATGTCGAGTCAGCTTGCATTGTTTATTCTGTTTCTTCAATTGCTGACGAATCGATTCATCTTCCACGTGTTTGTTGAAAAAGGAAAAATAAACTTGAACAGTCAGCATAATCGTCCAGTCGAAAATGTTTTTCTTCTTCTTCTTTCTCTTAGGCAGAACAATGTCCTCATGAATCATGCGTAGTTCTAAGATAGACATGTCTCAGTAGTCTAATGGGAAGATACACGATTGAAGCTCGTATGATCCAAGTTCGATTCTTGGCTGAGACATTTAATTTTTTGATTATTTCTACTAATTGCACTAGAATAAGATGTACATTGCATCAGGTCATACATATGAGTCATTCAGTTTCATTTCAGACAAGAAAGCAAAAAGCGTGAACAATACGGTCATTCGTTACCTCATACAAACGACTTGCTCTGATCTATGATGTTATTTACTATGTTAACAAGGTCAACGATTTGTTTAAGAGAACTCTTTGAAATCTAATTGTAAATGGACAAAGTGACAACTGGGATCTCTCTTATCGCATGTTCTATACTACTTGATAGCATTTATTCTTTCTTATTCGTTCTGCTCTTTTGACACGTGCGCGATATAACACATACTAAAGTTCAGAGAAAAGAAAAATGCACTCGTACTTTTTTGCCTCATCGTCAGTAAGGTGTATCGCATTCTCCTCAGTCGTATTTCATAGATCTCTACAGACATGTCGTTTTTCGTTTTACCATCGACGTTGCAAACATCAACTTCAGGAACTTATCAACCGACCATTCTCAGTGAGTTCAAAATCGATTCGTCTGAAAATATTTGAAAACTAATTCATTTGAAGGAAGAGTGGAATATGGTGTTGGTTCTCTTTCGAAACTAGCTGACGTTCTGCGTGATCTTTCGATTTCCAAGGCATTTATCATTACGGGTAATTCCTTAGCAACAAAAACCGACGTGATCGAACAAGTGAAGACTGCTGCTGGATGTCCAATAACAGCTGTTTTCTCATCAATGAAACAACATGCACCCATTGACGACATCAACAATGCAATCGAGCAATTAAAACAAACTGGCAGTGACGGTATTCTTGCTGTTGGTGGTGGTTCGCCAATTGACGCTGCTAAGCTCGTAATTCATTTCTACAAGGAACAAACAGGCATCTTATTGAAATTAATTAGCATTCCAACAACCTTATCGGCTGCAGAATTGACTATCATTGCTGGTTATACTAGTAAGTTACTCCATTTTGTTGAAGGAAATTGAATATTTCAATTCTTTTTTTTTTAAGATGAAGATGGAAATAAGGTAGCGAAGAAAGCTAGTGAAATTGGTTCATCAGCGATAATTCTCGATGCTAACTTATCTTTAAATACGCCCAATCGCTTGTGGCTTTCAAGTAATATAAATGATTGCTTTTCAACGTAAATTTTTGTAAGTTTTCATTTTCAGCTGGTATACGAGCTTTGGATCATTGTGTTGAACAACAGTACCGGCCCAATGCACCAATCCCTGTCCGAGCTCTAGCCCGAGAAGCAGCTGGTATCTTGTTCGAATCTTTACGAGCATGTCATAAGGATGCTAAGGATGTTGAAGCTCGACAACGAGCACTGATTGGCGCTTGGTTGAGTCTTTGGTCGGATGATCGTATAGGCCCTCTAGGTCCTTCACACTCAATTGGTTACCAACTTGGAGCACCGTTAGTTTAGCCAGAAGAAAATACAATTAAAGACTCATTTCTTTATTTCTGTTTTATTTAGTTATTCGATTCCACATGGCATTTGTTCGTGTTTAACTCTCGCTGGTACGATAGTAGTTCAGACGAAGCATTTACCTGAGCAAGAAGTGAAGCAACTCGCTTCACTTTTACCTTTTGTTAATACGAGTTCGTCTTCATCTTATGGTGGCGATACACATGAACAAGCCATGAAAGTTGCTGGAGCTGTCAAAGAACTTATTGCAGATTTGAATTTGGCATGTACGTTGCGAGAGTACAAAGTGCCACAATCAGATCTTGACGGTATTGTTGAACGTGCTCTTCCAGACGGAAAATCGGATAAGAGATACAAAGATTTTCTTGAGTTTCTTCACGCTATCTATTGAAAATAATAAATCGGCGATACGGCAATCGCTCGTCTCCTTTTCACTATGTGTTCATAGTTTATTCTAGACAACGTGCTAATGTTTATATATATATAATTATATTCAGACGTAATAGTCATATGTGACTGCAGAACGAGCAAAAAAAAATAGCACGCAGATTCAAACCTCTCTGCTCTCTTCAGTCATACGACACAAAAGCATATGCACTTACAATACATTCATCATGTCGAGTGAAGCTTAAATAAACGACACGATGACGATGCATAAAATGTGAAGAGAAAAGAATCGCAACCGTATATACACATATATTATAGGCAATCACAAGTGAAACAACACAGCTGTTTAAAAGCTTGTTTATACAATACATCATGGTATCGTTTGCAACACCGTTACAACTTGGACCTCTGCTTTTAAAAAATCGTGTGATTATGTCATCGTTAACTCGTGATAGAAATCGTGTTCCCGGTCCTCTTCAGGTCGAATACTATACTCAACGAGCTGGCGCCGGTCTCATTCTCACTGAAGGCACTCTTATCGAACCACTCGGAGCAGAATGGTCCAATGCACGTTAGTATTTTCTTCACTCTCAGTTCGATTCGTTTTTTTCTTAAATTCAATTCTATTTGTGTAGCTGGTATCTATTCTGATGAACAAGTAGCTGGCTGGAAGAAAGTGGTGGATAGTGTCCACAATCACAATGGTCGAATCTTTCTTCAGCTGTGGCATATCGGACGAGTGGCTCATCCACTTCTGCAAGACGGTCGACCGAATGTTGCTCCATCAGCAATCGCAGCCAAGGGTGGAAAGTTTCGACAACTGGAAGGTACTCCTGGGTTTGTAACACCAGTTGCTATTGAAGATCCTGAACATTATGTTGCCTTATACAAACGAGCAGCTGAGCGTGCAAAGGAAGCTGGATTCGATGGAGTTGATTTGCATAAGTATGTGGCTTTCTCTCATGCTATGGGTTTTCTCCAAGATTGTCTTCCATTAACTCTAGTGCCAACGGTTACTTGCCACATCAATTCATAGATAACACATCGAATCGACGAACTGATCAATGGGGTGGTTCGGCTGAGAATCGATGTCGATTTACCTTACGTATTATCGATGAGATTTCACAAGTTTTTGGAAACGATCGCGTTGGTATCAAGTTATCACCGAGTGGTGGTTATAATGATATGGGGATGACGGAAAAGGATACCATCGAAACATTTGATTATCTCATCAAAGAACTCGTTGCTCGTCGTATCGCTTACATTCAAATAACACGTTATTGGCCTGAACGTGATCCAGCGAAGCGTGGCACTGCTGTTGATATATTTCGATGGAGAAATGTGATCAATGGTGAACACACCAAGTTTTTTGCTAACGCGGAGTTTAATGCTGAAGATGGTACAAAAGTGTTGAAAGAAGGTTTGGCTGATGCCATCGTATTCGGAAGATTCTACATCGCAAATCCAGATTTGGCTCAACGTTTAATCAACAAACAAGAATTGAATTCGAATTTCAATCCGAAAACGTTCTATGGCGGCGGTGCAGTAGGATATACTGATTATCCAACATATGAACAACAACACATAGCGCAATAATATGACAATTGAGTTTCTCATTTTGATTAAAAATACAAAAGCGAATATTTTCAACACTTCTGTTTAAAGAGAGATGAAAAGTCATGATGACTATTCCGTTCTTTTCTTTTTTTCTTTTGCATATGAATATTCTACTCATTCGTATGATACAGTTATGTGAAGGCAACACGGTCTGTCACACGTGTACATTTCACTCCATATCAACTTTAGATTGATCACGAAGAAGAAATAGAAATTCTGTGAGAAAACTCTGCTAGATGACGACATCGTTGAGATACTTATGGACTTGATGGAGAACATCTCGCTTCGCACTAGTAATTGTGTTATTTATCGCTTTCTTTCTGGACAGTATCCTAAATACCTGTATCGGTAAGCATCTCTTATTAACAATATCCTCATCCCTCATTTGGTACCAACCGGAATACATCTGTGCGCTCTATGCATCTCCAATTCTGCTCGACTTTCTGTATCAAATGAAACATCAATTTGCTGGATTTTTGTTGAATCAGTCGAAGTCGTTGGGGAATTCTTTCAACGCTACTCGTCAGCGTTTGTCGTCACAGCTTTTGATCAGCACAACTGCGCAAATGAGGAAAATGGAAGACAGATATATCTAACATGATTTTTTGAAAGTAAGACAGAATTGAATGTAAACAAGTTCATATTTGCTTGATTTGAATTGAACAATAGGAAAACTTTGGTTTGGGATTTACATATTGGCTCGAAATCATTTGCGCAAGTATCTTTATATGAAATTAATAGAAGGATTAGGGTGTTTTCATGTTTCGTTCTAGTTTTTTATCAATCCAATTGATGGTATCGTTACAGCACGGTCAGTACGCATAGATCTGGTTATATGATTTAATATTCTAATCCTTTCAGAATAGGATATACACTATCGACGTTTTTCGGTTTTCGTACTTTGTTTGCTTGAATTTGGATAAGTAATCCAACTTGCAACTTTCCTAATATGTTTACATTGCTCGTTTGTACTCAGTATTTGGATTCACAAACACTTACTCAACTCTCTGCGTTGCACGGGTGATACAAGGTGTGGGTACTGCATTCTCAGCTATAACAGGTAGTGACGTTTTCAATACTCGATATGATATTGATCGATGATTTCTATAGGGGTCAGCATGCTGGCTGACCGGTTTTCAGACGATCACAAACGAGGTACAATGCTTGGACATGCTCTCAGTGGTGTTGGTGTAGGTTAAATAGGTAAATAAGATTTCGTGCAATAGTTTTTCTTTACTCTCTATCTTTGCTGATAATGACTAGTGGGACCTATCTTCAGAGGTTTTACTTACTTCGAGTTTGGTAAAACCGTTCCTTTTCTTGTTCTTGCTGGACTCGCTCTATTCTTATATTCCTTCAAGATCGCTCCATGCTCATTTTCTCGGTAGATCTCATTTCTCTCTTATATCACAGTGACACAGTATCGAGCAACTTTTAGGTACAAATATGATCGCGTTGTTTGGTGTGGCAGTTATTCAAACCACTTTGCCTATTTACATGATGGCTACTAGTGTGGCGATAACTCCCATTGACCAAGGCAAAAGGAATCTTATCTCAGTCGATTATTTTTTTATACAAAATTCCTTTCATTTAGACCTCATCGGTATACCAATTTGTATCGGAGTTATTGTCAGTCAGAATATCTTCGGTTCTCTTCCGTTTAAAATGGGCAGATGAGTTTCTACTATCGATTAGGTTGTGAAATATAAATAAGATTTATCCTCTCAATCTTCAAGATGGTTAGCTGGTCTCATAGGCATGTGTATCAATAGCCTTGCCTTCGTCGCTGTAATTAGTGTAGACAGACAAAGAAACCCCAATCGACCAGATATGATATTGTTAGATACCATGGTGTTATTCATTCATAGCGCTTTCTATACCTTTGCTCTTTAATAGATTTGGAATCGCAATGATTACATCGGCGATGATGCCGCTGATTGGCCAGATTGTGCTCCAGAACCACTCCACAGTCGATTATGGCAGCGCTTATGCTCTGACTGAATTCGCCTACTGCCTTTCATTTATGCTTGGTATTGTATAAATCCATAGTCGTACATTTTATGTCTTCTAATCTTTTTTGTAATGCCGAATTTCCCAGGATCTCCAATTATGGGATATATAATCAGTAAGCATCATTGGTTTTCAATGGGCGATCATGGTAGTGGCGTCTATCTATCTGTTCTATGCGTCTCTACTTATATTTCTACGTCAATCAAAACATCCGGCGAACAAATTGTAAGCGAAAACGTCAATGACCATGATTCTCCGTCTAACCGAAATAGTCCGTTCGGTTTCAGCCTCTTATGGATGATGATCAATCAAATCTGACAGCTTCGAACCAGAATAGTAATGTTACTCGATAAGATTATGGAAACAAGATGTTGTATATGTTAGTATTCCTAAATGGATAAAGTTGTTCAAAGTCAATATCTCTGTATCTTTGAATAGATCAGTCCAAAATGACATAGTTCTTAGTTCTAAGATAGACATGTCTCAGTAGTCTAATGGGAAGATACACGATTGAAGCTCGTATGATCCAAGTTCGATTCTTGGCTGAGACATTTAATTTTTTGATTATTTCTACTAATTGCACTAGAATAAGATGTACTTTGCATCAGATCACATACCCTTCAGCAATCGAATCACCTTCATATACATGTATGCGCATTTTTATTGGATATAAATTACCAGATGAAATCCATTTTTTCAACTTTACACTCGCGCTTCTGTATTCATTCGAGGATGAGTGTGATAATTCAAAGAAATTAATATCTTAACTCATCTGGTTGTGACAGTTCGTGGTCGTGACAGAACGCAAGAATGCGACAGAAAGAACGAAAAAAAACTTACATCTTCTTTCATTACTACAGTAGTCAGTCACACGTGGTATACGCTATGACGAAGCATCACGTATGATGACGGTGCATAAAGCGTGAAAAGAAAAGAATCGCAACGGTATATATATCGGCCATAGTCAACCACAACTTTTTTCACTTGCTTATATTATACATCATGGCATCGTTTGCAACACCTCTGCGACTTGGGCCTCTGCTTTTAAAAAATCGCGTCATCATGGCATCGTTAACTCGTGATAGAAATCGTGTTCCCGGTCCTCTTCAGGTCGAATACTATACTCAACGAGCTGGCGCCGGTCTCATTCTCACCGAAGGTACTTTCATCGAACCAATCGGAGCAGAATGGTCCAATGCACGTTAGTATTTTCTTCACTCTCAGTTCGATTCGTTTTTTTCTTAAATTCAATTCTATTTGTGTAGCTGGTATCTATTCTGATGAACAAGTAGCTGGCTGGAAGAAAGTGGTGGATAGTGTCCACAATCACAATGGTCGAATCTTTCTTCAGCTGTGGCATATCGGACGAGTGGCTCATCCACTTCTGCAAGACGGTCGACCGAATGTTGCTCCATCAGCAATTGCGGCCAAGGGTGGAAAGTTCCGACAACTGGAAGGTACTCCTGGATATGTGACACCAGTTGCTATTGAAAATCCTGAACATTATGTTGCATTATACAAACGAGCAGCTGAGCGTGCAAAAGAAGCTGGATTCGATGGTGTGGAATTACACGCGTATGAAACCTTTAGTCATTAGTTCCTTTTGAAGTCTTTTCTTTTTGAATATTAGTGCCAACGGTTACTTGCCACATCAATTCATAGATAACACATCGAATCAACGGACTGATCAATGGGGTGGTTCGGCTGAGAACCGATGTAGATTTCCGTTACGAATCATTGACGAAATAGCTTCTGTCTATGGAAATGATCGTGTTGGAATCAAGTTATCACCGGGTGGTGGTTATAACGATATGGGCATGACAGAGAAAAACACTGTCGAAACCTATGGGTATCTCATAAAAGAACTCAACGCTCGTCGTATTGCTTATATTCAGATAGCACGCTACTGGGCTTTGGGAGATCCCGTTAAGCGTGGAACACCCGTTGATATATTTCAATGGAGAGGCTTGATTGATTCAAGTCATACAAAATTTTTTGTAAATACCGAATACAACAGCGAGGATGGTACAAAAGCATTACAAGACGGCTCAGCTGATGCTGTTGTGTTTGGAAGATTTTATATTTCAAATCCTGATCTTGCTGAACGGTTAATTAATAATCAGGAATTGAATACGAACTTTAACGTGAAGGGATTCTATGGTGGTAATGCAGAAGGATATACTGATTATCCAACATATGAACAACAACACAAAGCACAATAAAACAATCACCTGTCAAAAAAGGGGAGACATAACTACGTATTTCTAAGTAGAATAATTTTAAGATTATTATTTCATAGAAAATGGAATTTGATCTGTTTTTGTGTTGAGATATATTTCATCATGTGCAGTAAATAAACAAATATATAAACAGAAACTTGACTTTTTCTTTAACAACACTGCTCGAATTAGTGAAATATTTGCAGAATTTATTCATTGTTATCTCTTCTGAGCAACAAGAGCAAATAAAAGTATTTCTAAATACATATTCATGATGGGCTTTCCTGATATTACTGTTTTCATCCATTCAATAAATTCCGACGAATAGCGCTCGCTAGAGTGATGATTTCCGTCGAGCTCATTTGTATTCTTGTTGAACTTCTAGTAACTTGAACTGATTCGTCATTCACACTTAACTGCTCGATATCCTCGACTTATTTAATGAAATAAAATATTCCAGTGTTTTACTTCCGCTATTTTATGTGAGTTTGAAGAAAACAATGCAACACTACGTGCTAAACTATTATATGGGCTATATCATGAATTCACCTAGATAAATATATGTGACGCACATCCAGATATTTCTAATCATTTATTGTAAAAAAAGGTGTTTTGAAATCAACAGAAGTAATTGTAGATGAGATCAACGGGTATTCTCTTGACACAATTGGTGATTAATCTCATTATAACTCACAATATAGGTAAAGATCTGTTTAATATCTTTTTTTTGCTTGTCATACTTGATCTTGTTTGAAATATGCATTATATCCATACCATGTTCGTTTGATACTGAATGAAATTTCGAGATAATCTATGAATGTACGCATATGTATCCGATGATGTGCTTGAAATTGTACTTATTGAGATGATGATGATTTATTTTGATTGTTATTTTCCAATAGAATCTGTTGATGTGTGTCCTAATATCAATGGTAGTCGGTCACTCTGGTTGATTACATTTGGAAATGGTTCAGAGAAGCTTTCTAACAGTGTACCCTCCCATATCAATTTCACAACGACATATAAACCAACGAAAGACGTCGAAAATATAGATGTCGGGCAGTTTATTTTGATAAATACAGTACCAAGCGTTTCGTATACTAGTTGGCATGTTGGAGCGAAGGACCATACATTAAATGATAGTAAGGGGTACATGATGATAGTCAATGTGGCTTCCTCTGGACCCAGCAAGCTATTTGAGATCACTGTGGATCGCCTTTATATGGGATTGCGATATGAATTTTCCGCTTATTTGGCAAATGTAAATAAACAGGGAGCAAGTCAAAAAAGCCCAAATGTTTGGTTCCAAGCACGTGCAGCAACAGGCAATCAGCCAATACTTAATAAATCATCGACTGGCGATTTGCCTGAACTGGCGAGTTTTACGTGGTCAAAACACACACTTCTGTTTAAAACGAATACCAGTTCAGTGATTTTGTCAATGATTCCAAATGATCACGGCGGTAATGGGAGGAACCTAGCCATTGACGACATAGAATTACGTGTTTGTTCAAATATATCATCCGAATTTGTTCCATTAGGTGAGTGGCGCTTTTTTATCTTCCATATCTTTGAATATGTAGAAGAAAAAAGAAGCACAAAGATGACAGTCATTTCAGGAGTATTTGAATGTTCCTATTCATTTACTGACGAATACATATTTCGGTATGTTAACATAGAAAAAGAGCTAACTACAACAGAACATCAAGCATCGTCGACGACAGCACAACAGACAAGGACATCCCAACATGATACAACAATGAATAACCGTACGTATATTCTTACTGATACGTATAGTATTCACTGTTTATACCTTTGCAGAAGAAAGTTCAACAATTACCATATCGACAGAGACGTCGACTACGCAAGGTATGCGATTAGGAAAATATCATAATAAATTAACCGTCGTTTTTTTAAAGGTATAGTCTTTTATTTTAAATACAACTTCGATCGTTCAATCGACCGATAACTATATATCTGCTTTTTTTTTCAAAAGCGTCGGTTTCAACAACGTCCCCAACAACAATGACTCCAGGTTAGTTAAGCGACAGTGTATATCTGAATCATCAATTCATTATTTACTTGAGGAAAAGATTCCAAATCAACATTTGTTCCTGAGCACTGTGGTGATCCATCGCATATCGGATCGAATTGCGATAAACGGAATAGTCCATGTGACATGAGAGAGCCATGTCAAAATAACAGTACATGTGTGAACAATAACACTGCGCTGCATGGATACATTTGTGTATGTCCACCTAACATTACTGGTATGCATTGTGAACATAATCATCGATTCTGTATGTCGCATATTTGTCTAAATAACGGTAAATACTTTGCGATATAAAAATATCGTAGAACTATACTCTATTTTCTCGTTCATAGGTGTGTGCAATGAAACATCACGGACATGTGTGTGTTCCGATGGGTGGGGAGGTGCACATTGTGAATGGATGATCAATCTTTGCGAAAAAGATAAAATAACATGTTCGAAGAATGGTGTTTGCCGGCCATTGTTAGTTAATTACACATGCGAATGTTTCAGTAGTTATTCTGGCCGACATTGTGAACTCATGGTAACGAAAATTCGTATTTTAAAAATTGTTAGCAAATCAGTTTCATTCGTTGCCATTCTTATTCTTGTAATTTTCATTCTGTTTATCGTTATCATGGATGTCTTGAAATATTGTTTTGGTATGGATCTAACGCGTGAAGAATTACAACGGTATCGACGTGAAAAACAAGCAAGAAAACGAAAGCGTCCCGTTGTTCAACGATTTACTTATGTGGACAAACCGACAGCGATGAAAGACACATCAGTTTAATCTGGAAATATCGATGGAAAAGATTGTACGAGAAAATGAGCGAGGACGTTGCAGATATTGAGACATCTGACTAGATTCACACACTGCTTTGTTTTTTATTTACCGAACAATAAAAATCTTATCAATTCGCTTTTATCCTGCCCTCCAATTTCTTTATTCAGTAACTTGAAAAGCCATGCGCATGTTTTTTCTCAATCAATCTTCCCACACAATTCTTCACAGTATAAAGTATCGTTGTTCGTTCAAATACTACGACATAACGTTAATTGTCGAGGATTACTTTGTAGTGCATTGAAACAACTGTCACCACCAATACTGGGTGCGTCAACAAAAGGTCCTGCTACGTTACACGTGATATTGAATCCGTAACATTGATACGTATCTGCTGTTGTGATACAACAGTTGTCTGATATTGTATTTCGATAGTTTTTCCCGATGAATAGGGAACTAAGACAATGTAAAATAGCGTTTGTTGCTAAAGTGTAACCAGCTGCACAATTGCCTGCTGATCCATCGAGGTAATAGCAGTTGTTATTCCATGAAACTTCGTAACTTTGACAAGTAGCAACCATCGGTGTTGTTGTTGTACATACTGAGACAAAACGAGTAGTTTTATTACGAATTCTCGAAAATAAAGACAACTCACGTGTTGCCGCAGTTACGCTGCAGGTACTTGCTGATGGTATATAACGTGAATCGACGGTTGTGGTAGCTAGAATAGATTAGTTTTCAGATTTGACCGGTCGAATATGAAGTGGAGAAGTGCGCAGGTCTCTTTTTCCCGCAATTATATACGCTTTACTGACGTTTAAGTAAACAATTTCGAATTTATAACTATAAAAATGTTAGGAAGGGTTTTTCACAGCTTGCATATATCTGCAAAATCGAACTAAAACTGTCAAGCTCATTGTTCAGTTCGATACGTACTGGTTGGAGTAGTTGAAGATGTGGTCGTCGATGTTGTTATTGGTTGTTCTGTTTATACGAAAAAATTAATACATTTGAAAATGATCGAATAATCTTATATTTAAGAGGCAAATAATGACAGTATCTTTTCAAATCTATATACTATTATATGTTAATCATTGTTTTCTTATTTCGTCTTTCACAACTCAACTTACGCATGATATCCTTCACAAATAGAAGAATTATAAACACAGACCTACTCATTTTTAACATAGAATAGCAAATCACCCTTTGTCCACTGATATTCTCTGCTATGAAGAATCAAGCTGTGTGAAAGACTTTTGTTTCATCTACGTCAAATTTGTTATGTTCCTACTTACCAGGCGGCGCTCGTGTCCCATATATCACTATCATCGTAGTACTTTCTACAGTAACTTTCAAACTATTGTTTTGGTTTATTGAATTATCAAATAATTGACAACTCGAATTCATCTGACGAAAACTAGCAGCCCTGCATTGAGCTTGTTCTAAACAATTCATTTGACATTGACGAATATTCAAGACGGTAACAATAGCATATGGCGAACAAGTTGTTGTAGCACATCGAAACTGCGACTGATTTACAATGGACATTCGAAAGGATCTTGCATACTGTGCCACTGATTGTTGAAGAATAGTAAGTAAAAGTATTTTTATCCACGTCATAACTAATAGACGACAGTCTGGTTGATGGAATCGCCTCTGTTTATTCTTCTTTTATATAAATTATTTGATATATACCTTGTTTTACTCGATGATCACATGAAACAAAATATAATAGCACTTTTTCCTGTCAAATACTTTGAAATAATTCAACTATGAAAAGCAAAGTTGTTTCTTAATTCTAATTATAAAAGCAAAAAAACTAGGTTGCCTGCTATTCCATACAAATTCTGTTGAATAGAGCACGAGTAAAGGACGCTCCTTTTGAGAAAAAACTAGTTAAGAAGTCTCAGGCCTTGTGCAATGTCTAGATTACGTATTATCATATAGTATTGGTGGAATGAAATAACGAGAAAATGTTTTCTCAGGTTCATATTATAAAATAATCAATACGAGAACCATTACTATTACAATTGAAATTACTCGCTTGAATACAAAGGAAACAATTCCTTTGATGCGCATGACTTTGTTCAAATGTCTAAAAGAGAAGTCGATATGAGACAAAAGCTTCAACGTGCGACTATTACTTTTATATTCATCACTGTTTGCTGTTGTGAATTATACTATTGATGATATAGTTTCACATGAAAAGAAAAAACAAACTGTTTTCTGTCTTGAAAAAAGTCATTGGTAGGATGATATCTGATTTTTCGAAGAACAATGCAAGCTTGATATGAGAACAAGAAATATTTTTAGAATCAATCGTCTACGCCATGCACTTCTCAACGGTTGAAGTCAAATTATGAAGAGCGCAGTTAAACATATATCATGCTTTCATTCGTTGACTGTATTTGAAAAAGTAATGGCTTATAACTCTTTGCAAACGAGTTTTACGACCGGATATTCATGTGCGTACAAATATATGTTCTGATGATTCTTGAAGGTGAGTATGGTTTTTGGGTATAGATCATTTTTATTTGTGCAAATAAATTCAAACGGAAGCTCTACATTATTTTGTGCATTACCAAGTGCGAGTAAATAATCGAGAGTGACACACATGACCATGTGAATGAAATCATGATAAAGAGTACTGTCTTTGCCCTACTTAACGAAGAAAAAATATTTTTTTAACAGTGTCGTATTACTTCTCCATCAAGAAAATCTCGTGTTTTCTCTTTCTGTCGAACAATAATCTTCGATATTGACAAAACCTTGTGACGCACAAAAGAAGAAAAACAGAGCAATGTGCACAGCGAATGAAAAACATCCTATATAAATAAGAAAGCAAATATCGCAGTAGATAGATACGACATTTGATGGGCGTGATTTCGTATTTACCTATAGAAATACAAGAACTTGTCTGGGTTGAATACTCTATTTTACAAAAAAAGTGACCTATTAATAATGCTTTTCCCTCCTAAAGATTAGCATTTGACTAGAGGCAATGGGTTCTAATCATAGTGTTCAAATTAACATCCATCTCGATCGCGCAAATTCATTCTATTTCGCGGGTGAAACAGTTTCCGGAACAATCAATGTTCGTATCAGTGCAGGACAAATCAAACTTGATGAAATTCTTCTACTATTAGCAGGTGAAAGTGGTTATACAACAACTCATACCGTAACTGACTCGAATGGTTCGACATCGGTAGTAATCAATTATCTTACAAAGTCATTTTTGAAAACAATAACTACCATAGAAAGTCCTTCTTCAGAGCAAAAAAAATTGATCTATAATCCAGGAAGCTATTCATGGCATTTTGATATTCCGCTGCCTTCACAATTGCCACCTTCACTTAATCTGCCTCAAAGTTATCCTCATGTTCGATATTACTTGAAGTTAGTGATGGATAAACCATGGTACAAGCGAAATGCTACCGAAATTCTCTATTTGACAGTCTTTCCACGCATGGATCTATTACACGATGCGCAGCTGCTTACTCCAACTTTATTTAGCGATCATAATCGAAATGACGTCACTCTCAAAGGAACCATACACAAACTCGCTTATCTACCAGGTGAGACAATTACGGGAACGCTAGAAATCATCAATCCTCGACGAAGTGTATTGAAACAGATCAAATTATTATTAATTCAACATTATAAAATTGAATGTAACACGAAGCAAGAAAAGTTAGTCGACATCATTCTACCAATAGTAGATCATCGAAATGATGAGTATATCATGGACAAGTTCTCCTTGACTGTACCATCCATTCCACTACCTCCATCTTATGATTTCCACGATGGTTACGATCACAAAACACATGTTAATATTCATTACAATCTTGAATTTCAAGTGAAAATCGAAGGAATGTTTACTAATTTTGATATTCCAGTACCGATTACAATAGCTAGCATATCCGACATGAATTCGAATAATTACGAACCACATCGAAATATGAACTTTTCACAAAATTCATTATCGTATTATCCAGAAATAGACATTGACGATAAGACAAATCCTCCACCAAGCTATGATTCTATCGTATTTCATGATTAATCTTATAAATTCGTTAAATACGTAAGACCAAAGGATGAGTAAACCAACAGAACAAAGCAATAGCACGAATTTTTTTCGATAAGTCAGGTAATGACAGTACACTACAAATGAAGTGAAGACGGTCACCTAGTATAATAAACATCTCGTATCACTAAAACATCTAACTCCAATGCTCCAAGGTAGACCAATGGTATATGTGACATACAGGATCATCGATGACAGATCTAATACCAGACAAATAGGTGAGATTGGTAATGGTTGTATTGCCAATTTTCTATAATTTCTCCAGTCCACTCTATAGTGAACTTGATAGCGGTACGGTATAGAACATGGGTAAGAAGTACAAGACTAAATATAACAATGACTACTACAGGCATAACATAATAAATTATACTATCCGATAAAGAAATGGTTCGCTTTGCTGAGATGCATCCGTACCGATTACACAATCTATAGATGTAATCGAAGCCTGCACGAGAGGAACGTAGTGTAAAGATGAATGCAGTGAAATAGAAGAAGCTACCAATCAATGCAGGATAATTCGTTTTCCTCTGCTTGCGAATATATTCGAATGGAAAATAAGAATATCTCGTTCAATCGATGTCCAGGCCATCAAAACAAAGACTGATATAAAACAAACTGAACTTACATACAATCATATCGAACACAGTGTGTACGGTTTTGAGAGAGCGCTTCCTTTAAAGTAGAGATAGGTACACCATGCAGTATCATACAGTTAATTTTTAAATAGACTTGACAAAGCATCGATCCTAATAAAAATTTGCTGTTCTTTTTTGTCGTTCAACAAGAAATAATTGACATATAAAGCATAATTCATAGATCTATTTTCGATTTTCTCGCGTCATTCATCATCTCGATTGAACAACTATTACCATGTAATGGTTTTTGAAATGTTCATCTTGCGTAATGGCAAATCCATGTGTATATATCAATGATAGCGATTGACTTAGTCTCATTATTCGACAAATTACTTTACCTATGGTTATCATCGAAGAAAATGATTCTGACGCGTCTTTTTTTTATCAATACTACTCGACATCTAGTTCACGTACAAGATGGAAAACATGTTGAATGGGTGTTATTTCGTCACGATTCACTTTTCATCCACAACATACTCAACAATGAAGAAATGCCATTGACTGAATTAGTCAACGAAGCAAAGTAAGGTATCGGCTAATGTTGTGATTAAAACTGGATTTATTTATAAGTTCGATTATGAAGATAAGACGAATTATTATATTAGTCTATACTCATTTCCTATGGAGTAGTATTAATTCATTCATCGCAGCAACTTGCAGATGATAGTAAGGCAATTATTTCCGAACGATCAAATATTTTAAATGATCAAGAGAATCCAGTCGTTATTGCAATTGGCAACACAAAAAAAAGATATTGAGTTGATAAACTCACTTTTTGTTCGTAACTATACAGAAGATCGAGGAAAAAGTAACTTAATATTCGAGTGTCTTGATTAAACATAGTTTTACATATTCAAATAAAAAATATTTACTAACATGGATATTATAAAAGCTTTAAAAATACATGCGATCGAATAGAATATATTTCGATAATCAACTCTATACAACGACTTTCCCCCTCAGAATTCAGAATGCGTCTGTTCATTGTTCTCGTGCTGCTCTGCTTTATCTTAATGTTCCAAAATACGAACGGTAATGGCTGTTGTACTTGCACTTGCTGCCGTGGTCAAGGCTGTGTACCCAAACAAAAACCGTCTTTTAACGTTGACAGTTGTGATTCAGTTGGCAAATGCAATACTGAGTGTTGTCAACGTTATACACAAAATTGTTTTCCATTACCAGGATCAGGCTATATCGATTCAGTTTGTAACAGTTCAACGGTTTGTACTTCGAGCAAATAAACACAAATTTCATTTGAAACTACAGCCAAGGAGACTGTCATCAACATATTATTTCGAATCTAAGATGGAGAATTTAATGTACGAAACTTTTATTGAAATAAAACAGACGCAAGTGAAACATGTCGAAACTGTCTTATACGAAAAAATAATTTCGATAAGCCAATTTGCTTCTAAAACAAAAATAAATACATAGTGGCAATCTGGGCTAATACGCTCAGAGTCGAAAGAACATCCGCGCAAGAACTTAAAACAATCGATTTTCCCATTACAAATCTCCGTTTGATCTAAACATTCTAATAGATGACCACGACGGCATTTCAAATGTGTATAACAAGTTAATCTATCTTTCCCGCTACCGTACGAACGATAGAATCCATGAATGACTTCGTATAATGACGAATAGTTCTCATGATAATAGTACAATTTATAGTGGCACATCACATAAAGGCAGGGATGTCCGATGAGTTACAACGTGAAACTTAAATGATTATTCGCTCAAACAATAGGATGAGATTTGTCTAGAGAGACCTACGTGTTCCATATTATATGCAAGTCGAAGGCAAGTGCACATCATGCTCATTCGGTCGTTATATAGCTTCACTTACTTCGTTGGCTGTAAAATACAGGTTGATTTGAGGCAATGCAATGATACAGCGAATAAAAACGAGACAGAAGAAATATTCTATGAGAAACATCTTCTCAAGGACTACAGTGGATGAAATACTTAGCATGTGTGCTGCCAGGAGAATATCTTGTATATGAGGCAAAAAACGAGCAGTTTGGTAATGACAGAATTCTTTGTTCCACTCGAATAAAAGCAAATTTTCACTTTTAATATCGAGAAAGTGAATTTTTTTACAGTTACATATTTGCATTTTCCGCCTTGAACGGTCGTACTTGAGCAAAAGCCGCCTATTCAAATATTTATGTGAAGTGACGTGAACGATTTTGGAATAAAAATGCACATTTTATCGATCCACTATTCTCGCTTGGAAGTATTAACTTTCTTTTTCTGTTCTAGTTATACAAAATAGATCTTATTGTTAAAATAGTTTTATTAGTTTATAATACAATACTGTCATCGATACATCTAAAATAATTATTTACAAGAATATCCGATAAAAATTCGAAATATTGGGTAAAGATCGTTATTATGAACGAAAATAAACCGATAAAAATGCGTTATACTCATATATACAAACGGATAAGAAATATATCACATGTAGTCAATATTTTCTCGAAGGAGAAAAGTGAATGGTATATGCAGACCGTCGAGGTGGATCGCGCCATAAATCATGCTGATAGCCATCGCCATTACCAGATTGTGACTCAGAATTAACCGAGTCTACAACAGAAGAGAATATATACATCAAAAACTTCGATATTTCTACGAGTTCTTGGTGAAATAGGCGCCTGTTCGGCATCCGTGAAAATGAAAATTTAGAGAATACATCCTATTCCGCAATGTTGCACATTTAGGAATCAGTTCCGCACACGGAATCAGTTCCCACGATTCCCGAATTAACCCGAAGCAATTCCGAAATCGATACACACAATTCCGCGGAATTCCTACCAATTCCGGAATCACACCCACCCCCTACACCCTCACAGATCATATCCCCTATACGCGACCGAATTCCGTTTACGGAATCCCGGAATTCAGTCATACACGGAATCGCTAGGAATTCCGTGGAATCCCGCGGAATTCCTACCAATTCCTACCGATTCCGGAATCGCACCGATTTCCGGAATTCATTGAATGTGTGTAAAGACGGAATTCCGGAATCGTAGGAATCGATTCCGTGTGCGGAACTGGTTCCCAAATGTTCAGCATTGAGGAATAGGATGACTGCTCAAAATTTACCGTTGTCGTACGAAGAATGCTCAACAGACTGTTGACGAATATCTTCTTGCTTATATTGAACAGTTTGCAAAGCTTGCGAGACCATGTCGCAGTAATGTTTGAAGAGATTTTCCAATCGTTTTTCAAGTTCTGCCGAAAAGATGGGTTGGATCTTTGCAACTCGATAAAAATTGGCCAATGTGAATTTCTCCGGTTTGCTCTCAATAAACTTTTGCAATAAATATCTATACTGAAATGTGACTTCGGAGCAATATTGATCCGCTATATAGGTGACTATTTCGGTTGACGTCAATGGAGAATACTTTTTTGTTAACGAATTGTTAATATATTCGCATATCTCATCTATCACACATTGTGCCTGTATCGATGAATCTACAACAGGATGAGAAATGCGATGCTTCAGACCATTGACATTTTCTATGGTGTAAAACGCGTCAAAGTTTTTTCCACTTTCTTTAAGAAAATGTTCAATGTCATTTAATGGTGCGTTCAGCAATTCATTCAAAAGATTTTCTTCCTTCTGCTCAGGAGAATACATTTGTTCTTCCAACGTTTTTTCGCAACCGTCGCTTAACAAATTGTCGTCTGTTAAAAAATGACTATAAATCAATTTGAGTTTGACCAAAAGTGCCAATATCGAATAATTCTTATCTTTCATAGTGTCTAGAACATCTTCCGAGAGATACTTTACTTTACTGTCTTCATTGTGGATTAAATGTGCTTTCAAATCAGTTAATGGCAGCAGATCCTTGTAGCAAGCTCCAATCATACCATCGTCTCCGTCAGATATCACAGTATTATTTTGTTGGATATGTCTTCTAATCTCGTTGTGCAATCGCTTATCCAGAATTCCAATATTTTCGAGATTTTTCAGTAGTTCCACAATGTTATCGATTTGGCTCTTTGAAGGAGTTGAATTATGTGAGTAACGGCGGCGGGTAGAGAAATGAGACGTCATACTCATTCGACGAATGGATGAACCGAATATACCAGGATTGAAAACCGAAGAAAAAATTACATATTTGGTGAAAGCCTGCATCTTTCATAGTAAATTCATAAATATAATTTTCCTGTCGCAGAACGTCATCGCCGAGAATAAATACGGTTCTGCCTCAGCAGTCGGTAGAAAGAATAACAACACTTGCATAGTAACTGCTTTAGTAATGATGTTGGAAAAAACCAACATCATTACTAGACGTAGTGGGAAAAGTACACTTGCGTTCTCGATTTTTATCTAACGAAGGGTGTAGTGGAACTTTTAACGCTATAAAAAACACTACTCGGCGAAATATGATCCCATCCGTGAATCGATTTCTTCGACAACCGCTGGTCACTTTAATGAGCCATCTTATCGATTCTTTCAAGATGAGTATTGATTACAACAACAATTCAGATTTCAAAGAGCGGATAAAACATTACACGGAGTCAGCTAACGATGTGGCTGGCAATATTTGGCAAAAAGAACAGGATTTTCTTGTATTAATGGAGGCATTCGGATCCATATTGTCTACAATCCAAAAGTCCTGTTCAGCAGGCTATGCTGAGACAAACATAAAATTATTTCAAGATGTTTTTCAACGTGCAGCTAGAAGTATCATAGACGATTATAAACAATTAGCGAAAGTGTTATTCCTAAGCGATTTATACTTCATAGCTGGAGACGAAATAAACGCACAACTATTGATTCAACAACGTGAGCCAACCTATAAATTCCTCAATGACAGAATATTCGAAGAATTAGGCTACAAAATAGTCAACGAACGGAACGAGTCTAATGAGAAAGGTCAAAATTTACCATGCTACCCGAAGGAACGAGATCACCAAAAAGCAGTTCAGACATTATACGATATTTATGATAAAGTCGCACAAAATTTCGACATGTCAATCTCTAATCTTTATGATTATATGAAGAAAAAAAGAAACAGGAATCAAGAAGTCCATATTGCTCAAAGATTGGTCGACTCCTATCGTAACAAATACAAATCACAAGATTATCAACTATTACATTTCTCGACTACTTTACTGCCGGTATTCACTAGTGAAGACATCAAGAACACAGAGAAGATCTTTAATCGATACATTCAATATTCAAAACTATCTCCGAAAGAGAAGTAAGCTGTACAGTATTGCGATATTTCATATTCGTAAATAAACTGTCTTGAAGAATGCGACCTACAGAGCATCTCTGGATACAACGACAAAACAAATCAGAAGAATGTAATCCATCGAAAGTGAACACACGTGTAGGCATTTTTACACAATAAATTTAGTATCATATCCTTCGGATATCTTCTTTAAGGAAGTAGGAGTGTTTATTCAGCGGCTTCAGGAGAACAAAAGTCTATGTAAAATTCGACTTTACGATAAAAAGCGTACCATAATCGAGTGTAACTTGAAACAGATTCATCGATTCGAGTGAGTTACACTTTTTTTGTTGAAGTGAAGGCAACGTGGACATAAACTTTCATTCTCAAACATTATTTTATCTTTTTAGTGTTTAAATGCTCCAAGACAACAATATTCAATATCGTCTTATCAGTGTTTTATGTAACCACTTCAATTATGGTAATATTTGAGGAGAAAAACTCAATGATTCAGCACGTTTCATAGTCGTAAACATTTTATCTAGGTATTGTATTGTTTCGCTTGTACTATTCGCGATAATTTTTGATAACAGTAACATGTTGTAACGTCAACTGTCTTGTTTTTACCGTAATCGATATTTAGTACGAATTGATAGTGAATCTAGTGGTTTTTCTTTCTTCTGTTTCGAAATTTTTATCAAAAATAGACGATAAACCCATGTTTGACATGCGTCTTATTTCTTCTGCAGACAATGTCAACTGTACTTAATTTATAGTTATATATATGTAATTAAAAATCTTCTTATCTTCCTTTGGTCAACAAATAATAGTGAAACGAGAGAAGTTTCAAATACGGCGCACACTTTGCTCATAAAACAAAATATTTCGGTAATAATATATATCAACTATTGGTGTTTTTTCGTGTCTCTCTTATTCATCGACTTGCTCACTGAGTGAAGTTCTCGGGGAAAAATCCCAGTCGTGTCTGCGCGACAAAAGTTATAAAGAAAGAAAATAAAATATTTTTATGAAATCAGTTGGTGTTCAGCAAACACTTTCTGTTAAGAAAATGTTACGGAGCTGTGATTCATTTGCAATTTCTTCGCCTGTCACTTCCTCACTAATACTGCTAGACCACAAATGCTTCATATTACATTGTCTGTCGAGATAAAGAGATTGGTTTGTCTTTGGCAAACGGTGTTAGACGCTTGAAAATAAAAGCCATACAAAGTATGACTAATACGTGCGTAGCTGATCAGATTTTTCGCCAGTCTGAGTACGATGACGCACAAGCAAACAGAAGAGAAAGAATAGTTGTTTTTCTGACGAAGCGATACTCAAAACTCTATTCAGTATAAAATGCAGCAAGCATCAACCACAATTTTACTCGAGCAGCAAGAAGAACAAAAAAGAACAAGCCGCATTCCAGTTGCCGCTACGCTTGACGACATCAACTTCAATTTGAAAATCTACCATGTTTAGAAATAAACATCAACGAGGAGGCGAGGCTGCAGCTTCCAACCAGAGCGGAGTTAACTCATCATCATCGACGTCCACAGCAACACGACCACCACCACCAGTTCCATCACAAACTCGTATTCCCGAAGATCTATTTGCAACCTTCGATTCACCCATAGAAGATCCATTTTCATCATCACCAGCAACAACAAGTACAAATCCTTCACCTCCTAATCCACCAAGATCCTATCCAGCACCAGCTAGTTCCGATTCGACATTGTCATCATTCGCATTGCAAGCTCCGTATGAACGTGCAACAGACTCTGCTAATACTGCGGGGGATCAAATCGTCGATGACAAGAAAGAAGCCGTGTTTATCATTGGAAACTATGCCGTTGAACCTTTAGAAATGTTGCATCTCGGTATGTACTGACTATAAATTGGCGGCGTGCATTTTTAATCGACGACATCTTTTGCCCTTGTAGTTGATCGTTGGATTCAACAACTTCTCAGTGAATTTCACCAACAACGTGACATATTCAAGCATCGTCTGAGTGACAAATGGCAAAATGAAGAACTATCAAATATTCAGTATGACAATAACGATCGAATACGCAAAATATATCTTGCGTTCAAACAGTTACAAACAGCACGTGACACAATCTTATCCCGCGAAGCGTTTGACGATTTGAATAATTTTTTGCGCAACGCTGAAGAATTGTCCATGGAAGAGATGAAGGAGAAATTCAATTCACTTGCCAACGAGTATGGAAAAATCTTACGTTGTTTAGATTTTATCGATCGAGAAGTCCGAGCTGGTCCTACGCGAAGTGACAACTATCTCAGTGAAATCGATAGAAATCTTTCGAAATTAAAAAAATTAAACAGTAAAATGTCCAGTACAATTTGTATTATCGGTCTCGAAAAAGCCGGCAAGTCGACATTTATCAATGCATTACTCGGCTATGAGCTTTTACCAGCAGCCAGCGAACGTTGTACACAAGTACGTACTGTTCTTAAACCACTGGTTGAAGATGGTGAAAAACGATTGTATGCCAAAGTTCAGTTCTACGACGAGCAAGAATTTCGTACGTTTCACGAGCAAATGCCCAAGAAAACCGATGAAAATGAAGAACAATTACAGGCTCGTAAACGACAAGTGGCTGAAGCACGAGAAAGTCTACGAGAGAAATTTCCGGAAGAACAATTCTTTATTCAAAATTCAGCCAGTTATGAACGGGAACGTATGGCTATTCACCAAGAGCTGCACAGATATATAACCGGTGAGTTATATGTGAACATCATCAAAGAAATTGCCATTTACACCGATCGACTTCCTGGCAAGAATTACGAGCTGCTCGATGTTCCGGGCTTCGATTCTCCGATCAAAGAACACCGTGATGCTGGCTTAGAAGCAATAAAAAATGCCGACGCATTTCTGTTCTTAACAAACGGTCAGCAGCCAAGTCTTACGCAACCACAAATTCAGCTGTTGAATGAAATTCGTCAGAATCATTTCGAAGCGATGGAACGTGCTTTTGGTATCATAACTAAATTAGATCTTTGTCAAACGTCAGACACTTTCAAAGAACATTATCAAAATTCTCATCGCGAATTGATTGAAAAAGGTTTTAAGCCTGAACATATCTTCTGTACCTGCTCACGTTTACAATTATTGGATCCGAACTGTGAAGAGTATGGAGTGATCGAATATAAGATGAAGAATTTTGGTGAAGGTCTCGACGACGGTTTCAAGCGAAGCAAAGATGCATTGAATCGATTTATTGAATTCGAATTGCCGAAGACACATTTAAAGCAATTGATCGACCTGGGACGAATGCATTTAACTCGTCCCGTGGCCGAACGTTTGGAGAAGATTAAAGAGAAACAGCTTTTACCAGTTAATCTCGCCGATATGTCAATCGATGATTACATAAAACAACAAAAAACCGAAAGTTGGGACGGAGTCTACGAGAAAAGCATCTTCAATCCTGCATTTGCTCAAGCTAATTCTTGGCACACAAAGGTGGTCACCAAAGAACGTTCAAAGTTTGCTAAAACAGTTAAACAAAAGTTTCACGATTCATTTATCGATCGTACACAGAGTTTCCTCCAAACCACTCATCCAATCGAAGACATCATGTGCGAGCAATTCGAATATTCGAAATTGCAACTGAATGTTCACCCAACTGACAATGCTGAACGCGGCAAATTAAGTGTAGAATTAGAGAAGATTGTCGACGACACAGCGAATTACCTTGCCGACTATTTCTATCGAGAGTACATTTGCGGATTCGAAGTCATCATCAACAATGTATGCCCGTTTTTGAAAGATCTCTTTAGAACCCAATTAACGTTAGACAAGTGTTTGAACGAAACTCACGCGTTGATTCTGCGTGTCGCCCGTCCAATGATCATGGCCGCACTTCGTTATTCGCATTTGGATTTACCTGTGAAACGTAATGCAATTCAGGATTTGATTTACATTTCACCAACAGCGGCAGCCAATATCGTTCGTCACAAGAAGGATAGCAAATCGTCACTTGCGGTGGAGATTGAAAGACAAGTTAAAGATTTAAATAGTCGACCTGACTTATCAACACCGGTCATTCAAAAACTTTTCGATTGAAAAATGAACTCTGACTTCAGTTATTTTTTCTCTATACAAAAATAAAAGAAATACTCAAGAAAAATTGTCCGTAGTTCTGCTGAAGTAGAAACATAAACGATGATATCGAGCGCTGAATTCGAATAGCCAAGCCAGGTTAAGATGTTGTATAAGACTTCATGATGACGATCGTTTTTCAGGCGCACATTAAACGCACCGCTTAAGACAAGATAGAAGAAGTAAGGAAACCAACAGAAAAGAAAGGTGCCCATGACAAGACCAATGAAACTAGTGGCTTTTTGAGTGTTCGACAAAGTTCGCCAAAATTTTCCTTGACGTTTTCGTCTTTTAGTAGGAATCTTCTCAGTTTGCACGTCGACTTTAGGTTTTTGATAAGTACCACGATGAATACGAAGGATAATTTGATCGTCTACTTGTGAGAGATCTAATTTCGTATTTTCTTCACTTGACGATTCTCTCTGATGGAAACTATTTGCTACTGATTTCGAAATTCGAATTCGATGATGCTGATGTTTATAGCCCGAGTACAGTGCGAGTGTCTGGTTTCTTGCAGCTAGATAGATTTTAATGTAGACATAGATCATTAAGAATAAGGGTATATAAAACGATGCCATGGCTGAGAATAGAATATAATATGCATTGTTTGGCATGTCGCATTGTTCGAGTAAGGAGACTGGAGTGTCGACTAGTACAGGCTGTTTGGTTCCCCAGTAGAGAATTGCTGGAAATGAGATGAGTGCTGAACAGACCCACGTGAAGGATAACATGAGATGCCATCGTTTCGATATGAACGAAGTTGGATATTGAATAGGCTTTTTAATAACGACGTAGCGATCGATTCCAATTGTGCATAATCCGAGGATGGATGCAGTCGATGCAAAAATATCAATTGCGTGCCAGAGATCACAGAGAAATCTGAGATAGGGTGAAAACAACCAATATTCGTCGTCAGCCAAGATGAAAATCGAAGAAAAGGGCATAACGATTAGGCCAACAATAAGATCCGCAAATGCCAACGACATAATATAATAGTATTTCGATGTATGTAATGTTCGTTTACGAATAATAACATAGATAATAAATAAATTACCAAGCACGGTGAATGAACATAAGATGAACATGCAGAAACCCACGAAATATGCGATCCAGTGCGTATAAAGAATCATTTTAACTGGGAGAAAAGTACGTTATACTAGATACAGAAAAGAAGAAAAATATATATGTGTTGAGAGAAGGATAAACGCTGCGAACGAAAAAAAAGTACATAATATAATACGAGAGTTAATAAGCAACATAGTACTATGACCAGAACAATCGACCTCATGTGGAAAGTATACGAAGTAGTATATCGATATACACACAGAAGGAAAACGTTCTGTCGTTTTGACATGTGTATGTTACAAACAATCGGTTAGAATAAGAAGAAAAGAGAGAATTTGTATGGTCGAGCTAGAAACGTTAATGGAAACTGTTCTATGAATAGACGAGTTATACATGGAAAATTAGCTATAACCAACTATGTTGTTGTCGTTCGGGAATAGTCTTTGTTAGAATGTTAATCACTGTGTTCAGTTTACTTTCCAATCGAATCAATTTTTCCTCGATGAGACCAATTTGTTGTTTGATTTTGTTGAGCGACTTCTCATTGTTTTTCTGTTCTTCAGTGACATCAGCAAGTGTTGTCATCAATGATTCATTGCTATTGACTGCGTTTCTTTGTTCTTGCTTAATTTGTCGCGCCTGCCGCATAGCTGTATGTAATCTATAGAGAGAATTAAAAAGTGCACGATAGTGATGACCATGACGTTTGAGGAACCAAGCTCGAACGGAATATTGAATGATTTCCATTGTTTTCTTTCGATATTCTCGCGCTCGATTAATCCGAGTGACGAAATCGAGTACGACTTGTTCCGATCGGTCCAAAGATATCTTGCTCGTGAATACAGCGATGAGAACAGCTGACGCGAATACACCGAAGAAAGCAATGACAATAGATACACCTTGTCCGCAATAAGTTTGAGGAACTAAATCACCGTATCCTGAAAGACAAATATCGAAATATATTTTCGTAATTCCATTCAAGAGAACTGACCAACGGTAGTAAATGTGACAATGGTAAACCACATCGCATTGCTGAACGTTGCTAGAGACGATGGTGTGTCTATCGATGGCGATTTTAACGGCAGCCACATACCTTTTTCGCAGGTACGTAATGACCAAGTCGAAATAAATAACATCAATATCATGACAGCCGACCAAATACCAGCTGGATAGATTTGCAGGAATGCTCGTAGAATAAATGAGATTGTCACTGGAACTCGATTGAGATAACCAATAGTACGAGATGAAGCAGCATTGACCAGTCGGGAATGTAATGTTACACTGCGCGCAATTAAATAGAGGCGTGCAAACACTATTAATGAAGAGAAGTAGTTTCAATTGGACAAAAAGATTAAGAGATTACTTACTGGGAAATGTGAGAAAGATTTTGAGCCAAGCTGATTCTGTCGACAAGGTTTTGTCATCGAAAGCAAACGGATGAATGGAGCAGACAAGAACTTCACATAAGACAAGAAGAAGAGCACGGAAATCAATGGTAACACGCCAATCTGCGATATGATTGTTAATTGTATACAGTTGAATATTAAGTGCATGGTAGTACAAAATCAGTCCGACCAATAATAACGTGGAAATACTGATCGAAGGGCGAAGAAAGATCAAAAGATTCGACTCGATATCATTCAGTCGTAGTTCGGTATCGATAATCATCGATAGAAGACCGAAGAGAGCAATAATGCACATTATGTCGTTGACCTGACAACATCGAAAATGAAGCTTTTTCCGTTCGATCAGTTGATACTTGATTTTAGATACTGTTTCTATTGGAACGGTTGTTTCATCGCCAAAGAACATTGTTGAAATGAGCCGTTCGTACGACACGAACAAAAAGAAATAGAACTTCTCCACTTGACAATCCGAGTACAAGTGTTATAAGTTTCTCGGCTTTGTGACATGCAACGGAGAGAGTAATAGCATCGTTCTACTTGACATGCAACGGAGAAGCGATTAGGTTTTATTCGCACTTCATTAATTATAACAAATCTTGGCAAGAGAACTTTTTCAAAAGACTTCGACAGTCAATTGAAATATGAGAGTTCTGCCGTTGGAGATAGTCGAATGTCTTACAAGAAAAGGAATGAAAACATTTTCTTTATTTTCATAATTATGTACTTCTCTCAGTGCGACATCTAAAGAGTATTCAACTGTGAAAATAAATGATTGGAAAAAACGCGTAACAATCAATTCGAAGTTTGTATTTGTTTTTACGATGTATGAAAGAAAATCAATTAAAATTTTAAAGACATTGCTGAAGTTCGACTGTTAATTTGTGGGCTGTTGAATAGGAAACTTTTGCACTCGATGATGACCGTGTTCGGCAATATAAAGATTACCGTGCGGATCGAATGCTAATCCATAGGGAAAACTAATTGAATACGGTCGGCTCGTACTGTCGACAATGATAGTACCCTGCATGGCTCCTTTTGGCCATTTCATTATTCGATGATTTCCTGCATCGCTCACGTAGACAGTGCCCAACTGATCGACGACGATTCCTTCAGGATAGCGTAGTTGCGCGAGATCATTCCCTGCTGATCCATTACCGGCTACAACGGTACCTTGCCTTGCACCTTTTTCCCATTTCATTACACGATGATTGGCGGTATCAGATACGTAGAGTGAATGATTCCGATCAATGAACACGCAAGTGGGAGTGTTAAGTTGACTGGTGTTGTTTCCTTGTTCATGACCGCCTGCTACTATGTTTCCTTGAATATCACCAATTCGATATCGTCGCACTTCATGTGCTAGACCATTGCTGATATATAAAGTTCCCTCATCGTCCATTGTTCCCCCACGGCCATCGATATTGGTGGCAAGTAACTGTTCACTAGTTCCCTTTTGACGAAACCATCGAACGGCTCTTGCCAAATACCCATCAAAAGTGATGACACTGCTTGTTTCTTCGTCGAAAATGACGTCGTACGGATACTGCAGCTGATGAGTTTTATTTCCACCAACTACGATTTCACCACGATCCGCACCCTTGGTCCACACAGCAATACGATGATTGTTACGATCAGCGACATAGATCGTCTCATCACTGTCGACATATACACCGACGGGAGAATCGAGCTGTTTGACGTCACTGCCGGCACCATGTCCTCCAGCAACAATCAATCCGCTTTGACTCCATGTAGCATTTGGATGAATGTCAACCCAGCTTGAACGTAACGACGGTACTGAAATGAGTTCATGTCAACAGTAGTATCATGTAAATTACGGTAATTACCTTCGTTCTTTATACTTTTCACTCGATATCTCAGCAACTGAAGTGTGTCAGCAGACCGTTTCTCTAGAATTTCCAACTGTTCCAACTTACTATCGTACTGACTGATACTACTGCGATTCGTAACGGAATAGAATAATAACACTGCGTAGCATAGAAATGAGATGGGAATAATCCAGAACATTCTCTTCCCACTTCTTTCTTTTAAGTTCGGCTCCGATTTCACCTTCGCTCTTGTTTGAAATTCGGACATTTCCGTCTTGTACACAATCATTGATATTTCTTCGATATTTGTAAGATTATGATGATGTATACTATCCACATCAACAGTAGTATAATCGCATTCGGAGTCCACCGCACCTAAATAAGATTATCAATAAATACTGATCTTAGTTTTCGAACGTTTCGAAGAACTTACACTCAGACTTCTTGTTGCCAACATCTGGAATGGCCTCATATAGCAAATCTGGAAGCGTCATTAATAAATCGTTCTCGGATTGATTTACACAACCATTGAGTCGCATCTTTTTTGCGTGTTCTCAGTTGACAAAAAGTACAGTAACACATTAGTTTAAAAAAGTTCAACAACTCAAGTTACCTTTCAATAGATTCACTGCATCATAACATTTTATTTCTTCGAATGCTTGGATTAAAAACGACACATTGCTTCCACTAATTTTGTTCTGTTCGAAAAGTGTATCCATTAGACGAAGATTACCACTAAGCGAAAAATCGTCTCGAACTCGTCTTGGTACGGTCGAACCAAGATAGAAGTGGAAACATTCTCGATCTCTATCGCTAAGGCGATCTTGCAGTTTCAATATAAGGCTACGCACTGCCGAATCATCCATCGATCGTAATGTTTTTAACAATAAAAACAAAGATTCCTCTCGAACAGTTTAAATAACGTTTTCTTTGTACCTTATCTTCGATAGATAACTAAGGTCATTATTATCTCTCATTCTGATCAGAAGAATGTGCAGATATCATTTTACTAATTTGACTTTCACATTAGTCATTCCTTTTTATTTGTTTTGTTACGGAAAAAATTCGCGGATAAATCTCCGTTTAGTATGAAACTATCAGTCAAAGAATTCTTCGGGTAATGTCAGCAATTGTTTCAAATCTTGTTCGCATTTCTTGGTAATTTGAAATTGCGTGGCATGAAATTCGATCGTTTCACGTATTGGAACTTTCCCATTGACCTTTTCCGTGCCGATGTATGTGACTTGATAAAATGCCGATTGCACGTTGCTCAACGTATCGAATCGAAAAAGAGAAGATTTCTGTTGCTCCAAAGGACCAAATTCATAACGAACCATTCGTTTGAACAAGATAATTTGCACTGAAGGACGCAGCAAATCCATTGCAATCGTAAGGCGTGGACTAGTTCCACTAAGAAGATCCGTTTCTTTCGAGTTTTTAAATATTGAATTTACATATTGAGGGAATAGTTCATGTTTAGAATCGATTTCCATCTCTGTTTCATAGATCTTATACAATCCATCATGACGTTCTTCGCCACCTCGGACAACACGAGCCCATTCTGTTGAAACGAACATAAATTTTATTAATTTCTTCTTGTCATCAAAGATCAACGAAGTTTTATTTGGTGCGATGTCATAACAAGAGCAAACAAGCACGTACTTTGCTACTGACTTTTTCGTTGGCTCCTACAAAGGAAATAGCAGCTGGTTCGATACAATGATCGATGTACACGACTTACTCGTTCTTTCGTAATCGTTTTCACGTCATTTTCTTCGAAAACATATTCAACATGATTGTCGACGATGAGTTGGTTCAGTTCTTTGATATTTTTTGCTTTTATATCAGTCATTGTTGGAGAAGGCTTGAGAAAAAGTTGGCCCGATGAAATAGTAAGCATTAGTTGAGCATTTTCAGGCAGTGAAGACTTTTTACCGAATTCAGATAGCGATGAAACTAATTTGTCGGTAGCATTATTTTCAGAAGAACTGTTTCCATCGAGATCAACAGTGAAGTAGCCATTGGACGATATATTCCATTTGACGCGACCGGCTGTTGTTTTCATACGATTGAAGATAATATTCCAATTAGCGTTGTTGTCAGAGAAGGATGACATTGTCGATGAAGCTAATGAAGTAGCAGCTGGTGCAGCAGTGTTAATCAATTTTATTTGAGGGTTTGGCTCTTTTGCTGTTGCATTCGAGTTCTTTTCTTCTGTCACTTTTGATCTTGAGTCAACCGATGCAGATCTCGAAGCCGGTCTTCGGTGCTTACTGCCGCTGCGTTTTTCTGGTTTAGGTTTAGTAGAAGGTTCATGATCCAAAGACATCGCTGAGGTTTGCGAATCCGCTGATGGTCGTCGCTCGTCCATTGGCACGTTTTTCGGTCTTGATTTTCTAGATAGTTTGCCAACTAGATTTGGCAATGCTTCTATAGATTGAGAATTGGCCGATGGCTTTGCCGTGATTCTTGGTTTACGTGACGCATCTCTGGCAGTGTCGGAGTCTGAAGTAAGTTCCGTAGTTGTGCATGGCTTTTCTACAGTAGATTTTGCTTGAATACCTTGCGAAGTAAGCCATTGTTCGAATTCTGTGTCTTGCGAATTGGTGTTTGTTTTCTGCTGTTTCGAAGGTGCTCTGCGTGCGGTCGATGACGATCGTGGCGCGTGTGATGGACGGTGTCTTGAAAAGAAATGCTGTTTCGCTCTTTCGTATAGCTTATTGGGCGTACTATCTGATGGACGCACTTTTTTATCGAATTTTTTCATAAATAATGGATATTCGTTCGGAAGTGCAGCTTCTATTTCGTAAACTCGATCTAGATTAATCTGTTCGCCGGTTTTCGGTGCATCAACAGCGCGCGCAAATAGTTCAGCCAAATATTTACAGTCATCGGATCTTGTATGCTTTTCATGATAGTCAGCACACGCTAGATGCACATCACAGATAATTCCTTGAGATGCCGCGCCAAACGAGTCAACAATATGATCAACGACTATTTGTCGGGTGATATTTGGTACAATCGCTTTCGTTGCTGCTTCATACGACAATGGCTCATCCATATTTCTAATTTTGAATAATTTACCCCAATAAACCTGCAATAGACAATTCATCGATGAAACTAATCGACTTCGAAGGTCAGAGTCTCACCCAGTATTGATCACCGTCCAAATCTGATCCTGACATTTCACTTGGATGTGGTCGCGAACCTACTTGCGGAAAAACAATACAATCGCGTATGCATTTTCTCAATTCAGGAAGATCAACAGCGGTCAGTCGTCGAAAATCACCCGGATATAAACAAGGCATTTTAGCAACTAAAACATCGCCTAGAAAAACAAGAAAAGCAATTAGATTTTCGTCGTACAATCGACTTACCCGTTACAACCACGTAAGTACTCTCATCAGAAGAATCAAAATCTTTGTACTGAATAAAAACCTGCCCATACTTTAGCGTTTTCGTTTCATCAACAACCCCGAACATATATCGTGCTTCATTCAATGGCAAAGGTATATTGTTCTTCAACAAATCATCGGTTGTATTGGAATACCGGACTTTTCTCAATTCTTCGTGTTCATTTAATTGGCCAGAATTGGTTAACGCTTGATTTTGATACGATTCGAACTTATCATATCGATTACCCAAATCCGACAGTAACATAATCACTTGATTATTCAATTTCAACGGTACTAAATGAGACCGAAAACAGATATACGAAACAGAAACAATGGAAGCAAACATACATGGTTTGCTATATTCACATATTTCCAAATTCCAATCGGGTGAATCAAATTTTTCCATAGATGGACGTACTTTAATAAAATACTGATCGAATCTGGACCCCGGCTCGATGGCTAACATGCCTTTGCAACCAGCAATTCGAACTTGATAAGCTGACGGAACATCCTCTCTTCTTCGCAATTGAATATTTAATTTTACTGCAATTAATCCGGCAACACCCCAAGACATTGTGCCAATACCATCAGTGAAACAGTATTTGTTGTCGTTGGTTTTCACGTCTGGAATTCTTGTTGCGACCAACTTTTGATCTGGAGAGAATCTTCTTTCGTCAACGAATTTAAACTCAATCTAAACGGAATGTAATCAAGATTTTCACATGAATCGTTACTACACGATTTACTCCTGTTCGCCGTGAACTGGAAAAGTAAAGCCCAATTCGTGCAATGTAATTTGCGACGTTTTTGATTGCCGAAAAATCTCCTAATTCTCGCCATCCCTCTTCGATCGTTTTCGTTTCATTGGCAAGAAACCAAAAGGACATTTCCTTCAGTTGGCTTGTCGATGTACCAAACAGACGATAGCTCTTGTCAACAACTTGGATACCGTTCAACATCTTGTCTTTCAATCGACTTTTCATGGCTCGACCGAAGCTTCTTAATTTGCTACCATCTTCGTCACGAATGTGGACTAATACAAACATATCGGGACCGCCTAGTGATGTCATACGTATTGCGCGATTACCCATGGTCGCTTCCATTCGCTCGTAGAGAATTCGCAATGGTGTGATGAGTATGCAACCAACAGAATAAGGTAATAATTCCACTGGAGAATTCTTTTTTTCTGGACACTTTCCTTTCCAATAAGCAGTAAAATCGTCAAAAACTCTTCCTATATGATAACAATGATTTTCGTTGAGTTTATCTTTCAGATAGTAACACAAGTTGTTGAATAATTCATGATTGAATTGGGAAAATTGGTGATGGAGTTTTTGAGAATATTTGTCACTAAACACGTAACCCATAGAGAAAAGCATGTTCAACGCGTAATGATGTTTATATGGCGCAGATGATGGTAAGTGGAGCGGGTTACCCGATTTATTAAACTTCTTACATTCGAGCGTCACGAAATTGATGGTAAATTTGTCATGATATTCATCGGTTTCTGCGGTTAATTCCTCAAGAAATGCGTACGTATGCGCAGGATCATTGAACGATAACAAAATATCCGAACTTTTTCCTAGAATTTTTGTGAAACCATCACTATCGGACGCGCACACTCTAAAACGTATGAAATTGTCAAGCTATTTGTGATGAAAATGATTCCTTATCTACCTTTCAGTGATATCTTTTCCGTTACTCGTAAATTGCCTTTTCATTGTCACTGCATGTTTTAACATCAAAACAACGCAAGGACGGCCTTTGAGATTGACAAGTATAGACTTATGTATCCCTCTCACTGGAATGAACATTTGCCTGGATTTATCCTTCGACATGATCCGTATGGTTTCCGGTTCATGTTGCCATTTCAAAATGCGAATTTCTTGTATAGAAGGATGATCTTCGCTGTGAATAGTGAATGTACTCCATGAATACATCGAACCAAAATGGCAATAGACGGAATAATCGTTGGTTTTCACTTGATTATCGTTATTCATTGAATGACGATTGTGAATATAATGAAATGGATCAGTTTGCATGGAAAACCAGATGTGTCGATGCGAGTCCGTTGTTATCGTGACTAATTCATCACGAATTTTATTTGCTTCTTCCCGTTTACATGTAAAATCATACGGCAATGGAGATTGAGAAGCCATTTCTCGTGGTTTGAAGTGAGTTATACCCAGAATCTTCTGAATATTACCTCCGACAAGATGTGCAGTGTCACTAGTGAAAACATTTTGAAATGAACAATGAACGGTGGAATCCCAATCGTCATAATGGTTCACACTAAAAGAAATCGAACGCGTGTTTTTATTCAATTGTATAGAATTTTACCATTTTTCATGCTTTGGTGGCATGTGTTCTTGTGTCGTTGCGTAGAAAAGAAAGCTGGCGTCAAGCTTCACTATTGGCGAATGATTGATAAGAAGGAACGGAGAAACGCTATCGTGTTATGAAAACGACGTCATTTTTGCCCTGTTGCACAATGCACATGCATTGGGGTAATAAAAATTTCTTTTCAGAGCGTAGTGAAACTGGGTTTTTTCCTTCTAATATTCTTTTTCTTTTTGCATTCGATGATTTCAAGTGTATGATGCAAAACTAGAGATGTTGAATCATGGATATTTTTTTCAAAAAAGAGTCGTACTGTAGAAACAAGGTACATATACAATGAAAACTTTCGTTTGTAATCAACTCAAGGCAGTGTGACTACAATTCAAGTATCTTAAAATACATAGCAATAGTATCGAAGAAGGAGAAAAGAAGCAACATTAAATTTATGGTGAGACTCTAGGTTTAAAGTCATCTTCTGGTCTCATACCCTCACCACGCAAAAGAAACAGAAGTCAAGTGATATTATTTATTTTCGAAGTGATGAAAAGAATAACAATACAGTATAAGAGGATCGTGGGTACCAATGATGCAGATCTTTGTTTTGAAATATGAATGTTCAGACCCAAATAGGTCCTGAGGGTGGTGGTGGTGGAGGAGGATAGTACAAACATCGATAGAATTCACGTTTTTCAACATTTTGCTTCTCATTTTCAGCATTGCGAACCATTCGTTTCACCATTTCACGACGACTTTCCTGTCCAACAGCACCGCCAAATGCCAAGATAGAAACTAAGAGTATCAATATCAAATATTTCATCGTTGTATAAAAGATCAAACTTGTATAGATTGAGTACGAAATGATTCGTGATATTTATATATACAGTGGATATTTTGAATTCAATCGTGCAGAAAATCACTCTCAAAGTGTGTTGATTAGCTTGCACTTGAATATACTAAATTTATTCAGGAATTACGTACTTTATGATTACTTCCTTTAATATTGGTTGAAATCATTTTTGAGAAACTATGAAGATATTAATTAACTTCCTTTTGATATACGAAATTTTATCGAAATCCTATGATGAAGTTAGACTCCCCTTCGATCATGTTCAATATATTGTGGACAATTTACAAGTTAAGTATCAAATGAACTATGACGATGCAAAAAATAGTATCTCACAATTACAACATTTCTTCACTGGAATAAAATACCAAATTATCGATAACATCATTCACCACCCACAAGGTACAATTCGAAATGCATGGGAAATATATATCATNAATGAAAGAGAACGCGATCGATCGACAAATACAGTGACAAGGAGAGAGGCAATCGATGGTGACCATGTTATACAAACACTTGCAAATGGCGACGCTCTTTCCTTCTTTCTCGTTCATTTAAAATTTTGAAAAGAAAATATGCAACGAGATCCTCGTTATCATTGGTTAGAACATCGTATCGTTACGACAATTGAACCAAAACGCGATGCGCTCAATCAATTAATTCAAAACGATGAAAATCGGTTCGTTTGTTTTAGTCTCGAATTCATGTCGTCGGAATATTTCATTGAATATTTAGTCTATGCATTGAACAATTCTTTGAAAATGAAGATGTAACGCATTTATATATTTTATCTCGATCGTCCTCGCATCTTCTAGCACTGAATACCATTCCGATTGATTTCAATTCTTATGAACGAATCGTTCTCTTTCTCAAAACAAATTCGACGAGTAAACTAACAAGAGAAAATCTCGGTACGTTCTTGTTTTGCCCTTTAAACAAAAGCAAATTTTTGTTTAATAGACAAAGATGTATCTGTTACCGAGTTGTATCCTCAAGAAACCGTTCATTATATGGATATTATCAGTCGAGATGTTTATCTTCCATTGTTGTCGTGTAACAATCTCGTATCGGAACTGGAAAAGGATCGTTTTCTAGATTTATTCCATCGACTATTGAATCAAACAGCAGCAACGCATACATTTCAGTCGGAATCAGTGGTTCTTCCCTTACCAGCATTTAACATTCTCGCACATATCTCCCAACAAGAACCGGAACGACAACAATCGATTTTGTCGATTCTAGAAAACACATTGACCAATTGGAGTAAACAAATCAAAGTAACACCTATAACCAAAGAACCAAGAAATACTTGAAATTCGTTCATTCTAGCAATTACTTCAAGAAGAATTGAAACCGTCTTTCTACGGTCGTGAGCAAAACTCCATCAAAGATCAAGTTCAGCTTTGGACGTCACGAATCAATAAACTAAACAATCTTCTTGTCCAACTGGATTCTCCATTCGTTCAAGATGTTCTGAAAAACTTAGCAAGAAATCGTTCACCATATCTCGCATCATTTATGGATATCAAACAAGAAATTGCTCGAGTAAGTTTCCGTAAAACTTCCTAAGGAAATCATTCGTCTCTTCATTCCAAGGCTGTGACACATGCTGAGAGAAACTTGTCGTTTGTAAGCACCTTACAACCATGGGCATATCAAATCAATAATTCAAATGATGTCAATGAAATTTTTGCATTGCTTCCATCGTTGATGCATACGCTCTTTCTCGTTTGGCAACATTCACAGTAAGATTTGTGAGAAGCGGATATAATTGGTGACATGGATTCATTGTAGTTATTATCATCAAAAAGATAAATTCAATCAATTGCTGGAAGTTCTTTCGACGGAAATTGCGACACGAGCAAAACAGATCATCACCACGGATATTTCATCTGAAGAGAATAATGTAAATATCATTCGCTTCTTGTTTTCATTTAATTTTATATATATATTTAGAATTCGATGACCTTGAAAGACGCATTATCGATTTGCGCAATGTTTCGTGGAACTTATTTAGATTATAAAGAAAAAGCTGATGCATTGAATTCAAAATACATGATACCAGAGAAAAAGTTTGTTTGAAATCAAAAGGCTACTTGTCGAAAATATGCTCTTGTTCTCTCAGAATCGATCCATCGAAAATGCTCATTTGGCATGTAAATCCATACGGAGAAACAGATCCACATAAAGATATAACATCCAACAGCGATCCATACGCCGTCTTAAGAAAGTCAAGTCCGTGGCCACCAAGAAATGCCAAATGCTTTCAATCGCTAAACGCAATTATCGAAAGGTTAGCTGCAACTATGTGAGAATATGTATTTCTATCTATTGATTGTTATTAAGATGCAATGATGTTCAAGAGCTGACATCGACCATTGCTCAATTTAATGAACTATCGACAACAGCTCGTATGGGTGGAACATTAACGAGTACAATGGATGCGATGTTAGCTGAAATTCAAACGAAATCAGCGAAATCTTTGGAGCTATTCCATAGAGAATGCCCGAATCTTTCGCATTTAATGGACAACGATCGTTTCGATCTGGCATTTTTTCGTCTACGAACGGAATTGAAACAATACGAACATGAACTAGCTTGGATATTGCGACAATGCTTCTCTCGTACAACAACCTTAGCTAGTAAATTGACGTTATTAGATGTTTTCCATGGCATCTATCAACGTGATGTCATCCAACGTGCACTCGCTAATGAAGAACAATGGATCATCGATAATCTTAAACATGAATTTCAATTAGTTACGCAATTAGTTCATTCATCGCATATGAATTATCCACACTGGCCACCCATAGCGAGACAATTATTGTATCTATATGGATTAAAACAAAGAATTGATCTTTATATGAACCAGTTCAGTGAACTTTGTCCGAAAATAATGAACAGCGACGTTGGTTGGGAGTTAAAAGAAGGATATCGAATTGCGAAAGAGAAAATACAAAAGTTTGTCGTTAGCGAGACCTTTGATGCAAAACAATGACTCATTTCTGTTTAGAAGCGAAGATGAACTTTATACTCAATTGGAACAATCAGCGACAAGTCAAATTTCAGATCTTTTGCTACAACCGGTTTTCGTAAGCATAAACTTATTTATAATAAAACAAAAATGTTATACGATTATCTTGTTTTATCAGAAAACGTCACTATTAGCTGATGAAGTCACGAATCTTCCGATCATCGAAGTTAATTTGGATAATGCACTGGATTGTTTATTACGAGAAATTCGTTATATTACAGGCGAACCGTTGAATTATAAAATTCCGGGCAAATATCGTGAATTAATACCCTTATTAGACAATGAACGAGCACTTCGGTATTGAATTCTATTTGAGATTTGTTCCGTTCGTCATTTTCTTGGTTTTAGATTACATGTTGAACGTCTTCGAGTGGTTGCTACGAAATATAACTATTTAATTGGACATATGGAAGCAGAAGAACGTGATTTATTCGAATCGAAACTCAGTCGTATTGATGAAGTAAGAGAATTTAAACATTCAAATGAAATATGGAATGAACTTGTTGTTTTTCCTTAGATTATTCATCGAGGTTTAACAGAAGTCACATGGAAAAGCTTGAATTTAGCGGATTATATCGAACAAGCGTACGGATTGATCAATATGGATGCCAGTATCGCCCTTGAAACCGTTCAGCACGATGTCTCCTTAATCAAAGAACTAGCTTTCAACTGGTCTCATATTCATGGCGATATATTCGATGAAACTGAACATAATTTGCAACTGACATTTCAAGAAACACTTCAGAAACATCAGTAAACTTGCATTTGTCGAATTTCGAAAACATTTTCTACGAATGATCATCTCGTTTTAGACATGTTCAAGCAGCTTTCAATGAAAAGCTGACGATCGATGGACATAAAATCCATTCACTTGCAGATAATATCGCTAAGGTAGTCCTTCTCACACACAAGTAAACATCTCTATTCTCTTCTTCCAGGTCGTTGGCGTAAGTTTATCGTCTCCATCGTGGTTGAACTACATCGATTACTTAAATTCATTGGTGTTGAACGGCATCAAAGCCACGAGTTTGATCAGTATGAAAAATATGTTAGTAGCGATGAGTGATGAAACCAATCAAGTTATTAATATTGTCGTACAATTGAACGATTCGGAATTGTCATTTTCACCTCCATTGGTTCCAGTGACAAGTGAATTAAGTTTAGGAGAGATTCTATTAGAATGGATTGAAACATTTATCAATCGAGGAGAGTATATTGAATTGCTCGGAAATGATCGAACAACAAGATTCTCTCAGATTATCAATCAAGATCCGTTGATAGTTGAACTACGTGAGAAAATCACTCAATTAATTGAAGATACTTGTTCGGAATCATTGAAATTTTTCGATGATTTCTCTCAATATGCATTCTTGTACCAAATATCCGTCAATCAATCGTTTCAGTTATTTCTGCACGGAAATAAACGAAACCGTTTAGCAACGCCGAAGAATTTTCTCAATGAACAGGATGCTGGCAGACGGTTAGTTTGAAAGATGATCCTCCAGGTTTTCAGTATTTAGCGAGTTTCGATCGTGTATCCCTCTGATTACCTAAGGAACAATACACAGATAATTTTGTTTTGTAGAAGTGTATATTCGTTGGCGTCAATTCCGACGGCAGAATTAATCGATCAAGTGGAACGTTCTTTTCTCTGTGCGACAAGTGAAAAGGAAGATTTGCAACGTATTCCACTTCTACAAGAATTCGAGAACGAAATGAAAATTTATCAAGTAAATTATTTCATCTAAAGTCGATTATTCTTCATCGATTTCTACAGGTTTGCTTATCTGACCTGCTCACATTACCCGACTGTTGGAATGTTCATTGGATTCGAATTGATTTAAAACCAATTAAACAAACATTCACCAGTCTCGCACATAAATGGCTATGGAAATTCTGTGATTATCTTCATAATCAGGTTGGAATCGTTCGTTTTCTTCGCTTTTATCTTCATTTCTTTCCATTAGACAAACAAATCCCTAGACGTTGTCGATAACTTTCTCATTGCCATGGAACCCGAAATCGAATCGATTAGCGGTCTTGAGCATGACACCGAAACTTTCATGAAAATCATGCGGTTATTCAATTCTGTCTCGGGTAAACAGCATGAAGTCGAAATACGCTTCGAACTAATGCGTCGAACATTATCCTTACTGAAAATCTACTCCGCATCGAATGAGAACGAGATGACTTTGAATGAAAAATACCAAACAATTATGACTCGTTGGCAAAACTTGAAGACGAAAGTCATGCAAGCCAAACAACGTCTAGGACCGACATTGAAAGAAGAATCCACGTTCATCATCCGAGATTTAAAAGCATTTCAAAGTCAAATCAATCAATTAATTCATGATATCAACCAATCAACGTTATTCTCCCATCAATTAACATTTACTCAAGCACAACAACTACTACATGAATTTTCCGGTCGACAAAAGGATTTGGATAAACAAGCACCGGATTATAAACAATTGCAGACACTCTTGGATACGAACATAATTGATTTCGAGAAATTATCAAAATATAAAGAGATGTTGAAGAATCTGACGCTCACATGGAAAACTGTCAGGTGAGTTTTGTAAGATGAGCCGTTTGTTCTTCGAAAATCTTATATTTAGGGACGTTCGTCGTTATTTCGATGAAATCAAACAAGAACAATGGCAGAAACTGGATAGTAAACAAGTTCTAACAGCTTGTGAGAAGTATCATGAAACGATGCAATCTTTGCCGAAAGTGGTTCGACTTTGGGATGTTTACACATTCACTGATGACGAAATCAAACGAATCAAAGTCAGTTGAAGTGTCATTTTCTTCTGCATATTCAACTTTTGTATAGGTCTGCGCACAATTGCTTGATGACTTATCCAATCCGGCACTGCGTACTCGCCATTGGAAACAGATCATTCGCATAACCGGAGGACACACATTAATGGACAGCGATACATTTCGTCAGTTGACTTTTGGCAAACTTTTCACTCTGTCTTTTCAAGGTAATGCCTTTTTCTTTGTTTTGGTTTTAATATAAATCAATTTTGTAGATTATGCGGAGGAAATTCGAGCAACGGTGAAACGTGCGGAAAAGGATTTTCAACTGGAATCGACTTTGAAAAGTTACGAAGAAATCTGGTTGAGTAAAACATTTCAAATGGTGCCTTATCAAACGGTAAAACATGTAAGTTTACAAGAGAGAGGAAGTGTCGAACATACTTGTTCACTTATTCGATGAAAATAGAAAACTGAAGAACGAAAAGAATCGGAGAGAAATCCATCGTCTCGAAGTCGTCGACCACGTGTGAGTATCGCGTCAACGTCACAATCAATGTCAAACGTCGATCCAAATGTAAGATTGAATGAGTAGAAGTGTTTTGTTTAAATGTAGACGAGCTTTTTTAGGCAGAGAAAATGTATCTGTTGTCGAATTTGGATCAGATGTTTGCAGAAATGGAAGATCATCAGATAAACTTAGAAATTCTTCAAACCAACCAATCAGCTGGCTCATTTCTCGATGAAATTGCTAAATGGCAATCGATTCTACAACACATCGAAGAAGTTTTACAACAATGGAATACTGTTCAACAACTTTGGCAGAAACTCGACTCAATCCTTCCGATTCTTCAATCGGATACACAATTGAGCATCATGTTTTTCAAAATAGATCGAGAGTTTCGAGGTTTAATGGTCGCAGTTGCGAATGATAACAATGTTTTGAAATGTTGTCAGAAGAAAAGTAAGTCTCGTTCGCAGCAAAATATCGTTTATTCATTGTCTTTTGCAAAGATCTTCTTCCGCAATTGAAAGTTCTGTCGACTCATTTGCAGAAGTGTCAAGATATTCTGCGAAAACAAATGTTTAACGAAAATAAAGGCGGACGATACAATTTTCTTACTGATATCCAACTATTTGATCTGATCACAACAGGTACGAGTTTCTTGAAGAAGAACTGCTGTTAAAATTTCTACTTTTAGGCTCGAATATTCGGCTGCTAAGCGAACGATTTTCTTATATTATCCCTGGATTGAAGAGTTTGATCTTTTCGGAAGAAGTGAAAGACGAAGTAGTTGGCTTGATTACTCAATATCACGAAGAAAAGATTATTTTCAGCAATGTCTGTTGAGAGAAAATTGTTGAAATGTAAAATGTTGCTTGTTTTTCTTTATATAGAAAATTTCGTTCGAAGGGAATATTGAATCATTTGTTGACAAATTGACCGCTGCAGTGAAAGAAACGGTGAAAAATTCAATTGAGTCAGCGATTAAAGGCAAGAATTATCACTTGAAACTTGGAATTTCAGACAAATCTTTTCAATGTAGAATTGACGGAAAATAATCAATTGGATTTCATTGACTGGTTAATGAGATATCCTCGACAAACGATCATTCTTGTTCTTAAAATAATCTTCACACAATTGATCGAACAAAGCTCGAAAGGAAAAGATTTCGAACAGGTTTGTCACTTTATTTTCCGTTCTTACAAATAAATCTCTATTTTCGATTAGAAACTAATGGAATTATCGAAGAATTTGATTGAAGAAATCAATCACATACGAGAGAACACAACCGATGAATGCGTTCTAATCAATACCAAACAATCGATCGGCAAGTTAGAAGATGTTCTAACTTTAATCTCGTCCTATCTAACACGTTTACCAATCAATACGAACTCCTTCGAATGGCAATTTACTCTGAAATATCATTCCAATTCACAAACCAAACAAGTTTCAATTCAAGTATTTCACCGAAAACTCGAAATCGAATCATTTGCCTTTCGTTTTTCTTTTCAGTGTCTGGAAAAGTCCATCGATTATGCATACGATCTGATTTCGAACAAAGAAATTTTCACTCCAAAGGAGCATCACTTTCTCGGCAAGATCTTTCTTTCATTAGGAGCACCCGGTGGAACACTTATTCTCAATCAGAATGTACGTTTTTTTTATCAAACATAACGAATCGGAGAACATTGACCAACTTTTCGTTTTAGAGTAATTATCTAATCGAACATCTTTCATCGGATATCGGTCGAAATCTATTTCGAATCGAATGTAATTCCACAACCGATGATTGTCAGATTTTGAATTCATTCGCTGGACTTTGTCAAGGAAATCTATTTCTATTCAATCATCTGAATAAACTCAATCAAAGAGTGATGCAACTATTCATCGAATTATCCACAAATTTATATGACGCGATCTTGAAAAAGAACAAATCATTTGAATGTGTGTCTCGGACGTTTTCATTAGTTGAATACAAAGATATAAACTATTTATCGACTGTTTATCCGTCGACAATTCAAGATTTCTCTGTGTTAAAAAGTGATGTGATTGTCGATTACCGAGTTGTCACACTTTCCCAACCAGACTACACGCATGTGTTCATTGCTCAACTGATCCAATCCGGTTTTCATTATGCATTCGACATTGCTACTCGCTTTCTCAATCTGCTGTCCTATACAGTGAATCAATCATTAACAGAAAATCTTTCTCGACTCGGTAAGTACATCTAGCGTAAACTCGGCTGTTTTCTATTTTGATGAATTTTGAGGTATCATCGTTCCAAAAATGGATCTAAATCCTACCTTGATCAAAATGTTGATCAAGTTCGCGAAAAATTATCTGAAAACTCATTCTCAAGAAGATGAAGAACAGGCTTTATCCAACGGTTTAGCCATAATCTCGAAATGTTTCAACAGCGAAGATAAACAAGCATTTCAATCGTTGATCAAAGCGAAGAATCAGTCATTCAAGGGTACAATTCCAAAATCCATTCCATTCGATAGTTTAGCTACAACAAATCGCCATTTCGGAGAGAAAATTTGGAATATATCCGATGCGTTTGAATTAGCTTTGAAACAATTTCAATTGAATATCAATGAAAACATTCTCAATAAGCTATTTCAATTGCATCATCTCACTGAAAATCATTCCAAGATTCTCATTATCGGACAATGTCAATCTGGCAAAAGTTTGTTGATGAAAGTGTTTCTCAAAGCACGATCGTTTCTCTATCCGAAACAAGTTTATCATCATTTAATGCTACAATTATGGCCTGCGGAGATCCTATTCTCAAGATACAATCACGAAAAGGGCCTTTTTCAACAAGGGCTTCTACCAAATATCGTCAAAAACACCGATGATAATCTTTATCTTCATCTCGATGGTTTCAATCCGGATGATTTGAGCACACTCGAAGATTTCGTTCTTAATCTTGATCACGGACACGTCTTTTGGGAGGTACGAATTCTTTCATCCAAAAACAAAGAACTTCTTGAAATACTTCGATTGATTTTAGCTAGAAAACTTGAATGATCTAAGCCCAACGTTCCTATCCTCATGTATTATGTTGAATATTGAAGAACCCATCTGGACATGGCGAGATTTAGTCTATTCAACATTCTCGAATGAGCATAATGATAATGAAATCTACGAAGAATTGCAAAAGATACTCATCGATTATATTTCAAGAATCGAATCGTATGATATCAAAGATAAGCCAACTGTCAAGATCTCATTCATGTCGAAAATATCCATGGCAGTGACATTACTGAAGACCTATTTGAAAAATGATAAATGTTCACCGATTGATCTGCGTGCGTTGGTGGAGTATACTCTTCTCTGGTCATTCATTACACATGTGGATCGAGATGCAAAGAGACACTTCGAGAATTGGTGGAGACAAACGTTCCATAACATTCCAAAAGAAAAATCTGTAAGTTAGAATTCTTCATTTTCGACTTCATGTTCCTTTCGTCTAGTTAACGGATTGGATGTACGACACTGATACTCATCAATTCGTTCTTTGGGCGGATACGATTCCTGCATTTAATCCTGCAGCACATCAAGGAATTCCAAATAACATCTTCGTTCATACACCTTACACGATGGTAACTCTGAATTCATACGCTACCATCAAGGAAAAACTTTTTCTTTTAGGCATTGTCGCATTTGGTTAGCTCAATGACAGAAGATGATCATCCTGTTCTGTTGATTGGTGATCGCGGAGTTGGAAAAAGTGCGTTGATCAACGATCGATTAAAAGCTACATGCGGTGGTGATATCAGTGATGATTTTTACATCACCGTCAACTGCAATGCGTTCGTATAGTTTCTTTTTCATTGTCTTTAGCACATTGTTATTTTAGTGAGACTGACGCGCTCTTCGCTTACGAAAAAATCGAAGAACAATTGCAGTGGAAACATTCGTGCTATTACACAACTAAAGGAAATCGAAAAATGTTCTGTTTCATCGATAATCTCAATCTCGCCAAGATTGATCGCTGTGAATCTCAATCCTTAGTCGAATTATTACGTCAACACATTAGTTCTCATGGGATCTACTCACCTGTCACTTCCAATTGGCAGTATATCGATAATGTAACGTACGTCGTTACATTGAATTCAAATCAAAAGTTGGCTACATACAATCGTCTGATGAAATACTTCCACATCATTCAAATGGACATGCCGAGCGAGTCAGATTTGGTGTCGATCTTTTCGAAATTGGTTAATCGACATTTTATTGGTGATAGTGGAGAAAGTCAACTGAAAGAAACGAGTGAAAGCTCAAGTCGTGCCTCGACAGCAAAACAATCTACACATGATTCATCGAATAGTTCCAAAGAGAAAATAAGTTTGTCAACTTATAAACGTATCGAAGAGTTTCGTTCGATTATCGATCGAATCGTCAAAGGCACCGTAGATTTAAACGAACGAATGCGAACGATGTACCAAATCAATCATCAACGTATTCATTATGTCTTTTCCATGAAGCAGTTAACACAACTATTTCGTAATCTGTGTGTTAGTTTAACACCGGAGTGTGCAATTGAGGATTTACTGGAATTGTGGCATCATGAATGTGAATGGCTGTACGGAAAACGACTGTTTGATCAAATTGACCAACAACGATATCAGCAATTGTATAAAACGATTGTGAAGAAATATTTTATGAACATGATTAACGAACAGCAAGTCCTACTGGCTGAAAATCAACAGTTCTCCAATTTACAAGTGACAGAAAGCGGTATGTTTTCGTTTAGCGATAAAATTCGATTTCAACTCTTTCATTTCAGGTATGATCGTTGCGAATTTAACTCGAGATGCTCAAAGTTATTCAACTGATAACTATATTCTTGTTAACGATCGTCATCGGATCGAAACCTTAGTTCACAATGCGATCAATGAATACAACAAAGAAAAGCCGAAGATCAACTTTCCACTCTATTCAGTTCGTTCTTCTCTTCTCTTGAGATTTCGTCATTTGAATTGAACCTTTTTTCAGTGTTACATCGATCTCCTCTGTCGATTATGTCATACAGTTCAAACTGTGGATGGTCATTGCTGCATTATGGCTGAAGGTGTTCTCGATCCGTGTTTAATTCACTTATTTGCCTCGGTTGTTGGCTATCAATTAGTTTCCTTTGAAACTAGCCATTTGATAACATCGAACGAACAGATGAAAACATTTATCAAACAGAAGTTAACCCAAACGTATATCGATGCCGGAATCCGAGTAAGTTTTCTCCATCAGTTTGCATTGAGAATCAAAAATCTCTTCTAGAATGAGAAAATCGTGATTTTAATCACCGAAGAAGATTTTCGACATCTAGATTTGATTATCAATATCACGAATTTGATCAATACAGAAGATATTTCCAGTTTATTTTCATTGCAAGAAGAAACAACAGTGATCAATTCAGTTCGAACGCAAGTCCAACAAGCGGGTTTGACTTATTCGAAAGCTGTAGCATGGGATTTCTTTCTTCGGTATGTTTGTTTGTGTCCTTCTACTTGATTTATATTGTTTACCCTTCACTCGTCAACCATTTCAGCATTTTAAGGTATGTTTTCCTGATCGATTTGTGTTTGTTCTTCTTAACACTTCTACTTTGCTTGATCTAATTGAAACTCCGACAATGATATGAAAATAAAATTTTCGTTCTCTATAGAAACGTCAAAGATAATATTCGAGTGGTGATCTTAATTAACGAAATCGATAATAAACTATGTTTGGAACATCCGTCAATATTCAATAATATTACATTGATCTATTGGCAACACTGGGATACTCAAACTTTAGTACAAAATGCACTCTATCATCTGAAAGGTTTGTTTCAAATCGAATCTATTCCTCTAAACATTAACTTTGTATAGATGTTTCATGGTTGGATAAGAATGCAAGCGAAAATACTGCTCATCTACTTGCATCGATGCACCTTTCCATTCGACGAGCGAATGCCAATCAAACACATCGACTACCGCACACAAATAATCACACATTTACTAAATTCGTCGAAAAATTTGTGAAGATTGTCAATGAAAAATCAACGAATGTTTCGGACAACCATCACGATGTTCAACATCTCCTCGAGCAAATCCAATATCAACACGAGACATCGAAGAAATTGGAAAAAGAATTACAACATGAAAAGATCGTTCTCGAAGAACGACTCAAAGTAATTTTATAGTTCCTAGAAGAAGAACCAACACTTGCTTCTCCGTTTTAGAGTACTATCCGCATGTTGACTCAAATCGGTCAAGATATGGTTACCGCTGAACAACAAATTCGTGCGCATAAATCTCAAACACGACGAACAGTTCAGTTGAAACGCTTGTTACCGGAATACGAACTATCTCAAGAGAAAAATCTCTATAAATGCTTAGCAATTGCAACCGACGCGAGAAAACTAATTGAAGGATTAGATATGAAATCGCTGCAAGAATTACGATCGGTAACGAAAGCTGAGTCACCGATTGAAAATACATTGGCTGCTGTAATTATGATTCGTAAGTTCAAACTTTATTATCTTTTTCTAACACGAAAGCAAATAACATCACGTAGTGAAATCACCAACTGCGGATTTAACGTGGCAAAAAGGTGCGAAACGGCAATTGGCGAATCTTGATCGATTTCTCGAAGAAACTCAAACATTCGAGAAGATTAATTTAACTGAAGATCAAATCAATTTGATTAATTCAGTAATCGATCGAGTCGATCTCGGAGACAAAAGTGTCACTCAAGCATCGTATTCGAATGCGGTGGTGATTCTTTATAAATGGGTGAAACGTGTTTTACAGTCAGTATATGTTCAAATACGATTGACAAGACTTATTTTTCATTCGATTTAGATATCATACGGTTCTTTTGAAAAAAGTCAAACCGATTCATCAGAAATTAAAGGAAGTTCAAGATGATGTCTTGGAACAGGAACAACGATTGATTCGATTGGATAATAAGAGTCAAGTATGTGGTCGGACGATCTTTTTTTTATATAAAAAAACCTATGTTGAATTCAACAGGCATTAGAAGCTCGATTGAAAGATTTATCGCAAAACTTTGAAGAAGCCACCGTCGATAAGAAAGATCAAGAAGAAACAGTCGCCATGAAAGACAATCAACTGAAAATCGCCTCACAACTGAATGAAGTATGTTCGACAAATGAGCATCGATTTGTATTTGTTTATGTCTTTCAGATTTTATCACGAGAACTAGATCGAACAAGTAAAATCTTCGAATCCAGCACTGAACGTCAATCGACATTAACTGGAACGTGTGCGATAGCCGCGGCATTTCTCATCTACCTCGGGCCCTATGCCTATGGATTTCGTCGTTTGATGTTAACTGCTCAATGGATCAAATGTATTCGCGATCGAGGTATGACCATCGTCTTCGATCAAATCTCCAGCGTGAAAGGTCGAACGATTAAATGGCAATTGGATCCGAACGATGACCAAAAATTTGCCAATGGCAATGAATATCGACAAATGGTTGTATCATTAATCGAATTTCTCCTTGGTGATCAAACAAATCTCGAATGGTTAAGTCAAGGAACATTACCGTCTGACATGGAAAATCATACAATTATTGTACAATCAGTTCAATATTCTCCATTTCTCATCGATCCATTTGGGCAAGCTGATCAATGGATGGAGAAGTATTACAACGTTCAAACAGTACATTTCGACGATGAGTATGTTGAAGTCCGTATATCGAATTGAATTCGATTCATTCTCTGTTTGCAAAGGTCGACACAAGATGTTGTTGTTGCAATCGAGCAAGGGTTTCTATCCGGTGCGAAGATCTATGTGAAAAACTGTCAATCACTCGACAGTCTTCTCTATCCAATTGCGCAATGGAAAGCCACATCTGAAGAATCGCGTGTAAAAGATGGTATGACAAATTTCTCTCTTTCAATCAATTGATCAGTCAATGTGTTTTCATTTCGTAGATTCGAATTTACTTTTCTATTGTGGCCGTCGTTTGTACTGTAATCCATCGTGTCGTTTTTATTTTCATACCAACTGTGATTCGTTGGAAAAAGTCTCTTCATCTCTCTCGTTATTAACTACACCGGTCAATTGTCAATACAGTGTCGAAACTCTCTTAGACGATCTTCGTCAACAAGTGTTCCAACGCATCCAACCAAGTTTATACAAGAAGAAATTATCGATCTATCGACTGATACTGCTATGCCAACAGAGAATTCAGGCCATAGATACTTTTCTGAAGTCGAATACTATTAGTGATGAATTCAAAGATGAAGAAGTCGTCGTAACATCAGTCGCTATCGAACGAAAATATGCTTTGGGTGGCATCGTTGATCAATGCAATGAAATTTTAGATTCAATTGAAATTTACCATGATTATTATTTCCCTTATGCTCAACATGGCGCATTGCTTTATTCTGTTTTACAACGAATCAATCTTCTCTCGCCGAAAAATTATCAATTCTCCATTGCAATCATCTATTCACTGCTGGATCAATTTATTCCATTGAATCCGACGAAAGCAGTTGAGGAAACCGAAATTTGGAAAGACGTGGAAGACAAACGTATGTTTCTGAAGTTGAATCGACTATGATCGACCCTTTTCATTTCTCTCTCTCTCTAGAACATCCTCAACTTCCATCGTTGATCGAAACAACGAATTTGAAAAAAGAAGATTTGTCAGCACCTGATCATAAACAGATCGACGACAATCTCAAGAAAATGATCCAATCGTTCATCAAAATCATTCTTCCACAACTAGCCAGTGATCATCGTTTAGAATTTCTCGTTCTTCTTCATTTATTACTAAAAACCGCTGTTGATACCACAACGGATGGTAAAAGCGACATCCTTCAGTTAGAATTTCTTGCCACGGGTTTACCCAGAATCGACAGTCAATCTCCAATATATCCGTCGACGTTGAATGAGAAGCCTAAATGGATCAGTTCTGATCTTGTCTGGTTCGACGTTGTTTCCTTGACAAACCTCTTCAACAACGAAGATCTTCTCTATCATCTATCGGATATTATTCGAAAGAACGACCAGCAGTGGAAGACTTTCTACGACAATCCTTCACTGAATTCAGTTCCAACGAGCAATGGCAAATCATTCTCTCAGTTAGATAAGTTAGTTATTATAAGAATTCTTCGTCCGGACTATTTCATCATTGCACTACGCGATTATGTCATTGAACAGTTCGATTTGAATAATCTTCAAAATGATGAAAATGACTTTCAAGGTGTTCATATTGTCAATCTACCGTTAATTCCAGTAAAGTCTGTTATTCCAGGCGAATTTCTTGTGAATCAAATCGATATCGATCATTATCTTGGAAATCATTTGAAATCGAAAGGAAAGAAAGTTCGCGAGATCGATTGTTTGTTTGTTAACACTATATTCGACTCAGGTGATGAATGTGATCTTATCTACTTAAAAAATATTCATCAAGCATCAACCGCACCGGCACTTATCAAACGTATTTGTCGTCAAAGTCGAAATAATGTGATCGTGACGAGAGAACCATCGGTTGATTTCGTCTACCTCGGCGCGCGTCTTCATCATTACGATTGTTTAATTCAAGGAAAAGTTCCTCTTGCGAATATCTTATATCAAAATTCGAATAGTTATCTACGAGAAACGCTTGGTCAATTGATATCGAATAGTTCGTCGATTCTTCGTCAATGTCAAGGCGATGAATTGACAATCATTTACGGCACGATTGTAATTCAAGCTATTCTTGTTTATTATCAAGAAATCTTTCAACAGAGTCATTTTACACTTCAATGGACAAGAAACTTGTCGCAATTTGTTTTGCATCTGATTCGAAGTAATAAAGACAAAAGTTTCGTTCGAGATTTGATTGAAATGGCCTATCCAATGCATTCGCCATTGTTAACGAAACTTCTGAATGAATTATTTCCACAAGTATCATCGAAAACATCCATTCGATTGAACGATTGTCAATTCGAAATTCCGCAAACCGAAAGTCAATTCAACCTCCAATGGTTTCTATCGAAACATTCGAAAGTTAATTTAACTTTCAACGATTATCCATCGAAACAGAAATCTCTTCAACATCAATTCGACATCTTCGCTGAACAATTAAATAAACTATGGCATGAAAAATCCGAAACTATTTTTCAAAATCTACACGTTTCGTTAATTCACGATAATCTTCATTTGCTGAAAGAGCGTTTACCACCATTGTTAAATCTACCATCTGGAATCGATTTCAAACAAGATTTGATTAGCATTGCACTTTATCAGGTATAGATGCTTTGCTTTTCGCGTTCCGAAGTTGATGAAGTTTACTCTCATAGGAAATGGTTTATTTTAATAAACAAGTAGAAGCAATATTCAAAGATATTCAAGAAATGGAAGATATGTTAGCATATGGAAGTTTACTATTAGAGAAGAATTTGAAGTTCAAAGCGATCGGATTTGATCTTCAACGAAATCGAGTTCCATCGCGATGGTTTTCTGAACATTCATCGGCACCGAAATCACTTTCAATCGTGCAATTTATCCACCGTTTGTTCTTTATGGAAAAGAAATATTAGAATGAATTTTTTCTTATCATTTAGAATGTCGACATCGATTTAATGAATATTATTCTTGGATGAAATCTTTCGATAATGTCGAAAAACTTGATTCGCAGTGTATTCAACGTTCGCGACATCTGATTGAATTGATGTGTCTATCGCAAGCATTGAAATTAAACATTACACTCGATAAAGTGAGTTAGAGCAATTCTCTTCAGGTTATTTTCACGATTCGTGAGTATAGGTTCAATGTATTGGTCAATGGACATCGATGAAAGAGAAAAAATATTCTTCCGATAGTCGACATTTGATTCTCAACGGTGCGATTGTAATGAATGGAATTGTTGAAAATAACAATCGAATTAAACCGACTAGTGGAACGAGTCATCCATGTCCTGCGATTGAAATTTTTGCAACGGAATCGAAAATCGATGGTCATCTATGTCCAGTCTATGCAACAGCATCATCTCGTCTTGATTCTCCATTGTTTCATTTGATCGTCAACGAAACCATTGACCCAATAGTCTTTATTGTTTTGCAAAATGGTAAATATCCTTGTTGCTGTTTTTTTCTTGAGTGTGAAATGCAAAAGAAATAATTGGATTCTTTTAGATAATGAAGACATGGGAAGAATTCCATATCCAACAGTGATTCGTCAGGAACAAGAAAAACCAATGGTTACTAGAAATGAATTAACTTCATTTCGTGAAATGTCACCGATTTCTCAATTATCTCAATCAAGAGATGGCGAATCAGAGACACCTTCTGTCAAAGATATTCAAAGAGACGAGCCTATGTTAGGTTTTGAATGATTTTACGTTTGTTTTATTAATAAATAAATATATAACGATGTGTGCTGCATTCGAGTCTAATTACAATGCATCTTTTGCATCAATTCCAATTTTAAAATGATCAATCACCTTAAAAAACAATTCGCTGTACCTGTGATAGTGAATGCGAGTGACGACATGACACAGACTTTTCATTCGGTCATACACAGTAGACAGGATAACAACTTGACACTTTTTATTAGGCGTATCGATCTTTCACCTAACAAGTTGTACAAAATTAAACTATTCAATTCATAGTCATTAACGAAAGATAGTCGGTAGGAAGTCCATTGATCACAAATAAACATACGCATAGCCTTGATTTAATACAATGGTTAACGATTTTCATTTTCTTCTAATAAAGAATTTGATATGAACGAGAAAGGTAAAACTTATGCGATTAATTGATGAAATAATTGTGTTTGCAATATTTTACAATAAAATCTAATCCTTGAATGAAACATCATTTTGTGTATACAAAGTAACAGTGGAACAAATTCTAGATGTATTTGTTCGTATGGCAACTTTCTTTTTTCAGATCGTTGATTTGTCACAATCCTTTAACAAAAGCTCAAACTACTGAAAGAATACGTCGTTATTTAGTGCAGAAAACAGTAAATAATACGACTATAATCGACTTTATCGTGACGAATCTTCCATGAATATCCACATGCACTCCAAGACAAAGTGTATAAACACAGACAAGGCTATCTGTCTAGTATACAATTCATTTTATGTTGACAAATCATTTAACTTGAATAGTATACGACACAAAAACACAAACAAATAATATCCCAACTGTCCGATAGACATGATGTCAATGACTCTTGTATACGTATATACTACTCTTATATGTTGACAGATGAAATTGTCGCTTAACAGATTGTCTGCGTCACGAGAATGAGTGTATAAAAAGAATTTTTTCTATGATAACACTGTATTGTATTGAAATACTGTCGAGAACATAAGGTCATTTGTTGGTGATTTTTACCAATAGATAATGAATTTGTCGTTCTAGCAAAATCGATGTTCAATTATTTGATAAAGTAAACATATTAATATTGTAATGAAGGAAGAGAATTCTTCTTCTTCTTTTTTTCCGCTTTCTCCGTATCCGGCAAGAGCAGAAGACTGTTGACCTTGTTTGAAAACAAATCTAACTGTCATTTCTTATCAATTATAAGATTGTCTTGATGTATACGAATAAGAAAATCTCTTTTTTTCCGAGTTAATGAACTGATTGCAGATTTGTGGACATGATTGAATGATGTTGAAGAGAAAAGGAAAAATGTATTTGAATAAGACGTTGTCGAAATGATTAGATAATAGGATGGAAATGAACGAGACGTTCTATTTGTTCTTCTTTTCTTTTCTTTCGCTTCTATCCTTAGACGTAATTAACAATCATTGCTTAATAGTTACATCATCAATCGAAGAAAAAGAAACAGTTGTCAAAACGACTGCTTCAACGAAGATGTCAACCAAATAAAGAACAATAGGAGAGAGCGAGCGAGAGAGGGAAGGAAGAGCGTTTTGCTTTTCAGATACAAGAAAAGAACATCATTGTTGGAAATGCGCCATTCCGACTATCAAAGTAATAAGGTCTATTTCCGTTATAAAGATGTCGAAACAATTAATATGTTCTATTTGATTGTTGTTCCACATTATTCTTTCTTCTCGTGGCATATTCGTGTGTTGTCAATGTTTATCTCTCTACGGAATAACACATCTCGGATGGCACCTGTCTTCTCTGCCAACTCACCTATTATTATGTTCTAAGAAAATATAAATTTTCTTTTCTTACCAGTTGTTTGATGAAGGAAATGTATGAACGAACTCTTATCTTTTTTTCATTAGGAAAAAAAGTAACTCGTTATCCAGACAATTGAAATAGTCCTAGGGAAAAGAAGAAAAAAAATAGATAATCAGCGTAAACATTTTCTTCTATTTCTATTACTTTAGATTTCAACTATTTCCTATTCACTTCTTCTTCTTCTTCTAGGCAATGAACAGCACTTTATCTATTCTTCCTAGTGCTCCTCCTCCTCCCCTTGTTCTTAGTCTTCCACCAATACCCCAATTAGTTATATTGGGAATCATATTTATCGCATCAGTTGCTCTCAATTGTGTTTCGATTATAAGTATTGTCGGCGCACGAGCGATCACACCAATCAATCTGTTAATTATCAATTTGGCCGTCAGTGATATTGTTTATTCATTGACCATTCCGATATTTGCCGTACACATTGTTATTCCATGGTGGCCATTCGGTCGTGTTGGTTGTCAATTAGCAATTGCAATTGATATTATAGCCATGATCGTAAGTCGAGTTTGATCTTCCTGATAGCATCGCATATGTTCACTGAGTAAACATTATTCTATCCGATGTTGCATTCATAATGTGCGCAGATCTATGTCAAAGATAACCAGGATTTCTTAAGCAAGAAAAAGTTCATAATTTGATAATCAATGTGTTTCTTTTTTTTTCCTTATCTAATCAAATTACTTGGACAATTAGTTTGATGTTTGAGAGTAATTCAATTATCGTAAAAGAAAATTCTGTAAATCGAATTAGTTCTAATTAAACTGATGTCAGCCGTAACGTACAGTAAGTCTTTAACGAAATCTTAATGGAATTGTCTTTAGGTTGGTGTATATACAATAACCGCATTAAGTGTCGAACGATATATGGATGTTCGGGAAACAACTCGCCGATACAATGATCAAGTTAAGTGCGCATTAGTCTTAGGTTATATCGTTATTTTATGGATCTTCGCGATCCTGTTTCCATTACCGATGTCATCGTCTTTGTTTGTTCACAACCGTTCTCGAGCTGCTCTCGTATCTGGTGTTGTCAGTGAATGTAAATCAAGTTGGTCAGCAGGAGAGTTATCACGTTATGTACAATTGAAATTCGCATGTGCATTCCTCCTTCCATCATTAATAACATGTACATTTTCATTTCGTTTAATCTTATTTCTTCATCGTTGGTCATTACGCTCACGACGTTTGTCCTTATCCCATCGGTCATTGAATATTTACAAGCGTCGTGCAACAACATTGGTTCTTTTAATTATCATCGCATTCTTTGTCCTCTGGTCACCATTATGGATCCTTCAACTTTATGATACATTCAACGAACGCGGACCAACACGTTACATTCAAATATTAAATTTCGTCACACTGGTGTTTGTCTATGCCAATGGATTGTTGAATCCCTTGCTTTATTTGATCTTAACACAGAATTTCCGTGAATACATTCGAACAAATAAATGGTCAACATGGAACACTCGACGCCGATCGAAAATGAATGATGCGACATTTTTTTACACGACTAAACCAGCCAATCACGAACATCAAATCGCCGATCAACAGACAAGTTGTATCTTGCCAAATGACGACGATCAACATGCCTTCGTTGCCAACGAAGCAAGTTCAACAGCAAATTAACGAATCGCTTTTTCCTTTGTATATCGCAAGTAAAGATTTTTGTCTCGGTGGAAAGATTTTATTTCAATTACAAAATAAAAACGAACAGATCCGAACAAGGTTGTCTCGACAAATTGTTTCCAAATGAAAGAAGAACAAGAACAGAGAGACTAATTATAAAATAACAAGAACTCAGTTAAGACAGATGTTATTCCTAAGCGATTTGAAAACACGTCAGCAACGATTTCAGTGTAACATGCAGACATGTCGAATCAGACCTTCGTAAACATGATAATTTGATTGAAGTCTTCTTTTAGGCAATGTAAAACTTGATCGGAGTGTTCAGAATGGAAATTATGATGTCCGGGAAAGATGCGAACACGAAAGAGATCTTTGACAGTAGTCAATTCGATCCAACGATTGAGAAATTCCTCGGATAAGTCTTCTTCTTTCTCGCCACTGTAAACGATGATTGGAATGTTGATTGGATTCGATGGAATCAACACATCACCGATCTAGAAAGAAGAATTTGTCTAGAAAGAAAGTTTCGAAAGAAGAGATCACGCAAACTTTCGCATCGGCTCTTAAAATGGGAATCATCATGTCAACAAATGGTTTATAATCGAAAACCTCTGCGCTTTTCGGATCTAATAGGAAATATAAGCTGGATTTTATCGGGAAAAGAAAAATAGAAGGCAAACCTGAGATATGTTTTAAGTTTTCAACAAGTTCAGCATCGGTCATCATAATGAATGATTTATCCAAATCTAAATGTAGATACAGACTCTAATAAATTTCTTTCTTTTTCGAAGTACTCGCCCTGTATATGTGGTGGCCCTCGCGACATTTCAATTAATAATTTGATTAAGTCTCCTTTATTTCTTGTTTCGATCATATGTCTTGCTAATGCAAAGCTAATCACTGTTCCCACACTAATATATATCGTTGATGTAAAGAGGTTGTGGATGGAAAGAGAAGAGTACTACCTATGTCCGATAAAGATGCATGGTTTCTTTATGTATGGAAGAAGTTCGCGATGCAATTGAACTAAATATTCCTTGATTGTTGTAAGTAATCGTTCTCCAAGTCGGTTTGCTCGTCCAGGATAGATTATAATAGAGAATTCATATTCAGGAAAGTTTCGATCCCAATCCTTGTAAAATGAACCTGAAAATAATATTCTCACCAGTAGAAATATAAGAAATATTCATATCACATACCTGCTGTTCCAGCTGCAGGAAATATAAAAACTTGCCATTTAGCAGATGGACGTGGATGGCAAATTTCAAACCAAGGGTGCTCTTTATTCGAACTATAAGCCATTGCTTGTGTAGAATAAACTATCGAAGCATGATATACGTAAGAGGAATACACATGCTTTGCGCTCATGCGTAACAAAACCAACGATAATATTTACTATTATGTTCGTAAAGAACAGCATCGATTTTAAGGACATCTACTCGTAAAAAAGTCTTATTTTAATGAGAATTGTTAGAACAGCACCAAACAGGTTAAAAACAATACCGAGAATTCCAAGTATAGGAGAAGGACATTTCCCGATTTAATCATTTCATTCTCAGTTATGAAAACATGAACTTTAATGGATGCTCCAAGAATTCCCATCACGATACAGACGCCAATGTAGCTGCTTTTATCAATGACAGAGACATTTCATTTGCTCGAGCATTAACCTGCAGACAAATAGACGAAGTAGCTGTGCTACGAAAGTGAACATGATGAGAAACGCTATAGTCATGAAAATCTTTTGCACAAAACTGGATATCACCTCTTAACGACGGACATGTCACAGATTCTCATCGTTGTTTACCTTCGAAAGTCGTACAACCTTCTCACAGACCGATTATGACGGATGTTCCTCGCGCGTCAGCTGAAGCTCTAAAAGTTACTTTCAACTCGTCATCAATTTATGAAGAGAACTCAAATTATCTTTTGAATAATATAAAAATAAATCTTACAATCTCAATTTGCAGTCTCACTCAATTCATCAATGCCATGGAGACCGTTCAATATATTGTCTTATTGACAGAGAAAAACTCATTAAAATTTAACATATACTTCGATCGAATCGTTATTTCTTCTTTGCTTTTTCCAACGTACAGAACAGAACTCGACAAGATCTCTTCCATTCTGTTCTTCACCGGCATACACTGAATAGCTTGCTCATCATGCCATCTTTATCGTCTGAAGATTCCTCTGTTCTAAGAAAAAGAAAATTTTTTTCGTCTTTCTCTCTGTTTATCTGAAACATCCATCTAGAGCACGTTTTTCTGCTTCCATCCGCCGTTGTTATTTGCTTGTGTTGATGACTGTTTTCCTTTCTCTTGCTTTTGCCCTTCTGTTTCTGTCTATGCGCGTGATTCGACGTATTAGTGACTATTACGCATATATGTTTAACACATATATATAGGTCGTTGTTCTCTTTCCCTCGCTGGACTCTCTCTCTCTCTCTCGTTGTGTTGTGATCATTTCTTGATCCAATAAAGATATTGAATCTACATCTTTCATTGCATCACCAACACCAACAGCTTGTGTAAGAAGAAAAAAAAACGTTCAAATGGGTTGCGGATTCAGTAATGGAGTCGCAATTAATCTGGAGCGATCCCATCCGCTTTATTATGGTGATGAATGTGTTTCGGGTACGGTTCAATTGAGTGTTATCGAAGAAAAACTCAAAACACACGAAATCTACATTCAACTAGTTGGCGAAATTGGTTATACAACAACTCGTACTGTTTCGGATGGTCGAGGTCAAACAACGACGCATACAGAGTATCATCATATACCATTCTATACTTTGAAAATTGTTTTTGCACAATTATCAGCGGGACAAGAACAACTTGTTTATAATCAGGGACAATATTCATGGCCATTTCGATTTTCCTTATCTGGCTCCCTCCCACCCAGCATTAATCTTCCGCAATCGTATCCTCATGTTCGATTTTACCTGCAGGTTGTGATCGGAAGAGCATGGTACAGACCAAATGCAAGAGAAACAAGATATATAACGATATTTCCACGTGTTAATCTTGTGCAAAATCCCCGGTGTTTGACAACAACTTTATTCGGAAGTCAAAATCGAAAAGAAATCAGTCTGAAAGGTACTTTGAATAAAATTGGATTCGTTCCTGGAGACGTACTAATGTTAACATTAGAATTATACAATCCTCGAAGAGTACGTATTCAATGCATTGACCTATTACTTGTCGAATCGTTTCAAATTGCCTGCAATTCACGTGAATTAATTGTATTCGAAGTGACATTACCCAACATTATCGAACGTAGTGATGAATACATTCAAGAAATACTTCCTGTCAATATTCCTTCGGTCCTCTTACCGCCTTCATGTGATTTTCAAAACGGTCTTCGTTCGGTTCCTAGAGTCCATCTTCGTTATTTTATGAAATTAGCTGTTAAAGTTCAAGGAATGTTTACTAATTTTCATGTCGATGTCCCGGTTATAGTAGGAACTGAATGTATTGCAAGTCCCTTGGTTTCTTCACAATTTAATCAACAACACATGATTGCAGATTATGATCTACCTCCTCCTTATAGTTCTGTTGTACAGCAGAATGTAAAATAACCTTCCGAATTTATCCGACAGACGCTGTCTTTTTCAAAATTTCAATTTCTTTTTAGAGCCCTATGCATTCCCCTACAAAAATCTTCGCATTAAATGCTTTTCTCGTTAAAAATCACAATGTAATGATGGTTACTTTTCTTTTGAGTTCCATAATAATAGTGCATGGACTGCTGTCAAAATCGTGCAATGATGTTCAATACATCATTAACAATTTACAGGTTAAATATCAAATGAACTACGACGATGCAAAAAAATAGTGTTTTAGAATTACAACATTTCTTCACCGGACTCAAAAATCAAGTCATCGATACAAAAGCACTACGTTGAAAAGCTTTTGAGATGCAATAAACGGTATTTATCGAATTCTATTCATCTCAGAGTTCGGAGGTGATCGAGTTAATTCACAGATAGACGATGACATACTGGCACTCACACTTGCACATCACCACATTTAGATTTCTCTTCGACTCGGCGCATACTACAGTCACTACTGATGGTTTTTTTTTCATATTTATTTTCTGATTTTTGAAATATTCTCAGTGAAATCAATCTCAGACTTGAACGCAGTTCATTTATTTCCAATCCAGTTGCCATCACGATCAAATCGAAAACCGTCAATAGGAAGTGTTTCAGCAAAAGCATCAGTGCCATCAGCAGCAAAGGCAGCATCATCGTCATATGCGTCATTAACCTTGCTTCGATGAGTACTAGATTGATAATGTGCACTGTCTTCCGCTGAAAATAAATCAAGATATATAAATTGAGAGATTGAATTTCCATAGTTTAGATCCTTAAAGAACATGTACAGGAATGCTTAGATATATGAGATCTTATTTTGACGAAGCAACAAATGAAAAATATACTTTGGCAAGCATTATGGAAATGATGAGCTGTCGTTTCTATTAACAAAAGATAGATCCATGAAAAATAAACTTTATCCTAGAGTGAGTTTGTATGTAATATATAAGACTTACTGTCCCCTATAGATCCTTTACTCCCTTTAACTCACCTATTCCCTCACCCTCAAGAAGACACTCTTACGCAATTTTACGAAGTGTGAATACAAATTCCTCACTCACCAGACCAACGTTGTTTTAGTTCTAAGTAAATCAAATTTTTGTTTTTCTTGCGATCGAATTCAATCTTTAAGACTCGAAAACAGACGCCTGGCATGATCAGCTCTTCTTCTTCATTTGGATATTCAGACCATTTACTAAGGTCAGCGACGAAGGCGAATTTCACTCTCATGATAAATAATGTATTGCCAAATTGTTCTGCTTTTTCACGATTACGACTGCATGATGAAAATCCTTGAAATGATCCATATCCATCCTTTTTGTTTACCATTTTTTCGTACATTGTAATATGCTCAGCTTGTAGGTCAGCTCCCCGATATAATTCGACGTTCACTTTCATTTTTGTACTGAATGGATCATCCCATAATAATAAACAGAATGGACCCAATGTTGAAATCTTACTTCGCCAAACTTGATCATTCTCTCGACTTCCAACCAATCGCATAGTTGCATTCAAAGTTTTATACAAGAAACTTTCCAGTGAATAAAGATAAACACAGCGTTGCCATACTTCTTTTATTTCTTTGTTCCTCTTTTCTCGAAGCAAGCTGGCTATTTCTTCAGCTTCTCGTTGCTTTCGAATATTTTTACCTTCCATAATAATACCTTTCGCAGCTTTTTCGACGAGGTCAGGTATGATTTCGGGTTTTGTTGAAGGTAGATCGAAAGGATCAAGTTTTAAGTATCTCCTTATCTCTATAACGAAGGGTGACACGAAGCCATATTGACCACCGAATGATCGCTCAGACGCAATGGGAAGATCCATAAATCGCGCTTCTCGTAAGTGTTTATCGTCTCTCTTACGAATGATTCGTTTGACCGGTCTCTTTTTGTTACTGTCGCTGTTAGATACTTGTACATTGTCCGTGAAATCGATATAATATTCATCTAATTCAGCACGCTGTTGCTTGTTCGAGAATGCTTTTTCAATGATCAAATTTTCTACATCTGAATAGTGGCTCCATTCGGCAGCTTGTTCATCTGACCATGGATTTGAATTCGATTGCCACATCCATTCAACCGTTTTTAATGAATTTGTTGCTGTCAACTTTGCAGATGCCATTAGTTTTCACTTATCAGTGTTCTCTTTGAGGAAAGGTGACTCGATGGCAGTTATTACTGTTATCTATAATATTTAAATTTTGGACTATTGCTGTAAACTGTTACTTTATCAAGTTATTTTTTACAGCTAGTTTTAATTAATCTAAATAAAGTTGGCATCATAATTGAGTAATCCTCGTCTGAATCCACCCCAAAACTTGTGGTGCGTCTGAATGTAGTTGTGTTAGAATCAAAACTTGATGCTCTATCAATTTACGCCAGTTTTAGGGTGAGGGTCGCCGTCCATACAAAAAGTGAAATTTGTTTTCGCCTATTTTTCGTAACTAAAAATTTTGTAATTCTTATTTGGGTTCGCTTGGAAATTGATGTTGAGTTCAAGCGTGGCTGTTTCGGATTCAAATTTTAATTCTCTATTAAATGTTGTGGATGTCGAAGAAATCATCCAGATGGAAAAAATTGTTGGAACAATCCTCGCATCTAGATTTTCGCTTCCCGTAGTGCTCCTTCCAAACCTAAATCATCTGATAAACATTTACATTTCGAATATGGCGCAATCATATTTAGACGCAGCACAAGTTCTCATAGGGATTAGGGCGATAAATACTCGAATATAGTGTCAGTTTTCTGGCGTTTTCAGCCAAACAAAAAGAAAGCTCTTACTTAGAAGGATTCCATATGACAGCTTTAATACAAACTCGTGTAAATCAATGTGACTAGTTACCATTTTATCTTGCACGTATGCGTACGAATATTTTCTTTCCACCATAGATTGAATCTACCTGTGTCGTTTTGTTTGAAACTTTTCGCAATGCATGAAGCCATAGAAACAGAACGAGATCATGATAAAATGAAGAAACGCATGTGCGTTCGGTTACTTGGGAGATAATAAAAAAAACAAAAAAGAGAACAATGCTCTCGCCTGGAAGTTTAATTCGTATAAACGCATTTAAAACATACTAAAAGTAGTTGAAAATAAAGCATTCAACTCCATTAGCACGTTTCAGATTTCATGGTACGTATTGAATAAGACATTTATCTATGAGTGTAAATCATTCATCGTCGACAATTCGATCGCTTATTACAAAGATTCAGCATCTGTGTTGACCTTTAATTCACATGTGAATAGATTTCTCAAAACCTTTATAGAAAAATACAATCCGCCATCGGATAACTTCAAAGTTTTAGACATCGCTATGGGCCAAAAAAGAAATTCCATCTGGCTGGCACAAAAAGGTTATCAAGTAGTGCGATTTGACACTTCGATCGAAGGAATTCAAATCGTCAAATATCAAACTGAACGATTCAATCTAAGTAATTTACAATCGTATGTGGCATCAATCGAAGAGTTTCCTTTTGGTTTGGAACAATGGGATTTGATTTTATGTATGTATTTTCCACTCATAAATCGAACAACCATTGAAGAATGAAGGTCTACTGATTGTAGAGGGTTTTCATTGGGATAGTTTAAGTGGTGAACATCGAATACCGACTGGTGTTACTTATAGAACGAATGTAATTCCATCATTATTTTCGAATCTAACAACGATTGTGTACGAAGAACCCGATGATTATAGTGATTTTGGAGATGAAATGACAAAAGTCATTTGATATGTAGGACAAAAAAACCATTTCTCTGTTTCTCGTGTTAGTTCATAATTATATGACGCTAAGTCAATAAACTCAACACTGCTATTTATTTGCTGCAATTGTACGTTGAATGCGATTATATATACAGCACGTAAAAACTTCCTCAATCTTTATTGCTTTCATTGTTGGCATTTGACCCTGTAGAGAGAGAAGAAACTCGTCGTGAAACGAAGGATTCCCAATGTTGGAAAAGAGAAACAAAATGTTAAAAAACGATAAATTATTTATCGATACGTGTATCGACTCTGATTAATTTACTTTTCTGCTCATTGATCAGCATCATCTGCATTTCAGTACGAACCAATACAACTAACCTTGCTGATGATCATCTTTATTATTCCATATAACTATTGCAATGAATAAAAGAGCAGAAACGAACATCAATCAAAGCAACACAATATAAAGGATGCAAAATAGATAAAGAAGCGTTCATCGAGATACATTTTTTTGTGACTAAGTTTCAATTATAGAACATGACTTTCTCAGTAAATTCTCCCTCGACGACGACGAAATAACTGTTCTCGAAAGAATTTACTGCTCAAAGTAAATATGAAAAATGTTGTAGCGTGACCAAATGCTGAAATAGTTCCAGTCCAAAAATAAAATAAGTTATCTATGGCTACTTGAAGACTACTCTTGCTTTGCTCTGCTGTTAATGTTGTGTACCATTGGCCAACAGCATATATAGTTGTTGCTATTGCAATAAATACACATTGTGCAAGCGCCATCCGAAGAAAATGATTGTCACCGCTCGAACGCTGATTTTCCTCAATCGAATGACTTGCTGTCGGTATAATTCGTCTTTGTCGAACGTGTCGAATTGTCAACAAGGAAAAGATGAGCATCAGCAAAGCTGGACCTGTGCCATATGTGATCACATGCCAGATTCCAAGAAATATATTGTAGGCTTTGTTTCCAATTGAACAGGTTCGTCGCGGTGATGTAAGAATTTCATAGAAAACCAACACATGTGCATATGCAAGTTGAGCAACGAGAAATGTTAATGGAATAACCAGACGGGCGATCTTGTAACTGCTCCATCGGCGAACATTAGCATTGGATGAACTATGTAGAAATCTGCCACGAAATAGAATGGTACTTCTGTCAACAAAAATCTACTCACCGATCAACTGAAGCATGAACAAGAAACCAAACCGATAATGATCTACAAATATGTCAAGTGGGATTAGAAAAGGCAATGTGATGAAATACATTCCCACCTCCATGTATATGTAAAAAAATATTTAAATTTGCAAGCTATCAGTGAATCGAGCATTGGATCGATGTTAAAGCCCATTTGTAGAAGTCGAAGTGGCACGTTAATGACAATATAAACGAGTGTCGTGATAGATGATGATAGAAAATACATGCAACATGGATTTCGTCTTAACTGTGGTCGTGTAAACACATATATATTCAAGAGATTGCAAACAACACCAAGTACGATGATAATCAGGGAACAATACCGCGTCGATATGACAATTATTGAATTGATAGTGTTTATTTCATTTTGAACACTCGCTGAAGTTGTTGTGCTTGATGAAGACATTTTCTGACAAAATAATGATGCAGTTTAACAAGTATCTCCGTCTTTTCATACCGGCGCGCAAAAGAAAAACAGAATGATTTTCATACTCGAGAAAATTAATGACAATAAATTTAACAGCACTTTTTTCTTTTATAAATTAGAAATATTCAAAAGGTGTATTCAATAGGAAAACCAACGGCCAACAAATTTAATGGTACGGTATGACAAATGTGACGTCAACTATTTGTGAAAATAGAACCAAAGTTGCACTTATTCTGAACGATCATCATTGCAATATAACGCTAAGCAAATCTAGGTTCGTCGTTTACGCTAATTTCTTCATCACTTGCCAAAGTAAACACAAAAAAGATCTATGCTACGAAAAGAATAAATATCAGAAGTTATTCTATTCCATCGTTGGCCATTTTGCTCATTGAAGATAACTTTGAAGACACATCCAATGGTGTATATTGAATCCTAGTCGTCTAAGAGTTCGGAGAAAGTAGAGTCAAATCATAGACAGACGATGACATATGGACACCCTCACCCACACCCATAAGATCGTGATATACATGTGCATCGAACAAGAAAATTCCGAAATAAAACAGAGCAGAACCTAATCAAGTGCTAATTTGAAGTGATTCTTCGAACCTATAACAAATGTTTAGCAAATTGTTCAATTCATCTTCGATCATGCAGCAAGCGCAAGATAATATTGAATTGAAGGCTATTGTTTAGACGCGGTTTGTACTTCCGGTGTTATTTGATTATGAATCATTGTTGGTTGTTTGCATTGATTGAAACAGTATAATTTCGATAAGACATAAAGAAATTGTCGACGAAAACGCTCAGATGCACACATGTAAATATAAAATGGACTCTGAAAATCAATAGAAAAATAAGCTTTTCGATTTTGAAACAGAAATGACAACTTACTGCAAAATAAATATAGTAAATAATGATAATTATATTCAAAATCAACTGAAATTGCCGCTGAATACTGGGATCATTCGTGAAACTTGCATTTGTTGCAAGTGCATTTGCAGTTGTATAAGGTAAAAGGGTAAAAACATTGACAATCACTTGAATCAAAACCATGCTTGTCAATTGTTTGTCCAATTCACGGCGAACAATTGGTACAGTTCGATAAGCGATTTGTTGGATTTTACGATAAGACAAATAACCAAATGAAGCTGCTACTAGAACTGGAAGATAACCCACCAACCCAAGAACAAAAAAATATGCACGATAGTTGTTAAACATCAGATTGTCACTTCCACAACTTGTTGTGTTTGTAGATGATTCAATATAATGATAAAAAACAATATATGGAATTCCGTGACATATCCAAAATAAGATAGTGACGATGACGAGACGATGTGCTACTTTGATGTTACTGAATCGTTGCCAACGAGGTTGAGAACAAGTAGCAAAGAATTGATCGACTGTTGCCAAGCAAAAACATGTCAGCGATGCGGCAACACACAATTGACTTAGTAAGATTCGAAATTTACAATAAAACAACGATGAGGTTGTCCCATCTGTTCCAATTAAAGCAATTATTACGCGCGAAAAGAAAAAGCTAAAGCATAGTTGACCAATATTAAACATTGACATCATTATTAGATAGAATGCACAGGCATTCTTACGGAAAGTTTCTAAGGACAAGAAGACAATGAGGTTCAGGGCATTTCCAATGATACCAGTGATACAAACAGGTATTCCACCATAGATAATAATTTGTTTACTTGCCAATGCTAGTGATGCGCCCATTATGAAATGTGAAATAACGAATGAAGACCTTACTGAATTTATATATGTTAAAAAGCATCGTGTAGTTCTTGGATAAGATTGAATAGCTAATCAAGTATTTATCACATGTAGAGCTTTAGAAAATCAGATAGCATTCCATACTTTGAGAACGTTTTATAAGCAGTGTTCTCGAAACTCTTGATGTTGAAACCGGAGTGCAATGTAATTAAGTAACTATCATATGATTCACAAGATTCTCGGGTACTCAAAGTGTCAATTTCACGTCTTATATTTTTCATGCGATTACGAAAATGCTTTCTCTAAAGGAGAAATCCAACGCCGACGGCTTCTGTCAATATTTTCTCTTACGCAAGCTTTTGAAAAATTTGTTCCAACCATTCATATATATATATATATACATGTATGCGAGTCGCACACTTACGTTTCTGAATTTACTGCGTGTTGATTGATACTAAACTGAAATATACACGACTGATAATATGTCTTTAGAATTAATTCCTGATGAGATACTTTTACTCATATTCTCTTATCTTCATCAATTTCATCTAATTTACGCATTCAGTAAACTGAATCAGCGATTCCGACGACTCATCGATCCTCATCTACAAGACATTGATTTATCACAAGATCGCGTAGTCAGCTATCCATTATTTCGTTTATGGTGTAAACATATCCTTCCGTCCCATTGCCGAAAGGTTCGAACGCTTAGACTAGCTGGCTTCCATCAAGTGCAACTCTTTTCGCGATACATTCGTCACTTAACCAACTTGCAAGTCTTAGAGATCACTGATATCGAAGAGGATACATTTCGAAACAAACACGATGACGATCTACATCATGTGCTGGATATCGGTTTCTTCCTGAACGAAGCTCTAACGTTACCGTGTTTACATACTCTATCGATAGATCTCGCAGCAAATAATATACTGAAAACGATTTCTTCGTCATCTGCTGGACATAACTTGACTCATCTTAGTCTGATCTATCCTCGTCCCAAAGGTTTATCATGTTCTGTTGGATATATATCACAAATGGACAACATTCAATATTTTTCGGCAAACTTTGATTCAGTCAACGATCTGAGAATAGTGTTAACTCGGTTGCCCAACTTGCGAGAGTTAAAAGCATCGCTAGTAAATTTTGATGATCCAGAAGTTGCAACTCGAATAAAAGTGCCCGGTACATTAGAAACCCTCTGGCTCGAATTCGGCTGTTTCCACTGCTGTACAAATTTCAAGTCGCTCAAAATGCTTCTGGATGTCTTCAAAACTCAAATTCATTCGTTGACTTTGATTTCTGTCAACGTGGACGAAGATCTTTCCCAATATAGGAAATTTCATAAGCTCGTAGCCGATTTCACTTGTCTCGAAACATTTCGATATCATATTCGCACTCTACATCACTCTGACTCACTGAAACGTTTTACACACATACAAGAAGAACCGGATGGTAGCTACTCATTTTATACATTTCCACCTCTTAGAAGATTCGACATTGGATCAGAGGCAACACGAGGAGGACAATATATAGACGACAGTCTCACCTCGTCAGAGCTATTCTTCTGCAACAGATTATGGACTTTAGGCGAGAAAGTACCTTCAACATTCAAGCTCACAAACAATGCAACACTGGCTCACGTACAAAAGATAGAGATAGGTGCAATTTTTGGAAATGATAGGAACACTTTGTGTGAGTATTTGTCGCAGGTGATATCTCTCTCGCCCAACTTAAAATGGTTGTATATGGATGTAGGAAAGGATACAAAAGTCTTTATTGATGGCATTCGCAAACTCTTTCGAAATGGAGTGAATAAGGGCATTACTCGCTTGGATCTAAGCTTAGACAGGAATAAAAATACTCAAGATCATCATCCGACTTTTTGGAATGAGCTAGCAGAAACTGTACCTCGTTTAACAACACTCAAATTAAATATTAAGTATACACGTCGACGTGAGGACTATTCGCTCATGACCGAAATAATTAATGACTCGAAAAGAAGCTTTTGCAAATTGACTCGTCTGCTCCTCGGATTTTACTCGAGACCGAACACGAACACGTTAGGTATGTCAGAATATTGCCAGAAGTACATCGATGAAATGCAGAAACCCCATTACAATTCGTTCAGTTTCACATTGAATTACGATAATGAACAAGGCCATTGTGTTCACGTTTGGTTATGAATGCCGTACTATGGTCGTATTTGGGGTTATAGACTAAGAAACTCGTCGTGAAACATTCTATCAAATGATTGATAGTCTCGAAAAAAAACGAACTTTTGCTTTTCAAATGAGCTTTAACAGCGACTAAAAAAATGTTTAATATTTCTGTAATTCATTCTATAATTTTATCTTTATTAGCCAGTAGCACGGATTATTTGAAGAGCATCCGTCTAGATAGATGGATGAAGAAGAAGAAACGAACCGAAACAAATCGTAATCGTGTTCAAGTTTGGTAAGAAGGAGATATACTTCCCAGGTGTAATACAATTGGTGAACTGACTTTACCCAAATCTGTCTTTACTATCAGTACCAATGAAATTTTCATCAATCATGTTGATACTACTAATCGAGTCATTAGGTGAGCTTTAAATTCTAATAATAGTGCTACAGTAATCAGTATTAGCGGCATCTTTTGTGGTCTCTTTATTGTTCGATCGAAGTGAACCATACCATAAGTGTACAATCATTCGCAACGACAGTGTAAGTCTTCTATTTACTTGCGCAGTTACTGACTTTTCTGGTTCTGTATCATATATTTCACAGACTGTGAGGGATTTTTGTTTATGTTGTATCCAATATTTGTGTAGCGGACTGATACAATGATGGAACACAATGTGAACATTATATTTATCCTTGCCAGAACAAAGGTGTTTGTAATGAAACATAAACGACCACATTAGTTTGTTTCCCATATAAAGCAAGATGGACAGGTACTCATTGTGAAAACAACACATGTTTGAATAATGGCTTCTACCAACTATTATTACTTAACTATTCATGCTAAAGTCTTGATGCAATTTATTGTGGATGCCATTGTTCTCCAGAGAGTTTCGAAATTGTTGTCTTTGATTTCCATTATAGTGATGTTAAGTATTGAACTGTTTATTGTTTTTGCATTTATCCAGTCAGTTCAAAAGATAGGAAAAAGACATAAACCCATCACCATCATTCACCTTATTTATGTCAATACGCTATCCGCCAGATCGTTAAGCAATAATTAGACTCGAAAATATTCACACCAATATCTAACATGACATTCGAAGTAACATGAAACAATTCCAGTGAAATAATCACCAATGCAATTATTTGTTTTCTGATGCACTTGTTGATACTCATCTGTGAACTAATACTCTCGAGATGGATAATCAACCACAAACACTAAATGCTGTATTCCAAAACAATTCAGCAGCGCGTACTAACATTCGTAAGCTGAGTTCTTTTTTATACGGAATCGTATCGGCAATGCCGGAATAGATCTTGCTCCTATTATTGAGTATGCTAAGGAACCATTATTGCCTTTGGGACAAGCATGCATTCTATTGTTTCATATTATTGAAAAATTGTCGCTCTATGTTTAAACGGCGCTGAATGAAACTCTGTCGAATTCACCTTATGAACTTACAGATGATGAAAGCCCAGCAATTCGTCTCTACACTATACTTAACCATACACTTATGGCAGATGATCGCATCAAACTACAACTTTTTTTCAGGTACTTGAAACTATTCTTAACTGCACTGGCTAAATTGCCATGTTCTCCACCCTCGATCATATGGAGAGGCATCACGAAAGACGTCATGCAGACTTTCCACCAGGTACTTATATGGAAATTCAATCACAATTGAACCCGGCGCCTGATCTTTATATCATTCATCTAAAGCAGGTCATGCTAAAGAAAACTCTTCTTGAACCTCCCTTCGAATGTACTTGACATTCTGTTTTTGTAATTAACTAGTTCCATGACATTTAGGCGCTGATCTATATCCACAAGTTATGGGTGAGTCTTAGTTGGACAGTACATCGATAGAACTTGGATTACATCAATTTAGATATGCTTGCTATGGAAAAAAAGAGATACCTTCTACTGATGTTCTTGATAATCACTATGCTGTTCACACCAAGCATTCTAGGTGTTTTATTTGGTCTTAAATCCACCAAGAAGACGTCAGGTATGTTCACTCTTTCAACCTCACTTGGAATGTTTTTGCTGTACAGTCCATGTGCAAGGATTTCTCTCAAGATACTTGAAGTTTTAACATTGGATTATCGCCAGTTTCCATACCACCAATTACCATGGCAATAGTGTAAGTATATTGCTGAATAATAAAGGTGGAACTTTCCAGAATCATACAGTGCACCAAACAAAGTACACTCCAAAATCTATCATCTCAGTCGACTTCGATCGAGATAATATAACGGATCTTCTGGTGGTAAATCAAGGTAAAAATACGATTAGCGTGCTTTTTGGTGACAACAACAACAGTAGGTTGTCATCAAATATCATATACAATGTTAGTATGCGATGATTTCAATGCTAATGGAAAGCTGGACAAAGCAGCGATTAGTCAGTCTTCTAATACCATGTACATATTATTGGGTACTGACCATAAAATTGCTCCGCTTGAGAAAGTCTATCCAACACGTAAATGGCCAAGTGCGACGGGAATGGCTGACCTCAATAGCGGCGGAAAAGTAGATCTCGCTGTAATCAACCTGTCAATCTGTATAAGATTTTCGTACATTTCATTTCACTCATGATTCTGCATGAAGTTGAATAAGAATGCATTGGTTCAGGTCTCTTTATTGATTACAACATGTTAAACAAATACATAATGTACAATACGCATCAAAAAGGGGACCACAAGTTACACCACAACATTGTGTGCATTCCGAACAAATTTGACCACAGCAATCACAACAATCCATGTTCTCAGGCGTGTCCGATTTAGTATTTGAGTTGTTTTCTGACGATGACAATGACGTCGTAGGTTTCATTTCGATCTCAAATGGATCAATGGTCGAAGCAGATGGCTGATTTGTTAAATAATACTTCGATGTCGAGTCAGCTTGCATTGTTTATTCTGTTTCTTCATCTGCTGACGAATCGATTCATCTTCCATGTGTTTGTTGAAAAAGGAAAAATAAACTTGAACAGTCAGCATAATCGTCCAGTCGAAAATGTTTTTCTTCTTCTTTCTCTTACGCAGAACAATGTCCTCATGAATCATACGTAGTTCTAAGATAGACATGTCTCAGTAGTCTAATGGGAAGATACACGATTGAAGCTCGTATGATCCAAGTTCGATTCTTGGCTGAGACATTTAATTTTTTGGCTATTTCTCATGATCGCATGAGAGCGAGATGCGCATTACGTCAGGTCATACACATGAGTCATTCAATTTCATTTCAGACAAGACAGCAAAAGCGTGAACAATACAGTCATTCGTTATCTCATACAAACGACTTGCTATATGATCTGTGATGTTATTTATTATGTTAACAAGGTCAACGATTGAAACTGAGACCTGAAACGATTTGTTTGAGAGAACTCGTTGAAATCTAATTGTAAATGGGCAAAGTGACAACTCGGGTCTCTCTTATCGTATGTTCTATACTAGTTGACAGCATTTATCCTTTCTTATTCGTTCTGCTGTTTTGACACGTGCGCGATATAACACATACTAAAGTTCAGAGAAAAGAAAAATGCACTCATACTTTTTTGCCTCATCATCAGTAAGGTGTATCGCGTTCTTCTCAGTCGTATTTCGTAGATCTCTACATACATGTCGTTTTTTGTTTTACCATCGACGTTGCAAACATCAACTTCAGGAACTTATCAACCGACCATTCTCAGTGAGTTCAAAATCGAATCGTCTGAAAATATTTGAAAACTAATCCATTTGAAGGAAGAGTGGAATACGGTCTTGGTTCTCTTTCGAAACTAGCTGACGTTCTGCGTGATCTTTCGATTTCCAAGGCATTTATTATCACGGGTACTTCCTTAGCAACAAAAACCGACGTAATCGAACAAGTGAAGGCTGCTGCTGGATGTCCAATAACAGCTGTTTTCTCATCAATGAAACAGCATGCACCCATTCACGATATCAACAATGCAATCGAGCAATTAAAACAAACTGGCAGTGACGGTATTCTTGCTGTTGGTGGTGGTTCGCCAATTGACGCTGCTAAACTCGTAATTCATTTCTACAAGGAACAAACAGGCATCTTATTGAAATTAATCAGCATTCCAACAACCTTATCAGCTGCAGAATTGACTATCATTGCTGGTTATACTAGTAATTTACTTCATTTTGTCGAAGGAAATTGAATATTTCAATGCTTTTTTGAAAGATGAAGATGGAAATAAGGTAGCGAAGAAAGCTAGTGAAATTGGTTCATCAGCGATAATTCTCGATGCTAACCTATCTTTAAGTACACCCAATCGTTTGTGGCTTTCAAGTAATATAAATGATTGCTTTTCAACCTGAATTTTTGTAAATTTTCATTTTCAGCTGGTATACGAGCTTTGGATCATTGTGTTGAACAACAGTACCGACCCAATGCACCAATCCCTGTCCGAGTTCTCGCTCGAGAAGCAGCTGGTATATTGTTCGAATCTTTACGAGCATGTCATAAGGATGCTAAGGATGTTGAAGCTCGACAACGAGCACTGATTGGCGCTTGGTTGAGTCTTTGGTCGGACGATCGTATAGGTCCTCTAGGTCCTTCACACTCAATTGGTTATCAACTTGGAGCACCGTTAGTTTAACCATAAGAAAATATAATTAAAGACATGTTTTTTAATATTTCTGTTTTATTTAGTTATTCGATTCCACATGGCATTTGTTCGTGTTTAACTCTCGCTGGTACGATAGTAGTTCAGGCGAAGCATTTACCTGAGCAAGAAGTGAAGCAACTCGCTTCACTTTTACCTTTTGTTAATACAAATTCGTCTTCATCCGACGACGATGCACATGAACAAGCTATGAAAGTTGCTGGAGCAGTCAAAGAACTTATTGCAGATTTGAATTTGACATGTACTTTACGAGAGTACAAAGTACCACAATCAGATCTTGACAGTATTGTTGAACGTGCTCTTCCAGACGGAAAATCGGATAAGAGATACCAAGATTTTCTTGAATTTCTTCACACTATCTATTGAAAATGGTTTTTACCGGTTAAACAATAAACTACAGAACTTTAAAATAGCCCGTTCGATCGAGGTGTCGATAATAATAGATCAGCGATACGGCGATCGTTCGTCTCCTTTTCGTTATGTATTCAGTTTATCCTACACAACGTGCTATTGTTTATATACATATTCAGACATAGTAGTCATATGTGACTACAGAACAAGCAAAAAAAATGACTTACAGATTCGAACCTTTCTTTTCTCTTCAGTCATACGATGCAAAAGTATATGCACTTACAATACATTCATTATGTCGAGAGCAGCTTAAACAAAGGACATGATGACGATGCATAAAATGTGAAGAGAAAAGAATCGCAACCGTATGTATATACAAATATATTATAGGTAATCACAAGTGAAGCAGCACTACGTTATTAAAGCCTGTTTATATAATACATCATGGTATCGTTTGCAACACCCTTACAACTTGGACCTCTGCTTTTAAAAAACCGTGTGATTATGTCATCGTTAACTCGTGACAGAAATCGTGTTCCCGGTCCTCTTCAGGTCGAATACTATACTCAACGAACTGGCGCCGGTCTCATTCTCACCGAAGGTACTCTCATCGAACCACTCGGCGCAGAATGGTCCAATGCACGTTAGTATTTACTTCACTCTCGGTTCTATTCGTTTTTTTCTTAAATTCAATTCTATTTGTGCAGCTGGTATCTATTCTGATGAACAAGTAGCTGGCTGGAAGAAAGTGGTGGATAGTGTTCATAATCACAATGGTCGAATCTTTCTTCAGCTGTGGCATATCGGACGCGTGGCTCATCCACTTCTGCAAGACGGTCGGCCGAATGTTGCTCCATCAGCAATCGCTGCTAAGGGTGGAAAGTTTCGACAACTGGAAGGTACTCCTGGTTTTGTAACACCAGTTGCTATTGAAGATCCTGAACATTATGTTGCATTATACAAACGAGCAGCTGAGCGTGCAAAAGAAGCTGGATTTGATGGTGTTGATTTGCATAAGTATGCGACTTTCTCTCGTGTTATCGATTTTCTTCAAGATTGTCTTTCATTAACTCTAGTGCCAACGGTTACTTGCCACATCAGTTCATAGATAATACATCAAATCAACGGACTGATCAGTGGGGTGGTTCAGCCGAGAATCGATGTCGATTTACCTTACGTATTATTGATGAGATTTCAAAAGTTTTTGGAAATGATCGCGTTGGCATCAAGTTATCACCGAGTGGTGGTTATAATGATATGGGGATGACGGAAAAGGATACTATCGAAACATTTGATTATCTCATCAAAGAACTCGTTGCTCGTCGTATTGCTTACATTCAAATAACACGTTATTGGCCTGAACGTGATCCAATGAAGCGTGGCACTGCTGTTGATATATTTCGATGGAGAAATGTGATCAATGGTGAACACACGAAGTTTTTTGCTAACGCAGAATTTAATGCTGAAGATGGTACAAAAGTGTTAAAAGAAGGTTTAGCTGATGCCATCGTATTTGGAAGACTTTACATTGCAAATCCAGATTTGGCTCAACGCTTAATCAACAAAGACGAATTGAATTCGAATTTCAATCCGAAAACGTTCTATGGCGGTAGTGCAGTAGGATATACTGATTATCCAACATATGAACAACAACACAGCACAATAATATGACAATCGAGTTTCTCATTTTGATTAAAAATACTAAAGCGAATGCTTTCAAAACTTCAGTTTAAAGAGAGGTGAAAAGTCATGATGATCATTTTGTTCTTTTCTTTTTTTATTTTAAATATCAATATTCTACTCATTCGTATGATACACTTCACATTTTAATTAACTGAATACGTATTTCATTATGTTGTCTATATACAATTGTGTGAAGGCGACACGGCCTGTCAAACGTGTACATTTCACTCAATATCAACTTTAGATTGATCATGAAGAAGAAACCGAAATTCTGTGAGAAAACTCTGTAGGTTTGTGTCAAGTTTTCCATAAAAATAATATACACTCATCGAAATTCATACAGCAGAGAACTATAAACATTGTGTGAAACTCTGCTAGATGACGACATCGTTGAGATACTTATGGACTCGATGGAGTACATCTCGCTTGATACCAGTAATCGTTGTATTCATCGCTTTCTTTCTGGACAGTATCCTAAGTACCTGTATCGGTAAGCATCTCTATTAACAATCTACTCATCCCTCTTTTTGTACTAACCGGAACACATCTGTGCGCTCTATGTAGCTTCAATTCTGCCCGAGATTCTCTATCGAATGGAACATCAATCTGCTGGATTTTTGTTGAATCAGTCGAAGTCGTTGGGAAATTCTTTCAGCGCTACTCGTCAGCGGTTGTCGTTACAGCTCTTGATCAGCACAACTGCGCAAATGAAGAAAATGAAAGACAGATATATCCAACATGATCTTTTGAAAGTAAAACAGAATTGAATATATAAACAATTTCATATTTGATTGATTTGCATTAATCAATTGGAAAACTTTGGTTTAGGACTCATATATGACTCGAAGTCATTTGCGCAAGTATCTTTATATGAAATTAAAAGAAGGATTAGAGCGTTTTCATATGTTTCATTCTAGTTTTTTTATCAATCCAATTGTTGGTATCGTTACAACACGGTCAGTTCCAATAGGTCTGATTGTATAATTTAATATTCTCGTCCCTTCAGAATAGGATATACATTACCGATGTTTTTCGGTTTTGGTACTATGTTTGTATTGATTTTGAGTACGTAATCCAACTTCCAGCTTTCCCAATATATTTTTTTTTGTTCGTTTGTATTCAACATTTGGATTCACAAGCACTTATTCAGCTGTCTGCATTGCACGGGTGATACAAAGTGTGGGTACTGCATTCTCGGCTGTAGCAGGTAGTGACGTTTTCAATACTCGATACGATATTAATCGATGATTTCAATAGGGATCAGCATGTTGGCTGACCGGTTTTCAGACGATCACGCACGTGGCACAATGCTTGGACATGCTCTCAGTGGTGTCGGTGTAGGTTTAATGGGTACATAAGATTTCGCGAAATAGTTTTTGTTTACTCTAGTTTTATGGTAATGACTAGTGGGACCTATCTTTGGAGGTCTTACTTACTTCTACTTTGGTCAAACCGTTCCTTTTCTTATTCTTGCTAGACTCGCTCTGTTCGATGGCTGTAAGTACTTGCGCATTATTACTGATGGCTTTCACTATTCATTTTGAAATTTAGTACTTCGCCTAAGTATAATTTTGGTAAAATCGAGTCTCAATTCGAAGACAACAACGGACGAGGGACCGATTTGTGGCTCGTCTATTCTAATATTTTTTCAAGATCGTTCCATGCTCATTATTCTGGGTAGATCTCACTTCTCTTTTATGTCAATGATATAGTATCAACCAACTTTTAGGTGCACATATGATCGCGTTGTTTGGTGTGGCAGTTATTCAAACCACTTTGCCTATTTACATGATGACTATTAGTGTGGCGGCAACTCTCATTGAGCAAGGCAAAAGCAATCGTATCTCAGTCGATTATTTTTTTTTATACAAAATTCTTTTCATTTAGGCCTCATCGCTATACATTTGTATCGGAGTTATTGTCAGTTACAATATTTTCGATTGGATTTTGAAATATAAATGAGATGTATTCTCTCAACCTTCAAGATGGTTAGCTGGTCTCATAGGCATGTGTATCACGGGCCTTGCCTTCGTCGCTGTAAGTAGTGTACACGCACAAAGAAACCCCAATTGACCAGATATGATATTGTTAGATACCCCGGTGTTGTTTGTTAATAGCGCTTTCTATACCTTTGCTCTTTAATGGCTTTGGAATCGAAATGATTACATCGGCGATGATGCCGCTGATTGACCAAACTGTGGATCAGAACCAATCCACAGCCGATTATGGCAGCGCTTATGCTCTGATTGAATCCGCCTACTGTCTTTCATTTATACTCGGTATTGTATAAATCCATAATCGTACATTTTATGTCGTCTAATCTTTTTTGTAATGCCAAACTTCCTAGGATCTCCATTTATGGGATACATAGTAAGCATCATTGGTTTTCAATGGATGATCATGGTAGTGGCGTCTATCTATCTGTTTTATGCGCCTCTACTTATATTTCTACGTCAATCTAAACATCCGGCGAACAAATTGTAAGCGAAAACATCAATGACCATGATTCTCTGTCTAATCGAAATAATCCGTTCTGTTTTAGCCTCTTATGGATCATGATCAATCAAGTTTGACAGCTTCGAACCAGAATAGTAATGTTACTCGATAAGATTATGGAAACAATATGTTGTATATGTTAGTATTCTTAATGGATAAATTTGTTCTCACCTATTAACAAAGTTGTTCAAAGTCAATATCTCTGTACCTTTGAATTGATCAGTCCAAAATGACATAATTCTTAGTTCTAAGATAGACACGTCTCAGTAGTCTAATGGGAAGATACACGATTGAAGCTCGTATGATCCAAGTTCGATTCTTGGCTGAGACATTTAATTTTTTGGTTATTTCTACTAATTGCACTAGAGTAAGATGTACATTGCATCAGATCACATACCCTTCAATAATCGAATCACTTTCATGTACATCTATGTGCATTTTTATTGGGTATAAATTATCAGATGAAATCCATTTTTCCAACTTTACACTCGCGCCTCTGTATTCATTTGAAGATGAGTGTGATAATTCAAAGGAATTAATATCTTAACTCATCTGGATGTGACAGTTCATGGTAGTGACAGAACGCAAGAATGCGACAGAAAGAAAGAAAAAACAACTTACAGCTTCTTTCACTACTACAGTAGTCAGTCACACGTGGTATACACTATGACGAAGCATCACGTATGATGACGGTGCATAAACCGTGAAAAGAAAAGAATCGAAACGGTATATATATCGGCAATAGTCAACCACAACTTTCTTCACTTGCTTATATAATACATCATGGCATCGTTTGCGACACCTCTACGACTTGGACCTCTGCTTTTAAAAAATCGCGTCATCATGGCATCGCTAACTCGTGATAGAAATCGTGTTCCCGGTCCTCTTCAGGTCGAATACTATACTCAACGAGCTGGCGCCGGTCTCATTCTCACTGAAGGTACTTTCATCGAACCAATCGGAGCAGAATGGTCCAATGCACGTTAGTATTTACTTCACTTTCAGTTCTATTCATTTTTTTCTTAAATTCAATTCTATTTGTGCAGCTGGTATCTATTCTGATGAACAAGTAGCTGGCTGGAAGAAAGTGGTGGATAGTGTTCATAATCACAATGGTCGAATCTTTCTTCAGCTGTGGCATATCGGACGCGTGGCTCATCCACTTCTGCAAGACGGTCGACCGAATGTTGCTCCATCAGCAATCGCTGCTAAGGGTGGAAAGTTTCGACAACTGGAAGGTACTCCTGGCTATGTGACACCAGTTGCTATTGAAGATCCTGAACATTATGTTGCATTATACAAACGAGCAGCTGAGCGTGCAAAAGAAGCTGGATTCGATGGTGTAGAATTACACGCGTATGAAACCTTTATTCATTAGCTCCTTTTGAAGTCTTTTCCTTTTGAATATTAGTGCCAATGGTTACTTACCACATCAATTCATAGATAATACATCAAATCAACGGACTGATCAATGGGGAGGTTCGGCTGAGAATCGATGTCGTTTTCCGTTACGAATCATTGACGAAATATCTTCTGTCTATGGAAATGATCGTGTTGGGATTAAATTAGGACCGGGTGGTGGTTATAACGATATGGGCATGACAGAGAAGGACACTGTCGAAACTTATGGGTATCTCATAAAAGAACTCAACGCTCGTCGTATTGCTTATATTCAGATAGCACGCTACTGGGCTTTGGGAGATCCCGTTAAGCGTGGAACACCCATTGATATATTTCAATGGCGAGGCTTGATTGATTCGAGTCATACGAAATTTTTTGTAAATACCGAATACAACAGCGAGGATGGTACAAAAGCATTACAAGACGGGTCAGCTGATGCTATTGTGTTTGGAAGATTTTATATTTCAAATCCTGATCTTGCTGAACGGTTAATTAATAATCAGGAATTGAATACGAACTTTAACATGAAGGGATTCTATGGTGGTAGTGCAGAAGGATATACTGATTATCCAACATATGAACAACAACACAAAGCACAATAAAACAGTCACTTGTCAAAAAAAAGGAAGAGATAACTACGTATTTCGAAGTAGAATAATCTTAAGATTATTATTTCATAGAAAATGGAATTTGATATTTTTTTGTGTTGTGATATATTTCATAATGTGCAGCAAATAGACAAATATATAAAGAGAAACCTGACTTTTTCTTTAACAACACTGCTCGAATCAGTGAAATATTTGCAGAATTTATTTATTGTTATCTCTTCTGAGCAACAAGAGCAAATAAAAGTATTTCCAAATACATATTCATGATGGGCTGTTCTGATATTACTGTTTTCATGCATTCAATAAATTCCGACGAGTAGCGCTAGAGCGATGATTTCCGTCGAATTCATTTGTATTCTTGTTGAACTTCTAGTAACTTGAACTGATTCGTCATTCGCACTTAATTGCTTGATGTCCACGGCTTATTTAATGAAATAAAATATTCCAATGTTTTACTTCTGCTTTACTATGTGAGTTTGAAGAAAACAATCCAACACTACGTGTTAAACTATCATATGGGCTATATCATGAATTCATATAGATAAATATATGTGACGCGCGCTTAGATATTTTCTAACCGTTTATTGTAAAAAAACGGTGTTGTGAAGTTAACAGAAGTAATTATAGATGAGATCAACGGGTATTCTCTTGACACAATTGGTGATTAATCTCATTATAACTCATAATATAGGTAAAGGTCTGTTTAATATCCTTTTTTTGTTTGTCATACTTGATCTTGTTTGATATCTGCTCTTGAAATATGAATTATGTCCATACCATGTACGTTTGATACTGAATGAAATTTCGGGATAATCTATGAATGTACGCATATGTATCCGATGATGTCCTTGAAATTGTACTTATTGAGGCGATGATGACTTATTTTGATTGTTATTTTCCAATAGAATCTGTTGATGTGTGTTCTAATATCAATAGTAGTCGGTCGCTGTGGTTGATTACATTTGGAAATGGTTCAGAGAAGCTTTCTGACAGTGTACCCTCCACTTTCAATTTCAAAACGACATACGAACAAACGAGAAACGTCAAAAATATAGATGTTGGGCAGTTTATTTTGATAAATACAGTACCGAGCGCTTCCTATACTAGTTGGCATGTTGGAGCGAAGGACCATACATTAAATGATAGTAACGGGTACATGATGGTAGTCAATGTGGCTTCCTCTGGACCCACCAAGCTACTTGAGATCACTGTGGATCACCTCTGTATGGGATTGCAATACGAATTTTCCGCTTATTTGGCAAATGTAAATAAGCAGGGAGCAAAACAAGAGAGGCCAAATGTTTGGTTCGAAGCACATGCAGCAACAGCCAATCAGACAATACTTAATAAATCATCGACTGGCGATTTGCCTGAACTGGCGAATTTTACGTGGTCAAAACACACACTTCTGTTTAAAACGAATACCAGTTCAGTGATTTTGTCAATGATTCCATATGATCATGGTAGTGATGGGAGGAACCTAGCTATTGATGACATAGAATTACGCGTTTGTTCAAATATATCATCCGAATTTGTTCCATTAGGTGAGTGGCGTTTTTTTAATCTTTCATATCTTTGAATATGTAGAAGAAAAAAGAAGCACAAAGATTACAGTCATTTCGGGAGTATTTTAATGTTCCTATTCATTTACTGACAAATACATATTTCCGTATGTTAACATAGAAAAAGAGCTAACTACAACAGAACGTCAAGCATCGTCTACGACAACACAACAGACAAGGACATCTCAACATGATACAACAATAAATAGCCGTACGTAAATTTTTACTGATACGTATAATATTCACTGTTTACACCTTTGCAGAAGAAAGTTCAACAATTACCATATCGACAGAGGCGTCAACTACGCAAGGTATGCGATTAGGAAAATATTATAATAAATTAACCGTCATTTTTTTAAAGGTATAGTCTTTCATTTTAAATACAACTTCGATCGTTCAGTCGACCGATAACTATCTATTTTTTTTTCAAAAGCGCCGATTTCAACAACGCCCCCAACAACAATGACTCCAGGTTAGTTAACCGACAGTGTATATCTGAATTATCAATTCATTATTTACTTGAGGAAAAGATTCCAAATCAATATTTGTTCCTGAGCACTGTGGTGATCTGTCGCATATCGGATCGAATTGCGATAAACAGAATAGTCCATGTGACATGAGAGAGCCATGTCAAAATAACAGTACATGTGTGAACAATAACACCGCACTGCATGGATACATTTGTTTATGCCCACCTAATATTACTGGTGTGCATTGTGAACATGATCATCGATTCTGTATGTCGCATATTTGTCTAAATAATGGTAAATACTTTGCAATATAAAAATATGGTAGAACTATACTCTATTTTCTCGTTCATAGGTGTGTGCAATGAAACATCACGGACATGTGTGTGTTCCGATGGGTGGAGAGGTGCACATTGTGAATGGCTAATCAATCTTTGCGAAAAAGATAGAATAACATGTTCGAAGAATGGTGTTTGCCGACCATTGCTAGTTAATTACACATGCGAATGTTTCAGTAGTTATTCTGGTCGACATTGTGAACTCATGGTAACGAAAATTCGTATTTTAAAAATTGTTAGCAAATCAGTTTCATTCGTTGCCATTCTTATTCTTGTAATTTTCATTCTGTTTATCATTATCATGGATGTCTTGAAATATTGTTTTGGTATGGATCTAACGCGTGAAGAATTACAACGGTATCGACGTGAAAAACAAGCAAGAAAACAAAAGCGGCCCGTTGTTCAACGATTTACTTATGTGGACAAACCGACAGCGATGAAAGACACATCAGTTTAATCTACAAATATCGATGGAAAAGACTGTACGAGAAGATGAGCGAGGACATTACAGATATTGAGACATCTGACTAGATTCATACACTGCTTTGTTTGTTATTTACCGAACAATAAGAATCTTATCAATTCGCTTTTATGCTACCCTCTAATTTCTTTATTCAGTAATTTGAAAAGCCATGCGCATGTTTTTTCTCAATCAATCTTCCCACACAATTCTTCACAGTATAAAGCATCGTTGTTCGTTCAAATACTACGACATAACGTTAATTGTCGAGGATTGCTTTGTAGTGCATTGAAACAACTGTCACCACCAATACTGGGTGCGTCAACAAAAGGTCCTGCTATGTTACACGTGATATTGAATCCGTAACATTGATACGTATCTGCTGTTGTGATACAACAGTTGTCTGATATTGTATTTCGATAGTTTTTCCCGATGAATAGGGAACTAATACAATCTAAAATAGCGTTTGTTGCTAAAGTGTAACCAGCTGCACAATTGCCTGCTGATCCATCGAGGTGATAGCAGTTGTTATTCCATGAAACTTCATAACTTTGACAAGTAGCAACCATCGGTGTTGTTGTTGTACATACTGAGTCAACGAGAAGTTTTATTACGAATTCTCGAAAATAAAGACAACTCACGCGTTGCCGCAGTTATGCTGCAGGTGCTTGCTGATGGTATATAACGTGAATCGACGGTTGTGGTAGCTAGAAAGATTAGTTTTCAGATTTGACCGGTCGAATATGAAGTGGAGAAGTGCTCAGGTCTCTTTCTCACGCAATTTTATACGCTTTACTGACGTTTAAGTAAACACTTTCGAATTTATAACTATAAAAATGTTAGGAAGGGTTTTTCACAGCTTGCATATATCTGCAAAATCGAACTAAAACTGTTACGCTCATTGTTCAGTTTGATACGTACTGGTTGTAGTAGTTGAAGATGTGGTCGTCGATGTTGTTATTGGTTCTGTTTATACAAAAAAAATTAATAAATTTGAAAATGATCGAATAATCTTATATTTAAGAGGCAAATAATGACAGTAACTTTTCAAATCTATATACTAATATATGTTAATCATTGTTTTCTTATTTCGTCTTTCACAACTCAACTTACGCATGATATACCCATTTCCGTTCGTATATATACAAAAAAGAAGTGTGTGAATGATATCCTTCACAAATAGAAGAATTATAAACACAGACCTACTCATTTTTAACATAGTCAAGCACCAAATCTAAATGGGCTGAACTGCACGAGATCGAGTCCAACTCAGATCCTGTAGATCAGTTAAAAATAATCGAGAATAGCAAATCACCCTTTGTCCACTGATATTCTCTGCTATGAAGAATCAAGCCGTGTGAAAAACTTTTGTTTCATTTACGTCAAATTTATTATGTTCTTACTTACCAGGCGGTGCTCGTGTTCCATATATCACTATCATCGTAGTAGTTTCTACAGTAACCTTCAAACTTTTGTTTTGGTTTATTGAATTATCAAATAATTGACAACTCGAATTCATCTGACGAAAACTAGCAGCCTTGCATTGAGCTTGTCCTAAACAATTCATTTGGCATTGACGAATATTCGAGACAGTAACAATAGCATATGGTGAACAAGTTGTTGTAGCACATCGAAACTGCGACTGATTTACAATAGACATTCGAAAGGATCTTACATACTGTGCCACTGATTGTTGAAGAATAGTAAGTAAAAGTATTTTTATCCACGTCATAACTAATAGACGACAGTCTGGTTGATGGAATCGTTTCTATTTATTCTTCTTTTATATAAATTATTCGATATATACCTTTTTTTACTCGATGGTCACATGAAACAAAATATAATAGTACTTTTCCTCTCAAATACTTTGAAAGAATTCAACTATGAAAAAAAAATTGTTTCTTAATTCTAATTATAAAAACAAAAAAACTAAGTTGCCTGCTATTCCATATAAATTCTGTTGAATCGAGCACAAGTAAAGGACACTCCTTTTGAGAAAAACCTAGTTAAGAAGTCTCAGGTATTATGCAATGTCTAAATTATGTATTGTCATATAGTATTGGTGGAATGAAATAATGAGAAAATGTTTTCTCTGGTTCATATTATAAAATAATCAATATGAGAACCATTACTATTACAATTGAAATTACTCGCTTGAATACAAAGGAAACAATTCCTTTGATGCTCATGACTTTGTTCAAATGTCTAAAAGGGAAATCGATATGAGACAAAAGCTTCAACATATGACTATTACTTTTATATTCATCACTGTTTGCTGTTGTGAATTATATTATCGATGATATAGTTTCACATGAAAAGAAAAAAACAAACTGTTTTCTGTCTTGAACAAAGACATTAGTAGGATGATATTTGATTTTTCGAAGAACAATGCAAGCTTGATAAGAAAACAAAAAATATTTTTGAAATCAATCGTCCACGCCATGCACTTATCTCAACGGTTGAAGTCAAATTATGAAGAGCGCAGTTAAACATATCATGCTTTCATTCGTTGACTGTATTTGAAAAAAAAAATTGCTTATAACTCTTTGCGAACGAGTTTTACGGCCGGATATTCATATGAGTACAAATATATATTCTGATGATTCTTGAAGGTGAGTATGGCTTTTGGATATAGATCATTTTTGTTTGTGCAAATAAATTCAAACGGAAGCTCTACATTATTTTGTGCATTACCAATGTGAGTAAATAATCGAGAGTGACGCACATGTTTATGCCAATGAAATCATGATAAAGAGTACTGTCTTCGCCCTACTTGACGAAGAAAAAATATTTTTTCAACAGTGTCGTATTACTTCTCTACCAAGAAAATCTCGTTTTTTCTCTTTCTCTCAATCAGTAACCTTCGACATTGACAAAGCCTTGTGACGCACAAAAGAAGAAAAACAGAGTAATGTGCACAACGAATGAAAAAAAATCTATATAAATAAGAAAGCAAATATCGCAGTAGATAGATATGACATTTGACGGGCGTCATTTCATATTTACCTATAGAAATACAAGAGCTTGTTTGGGTTGAATACTCTATTTTACAAAAAAAGTGACCTATTAATAATGCTTTTTTTCCTCTAAGATTAGCATTTGACTAGAGACAATGGGTTCTAATCACAGTGTTCAAATTAACATTCATCTCGATCGCGCAAATTCATTCTATTTCGCCGGTGAAACAGTTTCCGGAACAATCAATGTTCGTATCAGTGCAGGACAAATCAAACTTGATGAAATTCTTCTACTATTAGCAGGTGAAAGTGGTTATACAACAACTCATACCGTAACTGACTCGAATGGTTCGACATCGGTAGTAATCAATTATCTTACAAAGTCATTTTTGAAAACAACAACTATCATAGAAAGTCCTTCTTCAGAGCAAAAAAAATTGATCTATAATCCAGGAAGCTATTCATGGCATTTTGATATTCCGCTGCCTTCGCAATTGCCACCTTCACTTAATCAACCTCAAAGTTATCCTCATGTTCGATATTACTTGAAGTTAGTGATGGATAAACCATGGTACAAGCGAAATGCTACCGAAATTCTCTATTTGACAGTATTTCCACGCATGGATCTATTACACGATGCGCACCTGCTTACTCCAACTTTATTTAGCAATCATAATCGAAATGACGTCACTCTCAAAGGAACCATACACAAACTTGCTTATCTACCAGGTGAGATAATTACGGGAACACTAGAAATCATCAATCCTCGACGAAGTGTATTGAAACAGATCAAATTATTATTAATTCAACATTACAAAATTGAATGTAACACGAAGCAAGAAAAATTAGTCGACATCATTCTACCAATAGTAGATCACCGAAATGATGAGTATATCATGGACAAGTTCTCCTTGACTGTACCATCCATTCCATTACCTCCATCTTATGATTTCCATGATGGTTACGATCACAAAACACATGTTAATATTCATTACAATCTTGAATTTCAAGTGAAAATCGAAGGAATGTTTACTAATTTTGATATTCCAGTACCGATTACAATAGCAAGCATATCTGACATGAATTCGAATAACTACGAACCACATCAAAATATCAACTTTTCACAAAATTCATTATCGTATTATCCTGAAATAGACATTGACGATAAGACAAATCCTCCACCAAGCTATAATTCTATCGCATTCCATGATTAATCTCATAAACTCGTTAAATACGTAAGACTAAAAGATGAGTAAACTAACAGAACAAAGCAAACATCTCATATCGCTAAAATAACTAACTCCAATGCTCCAAGGCAGACCAACGGTATATGCAGCATACATGATGATCGATGGCAGATCTAATACCCGACAAATAGCTGAGATTGGTAATGATTGTATTGCCAATTTTCTCTAATTTCTTCAGTCTACTCTATAGTGAACTTGATAGCGATACGGTATAGAACATGGGTAAGAAGTAATTAGACTGAATATAACAATGACTACTACAGGCATAACATAATGAATTATACTATCCGATAAAGAAATGGTTCGATTTGTTGAGATGCATCCGTACCGATTACACAATCTATAGATGTACTCGAAGCCAGCACGAGAGGAATGTGGTGTAAAGACGAATGCAGCAAAATAGAAGAATCTACCAATCAATGCAGGATAATTCGTTTTCCTCTGCTTGCGAATATATTCGAATGGAAAATAAGAATATCTCGTTCAATCGATGTCCAGGCCATCAAGACAAAGATTGATATAAAACAAACTGAACTTACATACAACCATATCAAACAGATTGTGTACGATTTCGAGAGAGTACTTCCTTTAAAGTAGAGACAGGTGCACCATGCAGTATCATACAGTTAATTCTTAAATAAACTTGCCAGGGCATGATTTCTAATAAAAATTTAATGTTCTTTTTTCGTCGTTCAACAAGAAATAATTGACATAGTCATGTGCTGCTCAAAATAATCTCTTGCCATCGTTTCTCAATGATATGACGCAAAGAGAATATGTTCAGCAAAAAAGTAGCTAAAGGCGATTGTGGCCTTTCTCTAAGTGTATTTCGACAATTATTATTTGAGCAAATTCAAACTATTTGACATGATTGAGAAAATATCTCAGAAACAACGATCAATATTAGTTGAACAGAATGACTAAAGCATAATTCATAGATCTGTTTTCTCACGTCATTCACCATCTCGATTGAGTAACTTTTACTCACTCAATGATTTTGAAACGTTTGTCTTGCGTAATGACAAATCCATGTGTATATAGCAATGATAGCGATTGACTTTGTCTCATTATTCGACAAATCACTTTACATATGGATATCATGGAAGGAAATAATTCTGATACGTTTTATATCAACGCTACTCGACATCTAGTTCACATACAAGATGGAAGACATGCTGAATGGGTGTTATTTCGTCAAGGTTCACTTTTCATCCAAAACATACTCAACAACGAAGAAACGCCATTGATTGAATTAGTCAACGAAGCAAAGCAAGGTATTGGCTAAAGTTGTGATTAAAACTGGAATTGTTTATAAGTTCGGTTATGAAGATAAGACGAATTATTATATTAGTCTATACTCATTTCCTGGAGTAGTATTAGTTCATCCATCGCAGCAAATTACAGATGTTAGTCAGGCAATTATTTCCGAACGATTAAATATTTTAAATAATCAAGAGAATCCAGCCGTTATTGCAATTGGCAACACAAAAAAAAGATATTGAGTTGATAATCTCACTTTTTGTTTGTAATTATACAGAAGATCGAGGAAAAAAGTAACTCAATATTCGAGTATCTTGATTCAACATCGTTTTTCATATTCAAATAACAAAAATATTTGCTAACATGGATCTTATAAAAGCTTTAAAAATATATGCGATCGAGTAGAATATATTTCGATAATCAACTCTATACGACGACTTTACCCCAGAATTCAAAATGCGTCTGTTTATTGTTCTCATGCTGCTCTACTTTATCTTAATGTTCCAAAATACGAACGGTAATGGCTGTTGTACTTGTACTTGCTGCCGTGGTCAAGGCTGTGTACCCAAACAAAAACCGTCTTTTAACGTTGACGGTTGTGATTCAGTTGGCAAATGTAATACTGAATGTTGTCAACGTTATACACAAAATTGTTTTCCATTACCAGGACCAGGCTATATCGATTCAGTTTGTAACAGTTCGACAGTTTGTACTTAGAGAACATAAACAAATTTCATTTGAAACTACAGCCAAGGAGACTGGCATCAACATATTATATCCAATCTAAGATGGAGAATTTAATGTACGAAACTTTTATTGAAATAAAACAGACGCAAGTAAAACATGTTGAAACTGTCTTATACGAAAAAATAATTTCGATAAGCCAATTTGCTTCTAAAACAAAAATAAATACATAGTGGCAATCTGGGCTAATACGCTCAGAGTCGAAAGAACATCTACGTGAGAACTTAAAACAACCGATTTTCCCATTAAAAATCTCTGTTCGATCTAAACATGCTGGCGGATGATCACGACGGCATTTCAAGTGTGTACAACAAGTTAAACTATCGCAAACTGCGATAGCTGCACGAATGATAATTTCCATGAATGACCTCATATAATGATGAATAGTTCTCGAGAGAATAGTACAGTTCATATTGACACATCACATAAAGACAGGGATGTCCGATGAATTACAACGTGAAAATTGAACGATAATTCACCCAAACAATAGGATGAGATTTGTCTAGAGAGACCTACGTGTTCCATGTTAGATGCAAGTCGAAAGCAATTGTACGTCATGCTCATTCGGCCGTTATATATACCTTCACTTACTTCGTTGGCTGTAAAATACAGGTTGAGGGTGAGGTAACGTAGTGATGCAGCGAGAAAAAAATAAAACAGAAGAAATTTCTTACGAAAAATATTTTTTCGAAGGAATAGAATGGGTGAAATGAGTGGTATTTACTGTTGCAGGTAAACAGAACTGTGCGACGCTGGACGAACAATTTTGCAGTAAAAATGTGCATTTTATCGATCCATCATATCATGTTTTGGCATATAACCGACTGAGTATCGTCAATTATACACTCTTAGAAGTATATTTATTTTCTTTTGTTGCCGTATACAAAATAAATCGTGTGGATGTCGATATGAGTAATATTGTTTTTAAAATGGTTTTCATTGCTTTACAGTAGTCAAGAGAATTATTGATAGAAATCGATAATATATAAAGAAATATGTCCGTTTGCTATGCATTCAGTGTCTGTAATGTCTATAACACCATCAAACTTTTGAAGATGTATCCCTTTGGCCAAAGGAGAATGACCATATATGTTATTTCGAGAGAAAAAGAATCCTACGCTTGACACAGACAATTTATGAAACTGATGAATAGAATAAAGCATTTCAATAACTAAGTTAAGTGAAAGCGAGAATGAAGTTGCGAACGAATTTCAATGAACGAAGAAAACTAAATAAATTTGCTCCAGAAATTAGTTAGACGATTCTTTTGTACGAAACGATACAAGTGGAATTGTGGTTGTGTGTTGTGACATTTCTGAAAATAAAATGACCACAAATGAAATAATGTGAAACATACTGATATATCCATATGTTCTACAGTGTTTCAATCCATTATCCCTTCGAAGTGATTGGTTCTAAAGTGTCACCAGATACCTCTACTATGTTGAGCAGTAAGAACGATCAAGATTGAAAGAAATTCCGTGTGTGATGTCAAACATACCTTAGTTCTGAATGCGCCATTACAAACACCTATAATGCACCACCTTCTCTTCGTACGTACCTTGGAAAATGCCAATTTGCTTTGAGTGCTTTACTATGCCATTAAAGATTAAAAACAAGAATCAATGCTGAATCCATGATTTTAAACATAAAAGAACAACATTATTCTCTTCTCACGCTATCTTGGAAAATGCCAGCTTACCTTTTGTGTACATTGTTATATAAATATGAAACAAAACGTCATTTTCAGTGGAAGTCTATTGTACAGGCAAGTGTTCTAATGGCAACAAATGATGAAGAAGGAGAATGTCGCAGTTACGAACATATCTCTCAAAATGATGAAAATCAAAGTAGAATTTATGGAAATAAAGAAAACATTACATTAATATGGTTCGATAAAAGAATTCAAATCAATTCACCGGATATTCAATTGACAAAAGTTAAGTTTAGAGAAATTAATGATTATACTATATTATTCACTGATATGAACGAGTGTACGCAATACATCGAATCAATCAAAACAGAAAAAGTCTTGTTGATCGTGTCGGGAGTTGATGCACACGATCTGCTATCAAAAGTACACAATCTCCGTCAAATCGACAGCGTCTTTATATTTTGTATGAACAAAGCAAAATATGAGAGCATATTGATGGAAAATGAGGATTATTCGAAAATTGTTGGTATTTTTAGTGAGCAGAGTGATTTAATCAAAAATATCGAACATCATATTCATTTGGTAGGAAAACAAATGGACATTTTTAGTTTATACACACAAAATCAGAAGGCAGCGAGAAATTTAACCAAAGAATCTGCATCCTTTATCTGGCATCAACTATTGAAATCAATCCTGCAGAAAATGCCGAGTGGGGAACATAGTGCGAAACGAGAAATGCTCGACAAATGTCGTCTGTATTATCGTGGGAACAAAAAAGAGTTAAGAAATATCGAAAAATTTGATAAAACATATTCGAAGCGCGAAGCAATCAAATGGTATACAAAAGATAGTTTTATATTTAAATTAATCAACAAGGCCTTACGAACAGAAGATGTTGAAGCTCTGTATACCTTTCGTTTTTATCTTATTGATTTATGTTCGCAATTAGAAGACAATCATCGACTTGTACTGGAATTTTACGACACATTATTGCTCTATCGAGGAGCAAAACATACAGAAGTTGAAATTCAACGTTTGAAAGATAGTATTGGTCATTTAATACTAACAAATGGATTTCTCTCAACGAGTAAAAGCGTGCGAGTAGCTGAAATTTATGCAGGAATTGAAGAAAATTTTGACAGGAATGAGTTCGAGTCGATCATTTATGAAATTAATTATAAAACAAGTGAAAATCCGGAAACCATACTAGGTGACATTTCAGGTGAAAGTGAATTCTCCGAAGAGGAATATCTATTTGACCTTGGAACAGTCTTTCAAGTAGAAAACGTGATCTTCGATGAAAAAAGAAGGTGTTGGATATGTCAAATGAGTCCGTCTAACAAAGGTTCAGAAATTGCTAAAGAATATGTTGAATTTCAGAGAAATGAAATGAACAACAAAAAAACGAATATCTTCGTTTTATTTGGAAATTTACTTTATGATATGGGAGAATATATCAAATCTCGAAATTATTTTCAGAACTTGTTATCCCAATCATCTATATTTGACTCATCTAGTCTGATTGATATTTATCAGGGACTAGCACATGCCTTAATTGGAACTACTCAATTCGATCTATCACAGAAGTATTTGCAAGATGCTTATGATTTATGCGTAACCATTGAACCTTTCTCGGGAAAATGTGCGCAGATATTGGGCTACATGGGTTATATCAATGTTTGTCAAGGCAAGTTTGATATTGCTTTAGATTTTTATTTCAAAGGATTACAAACAATTGAACTCAATGCTCAAAACAGAAAACATATTTTTTATCTCTTTAACAAAATTGGTCTAGCATACTATAGTAAAGGACAAGATGATCTATCTCTTGAATATCTAAACAAATCGTTTGAATATCTTGAAAATCTAGTACCTGAGGATCATCCTGATACTGGTGAATATTACAATAATATGTGTATGGTTCATTACCATAAGGGATCGTATGACCTTGCATTATTTTATCAAAGAAAAGCGTATGAAAGTAGTCAAAGACTTTATCCGGCTGATAATCACATGTATCTTAGTGTTGATTTGAACAACATTGGCAAATGTTATTATAAAAAATGTGAATATAAACAAGCTATAGAATGCTTTGAGAAAAGCTTGCATATAGCTAGAAGAGTACTACAAGAAAGTGACAATTACATGGATATGGGTATATCAATAAGTAATATCGGTAAATGTTTCTATCGGCAAAAGAACTACTCGGAAGCTTTGAAACAGTATGAAATCACGTTTGCACTCTTGACAAAAGACAATTTACACGATCATATAGATATGGCTTATACACTAAAAAATATTGGAGAAGTTTATTTGGATTTGTTGAATTTTGATCTAGCATTGAGTTATTTCAAACGTGCGCTATTTCTATATGAGAAAGCATTTCATGGCGGACAACATCGGGATATTGCGAAATGTTTAAATCTTATTGGACAAGTTTATTATTATGAAAATACTGACAATGATGATGAAACATGCTTGAACTATTATAACAAAGCATTAAGTATATGGCAGAATGTTTTACCAAATACTCACCCAGATTTAGCATTATGTTATAAAAATATCACACTGTTTTATCTGAATAGAAAATCTGATACAATTCAAGCAGAAAAATATTTTCAAATCGCATACATGATTTCGATGTTCACATTAACAAACGATCATCCCTTTGTCATTGAAATGTGCAACATTAAACAAATTATCGTGAAATATCAGAAGAAAACGAGTATCAAGATGCAGATTGATACCTCGAAATTAATTTTATTTTTACTGATATATACTGTTGGATTTTGCTTTTTCCTTTAAATGAGAGTTACTAATAGAAAAAAAAAACAAGTTCCTTACCAATGATTGCTACAGATTTTCGATCATTAGCTCCTTCGAACGAAAGGAAACTGGTACAAAACTCCGGGAACATACTACTTGCTTGTTTGTACCAGGTCAAACATAAAAAAACATATCTCTCAACTTCATGAAGTCTTGTTTCAAGTGTAACACAGTAGCTATCGAACATAGTTTCATAACTTAAAAAATTGAATGTATGAATATAAACTTGCTGCAGAACGAAAATTCCTTACTTCTATTTCTAGAGTTTAAGTGCTTCAACACAACAATATTCAATATCGTCTTATCAGTGTTTTATGTAACCACTTCAATTATGGTCATATTTGAAGAGAAAAAACTCAATGATTCAGCACGTTTCATAGTCGTAAACATTTTCTCTAGGTATTGTATTGTTTCGCTTGTACTATTCACGATAATTTTTGATAACAGTAACATGCTGTAACGTCAACTGTCCTGTTTTTACTGTAATCGATATTTAGTATGAATTGATTGTCAATCTAATGGTTTTTCTGTCTTCTGTTTTGAGATTTTTATCAGAAATAGACGATAGACCCGTGTTTGACATGCGTCTTATTTCTTCTGCAGACAATGTCATCTGTACTTAATTTATTGTTATATATATATATAGTTAAAAATCTTCTTATCTTCCTTTGGTCAACAAATAATAGTGAAACGAGAAAAGTTTCAAATACGACACATACTTTGCTCGTAAAACCAAATATTTCGGTAAAAATATATTAGTTATTGGTATTTTTTGTGCGTCTTTCCTATTCATCGACTTGATCATTGAATAAACTTGTCGGGGAAAATTCCCAGTCGCATCTGCGCGACAAAGTTATATAGAATGGGAAAAAAGTATTTCCATGGAATCAGTCTGTGTTCAGTGAATACTTTCTTTCAAGAAAATTTTACGAATGTGTGATTCATTTGCAATTTCTTCGCCCGTCACTTCCTCACTAATACTGGTAGACAGCAAATGCTTCGTATTACATTGCCTGTCGAGATAAAGAGATTGGTTTGTCTTTGTCAAACAGCGTTAGACGCTTGAAAATAAAAGTCATACAAAGTATGAGTAATACATGCGTAGCTGATCAGATTTTTCGACAATCTGAGTACGATGACACACAAGCAAAAAAGAAGAGAAAGAATTGTTGTTTTTTTGGCGAAGTGATTCAAAACTCTATTCAGTATAAAATGCAGCAAGCATCAACCACAATTTTACTCGAGCAGCAAGGAGAACAAAAAAGAACAAGTCGCATTTCAGTTGCCGTTACGCTTGACGACATCAACTTCAATTTGAAAATCTACCATGTTTAGAAATAAACATCAACGAGGAGGCGAGGCTGCAGCTTCCAACCAGAACGGAGTTAACTCATCATCACCGACGTCCACAGCAACACGACCACCGCCACCAGTTCCATCACAAACTCGTATTTCCGAAGATCTATTTGCAGCCTTCGATTCATCCATCGAAGATTCATTTTCATCATCATCGACAACAACAAATACAAATCCTTCACCTCCTAATCCACCAAGATCCTATCCACCACCAGCTGGTTCCGATTCGACATTGTCATCATCCGCATTGCAAGCTCCGTATGAACGTGCAGCAGACTCTGCTAATACTGCGGCGGATCAAATCATCGATGACAAAAAAGAAGCCGTGTTTATCATTGGAAACTATGCTGTTGAACCTTTAGAAATGTTGCATCTCGGTATGTACTGACTATAAACTGGCGGCGTGCATTTTTAATCGATAACACCTTTTGCCCTTGTAGTTGATCGTTGGATTCAACAACTTCTCAGTGAATTTCGGCAACAACGTGACATATTCAAGCATCGTTTGAGTGACAAATGGCAAAATGAAGAACTATCAAATATTCAGTATGACAATAACGATCGAATACGCAAAATATATCTTGCGTTCAAACAGTTACAAACAGCACGTGATACAATCTTATCCCGCGAAGCATTTGACGATTTGAATAATTTTTTGCGCAATGCTGAAGAATTGTCAATGGAAGAGATGAAGGAGAAATTCAATTCACTTGTCAGCGAATATGGAAAAATCTTACGTTGTTTAGATTTTATCGATCGAGAAGTCCGAGCTGGTCCCACTCGAAGTGACAACTATCTCAGTGAAATCGATAGAAATCTTTCGAAATTAAAAAAATTAAACAGTAAAATGTCCAGTACAATTTGTATTATCGGTCTCGAAAAAGCCGGCAAGTCAACATTTATCAATGCATTACTCGGCTATGAGCTTTTACCAGCAGCCAGCGAACGTTGTACACAAGTACGTACTGTACTTAAACCATTGGTTGAAGATGGTGAAAAACGATTGTATGCCAAAGTTCAGTTCTACGACGAGCAAGAATTCCGTACGTTTCACGAGCAAATGCCGAAGAAAACCGATGAAAATGAAGAACAATTACAGACTCGTAAACGACAAGTGGCTGAAGCACGCGAAAACCTACGAGAGAAATTTCCGGAAGAACAATTCTTTATTCAAAATCCGGCCAATTATGACCGGGAACGTATGGCTATTCACCAAGAGTTGCACAGATATATAACCGGTGAGTTATATGTGAACATCATCAAAGAAATTGCCATTTATACCGATCGACTTCCTGGCAAGAATTACGAGCTACTCGATGTTCTTGGCTTCGATTCTCCGATCAAAGAACACCGTGATGCTGGCTTAGAAGCAATAAAAAATGCCGACGCATTTCTGTTCTTAACAAACGGTCAGCAACCAAGTCTTACCCAACCACAAATTCAGCTATTGAATGAAATTCGTCAGAATCATTTCGAAGCGATGGAACGTGCTTTTGGTATCATAACTAAATTAGATCTTTGTCAAACGTCAGACACTTTCAAAGAACATTATCGAAATTCTCATCGCGAATTGATTGAAAAAGGTTTTAAGCCTGAACATATCTTCTGTACCTGCTCACGTTTACAATTATTGGATCCGAACTGTGAAGAGTATCGAGTGATCGAATATAAAATGAAGAATTTCGGTGAAGGTCTCAACGACGGTTTCAAGCGAAGCAAAGATGCATTAAATCGATTTATTGAATTCGAATTGCCGAAAACACATTTAAAACAATTGATCGACCTGGGACGAATGCATTTAACTCGTCCCGTAGCCGAACGTTTGGAGAAGATTAAAGAGAAACAGCTTTTACCAGTTAATCTCGCCGATATGTCAATCGATGATTACATAAAACAACAAAAAACCGAAAGTTGGGATGGAGTCTACGAGAAAAACATCTTCAATCCTGCGTTTGCTCAAGCTAATTCTTGGCACACAAAAGTGGTCACCAAAGAACGTGCGAAGTTTGCTAACACAGTTAAACAAAAGTTTCACGATTCATTCATCGATCGTACACAGAGTTTCCTCCAAACCACTCATCCAATCGAAGACATCATGTGCGAGCAATTCGAATATTCGAAATTGCAACTGAATGTTCATCCGACTGACAATACTGAACGCGGTAAATTAAGTGTGGAATTAGAGAAGATTGTCGACGACACATCGAATTACCTTGCCGACTATTTCTATCGAGAGTACATTTGCGGATTCGAAGTCATCATTAACAATGTATGCCCGTTTTTGAAAGATCTCTTTCGAACTCAATTAACATTAGACAAGTGTTTGAACGAAACTCACGCGTTGATTCTGCGTGTCGCTCGTCCAATGATCATGGCCGCACTTCGTTATTCGTATTTAGATCTACCTGTGAAACGTAATGCAATTCAGGATTTGATTTACATTTCACCAACAGCAGCAGCCAATATCGTTCGTCACAAGAAGGATAGCAAATCGTCACTTGCGGTGGAGATTGAAAAACAAGTTAAAGATTTAAATAGTCGACCTGATTCATCAACACCGGTCATTCAAAAACTTTTCGATTGAAAAATGAACTGTGACTTTAGTTATTTTTTCTCTATACAAAAATAAAACAAATACTCGAAAAAAGCCGTCCGTAGTTCTGCTGAAGTAGAAACATAAACGATGATATCGAGTGCCGAATTCGAATAGCCAAGCCAGGTTAAGATGTTGTATAAAACTTCATGATGATGATCGTTTTTCAGGCGCACATTGAATGCACCGCTTAAGACAAGATAGAAGAAGTATGGGAACCAACAGAAAAGAAAGGTGCCCATGACAAGACCAATGAAACTAGTAGCTTTTTGAGTGTTCGACAAAGTTCGCCAAAATTTTCCTTGACATTTTCGTCTTTTAGCAGGAATCTTCTCAGTTTGCACGTCGACTTTAGGCTTTTGATAAGTACCACGATGAATACGAAGAATAATTTGATCGTCCACTTGTGAGAGATCTAATTTCGTATTTTCTTCACTTGACGATTCTTTCTGATGGAAACTATTTGCTACTGATTTCGAAATTCGAATTCGATGATGCTGATGTTTATAGCCCGAGTACAGTGCGAGTGTCTGATTTCTTGCAGCTAGATAGATTTTAACGTAGACATATATCATTAAGAATAAGGGTATATAAAATGATGCCATGGCTGAGAATAGAATATAATATGCATTGTTTGGCATGTCGCATTGTTCGAGTAAGGAGACTGGAGTGTCGTCTAGTACAGGCTGTTTGGTTCCCCAATAGAGAATTGCTGGAAATGAGATGAGTGCTGAACAGACCCACGTGAAGGATAACATGAGATGCCATCGTTTCGATATGAACGAAGTTGGATATTGGATAGGCTTTTTAATAACGACATAGCGATCGATTCCAATGGTGCATAGTCCGAGAATGGATGCAGTCGATGCAAAAATATCAATTGCGTGCCAGATATCACAAAGAAATCTGAGATATGGTGAAAACAACCAATATTCGTCATCAGCCAAGATGAAAATCGAAGAAAAGGGCATAACGATTAAGCCAACAATAAGATCCGCAAATGCCAACGATATGATATAATAGTATTTCG